TTTTGTAACGGATAAGAGGTCAGCTTTGTTCACAACCAAAGGCACTGACAGTATAATTATAAATGCCAATGTTCATTTATTTAATATCCAGTCAAAACTGCCATTACAAGTACAAGTTATTCATTTTCCAGCTACAAGAAAAAGCAGAAAACATATTAATAGAAAATTGCACAGAAGCCTCAACAACCAATATATCAGCATTTTCAGACTATAGCTTGTCTACCATTCATCTTTATTACAGCTTCCATGCTTTTCACAAGACTTTTTTCATCTACAGTTACAAATTTATTCATCAGTCCATAAAACCTTACTTAGATGTATTTTTCTATGTTCTAGTGCAAATTTTCTTTTTCCATTTATCTGTTTCCTTTTCTCAGTTACACCTTCGTGGCAGCTACACATCCTTTCAGACCCATAGTGTTTAGTTGTCTTCTTACAGTGGAAGGATAAACAGAAACATTTCTGAGGTTTTTTAGACCTAAAGCAAGAGTAGAGCTGGATTTTCTCCTCTCTATAAAAGATGAATGCTTTAAGTACTGTTTAGGTAATGGTGACAGTTTTGGTAACCTACCAGGTCTTGCATAGTTGTTAAGAGTCCCATTCATTCTAAATCTTTAAACAATCTTTTTAAATCCAGTTTTGTAAAATTTAATCTTCTTAAAAACATCTGAAAAATGAATAACTTGTACTTGATGGCCTTTTTTACTGGAAGTTAAATAAATGAAGGGCGATCTCTGACTTGCACCATACTTTTGCACAGTACTGTATTTCACCAAAATCAAATGAAAGCATGTTTACAATATGATACTTGTGTCTTGAAATTCCTGGGAAGCTGAATTACTGTACTAGAGAACACAGTCCTAGATTTTGGTCATAAACTTTTTGGTTGTTCAGGGTTTTAATTTGGCCCTAAATCATTTTTTTTCTCTTGTGCAGAGAATAAGCTGTAACAGTCCAGTGCATGTAAATGGAGTCAGCCTAGGTCAACTGAAGCACTCAGAGTAACATCAAAAATTCTTGGTTTAGAGTTTGTCTGCCAAAAAAGTAAAAGTAGAAGCATATTTTATGTCAGTATTACTTTATCTCAAATGCTAGAATTACAGTGTAACTTTGGCAACATCTTTCAGCACACAGAGTACTAGAGAAAAGGTTAAAGAAAAATTTGGACTGTTTTTCAAACTTTGCATTTAATTCATTTAAGATGTAAGCAAAGTTATTCGGAGTGGTTTGATGTGAAATGATCCATTCTAGAGAAACTTACTGAGTCATTTGTTTACAGCAGTAGAGATAGGAACCAAACATCTTAAGCATTTAATGCCCCTGAAACTACCTTGCAGTTATTATAGTTATTATATGAAATGGTTACAATATGCTATCTGATGCCTGCCATTATTTTACAATAATTTTGAGAGGATTTTGGCCCTAAACTTTTTTAAAATCAGGTAGAGAGGGCCATGCAAGACATAAGCTTGGGTTACAATGGTTGTTCCCTGGTTTTGGAAAGTAAATAAAATGGCTGCAAACCAGCAACCCCTGGTTCTGACCAACACCACTGTTAAGAAATACGAGTTGACAAGTTTCTTTACAATGCACCATTTCACATCCAACCACTCTGAATTCCTTTTTTTACATCTTAATATAGAAGGTCTAAAACAATCAGTGGAATTCCTCTTTTTAAGGAAATTGGTCTGGATTTTCCTACGTACAAGTAACTGTAGAAGTAATATTTGTTACTACCACCCTCACTCGGGAGTAATCAGTGGAAGTGCTGAACAGCTAGGAATGTCATGTGATCACGTGCGTATGTGTGTCCCTGTTTTTATGTTCATGTTTTCCACTCCAGTATCATTGCAGACTAGCAAGGAAACAAGAACGTGCCCAGACATGTTTTCTTTCCTTTCAACACACGTTCACACACAAACAACCTTCTTCTCCTTCTCTCTTTCTCTCTCTCTCTCTTAGCTGGGACAAAAGCGCTCCATCACCCATTTACAGTATGTTGCTTGGCCAGATCACGGGGTTCCAGAAGAGTCTTCAGACTTTTTGGACTTTGTCCAGACAGTGAGAAGCAAACGAAGGGATACAGAACCACTTATGGTCCACTGCAGGTACACACACATGATGCATTTATATTTGTAGCTCGGTTCCCTTGGGCCGGTCCAAATGCACTGTTGCTTTTTAGTTCTACTGCACTTAGCGTTCACACTGACATGTATGTTTTCAAGCCAAAAGATGAAGGTAAAAGTCATATGGACAGAAATGTCACAAGCGATTGGACAGATTTTATGACATACATTTGGTGACTATAACTGAGAAAACCCAGCAGACTTTCTGAATCATGCTGTTTATCAGAGTTTGTATGTTGTTTATCTATATCTTTTGATATTCTAGAGCAAAAAACCTTTGGCTCAGTACTATGGTTTTCCCATGATGCAAAGCAGGGTGAAATCACCCAACTTTTAGTGCCTTTCTGTTTTTACAGGAGGTTGAAGATTTGGAGCATTACAATATAATACAATTTCTGTGTGTAGCCTATATATCGTATTTTACAATCCTTTGAACATCCTTCAGCCACTTTTAAAGCCAAAACTACCCATTCTGTTACTAATTCAAAGCCCATGACTGTGTGTTAAACACATGCACGTGTCAAAACAGAATCAGAAATTGTCTGTTGCATGAACCAAAGGAGGTATAAAGAGAAAAGATGACTGTTCGTTCTGTTTTTTTTTTTTCTTTCAGTTTAAACTTTTTGCATTCATATTTCAAACAAACCATACCAGAGTTTATTTGGAAGCACACCAAGACAGACTTGCTCAGTCCACTTGTTTGGTGCGCACCAGAATTCAAATGGCAGCATTCAGACTTGTTCTAAGAAATCGCACTAACAGAGCAACCTACCATCATGCCTTAAGAGTGTAGCTCTGTGTGTATGTGTATTTCAGGGCATACTCAAACTTGACAGGTTTGGTTTTGTTAGATTAAAAGTGTGTCTCTGTCTGTGATTGCTCTCTTAATGTGGTCACAAAGGAACTCTGGTGCTGTTTGTTTCAAATATGAATGCTAAACGTTTGTCTAAACAGTCCAAGCACAGAATTAACCATTGTCTCTTCTCTGCAGACTTCTTTGGTATGAGTAACTTTTCTGACGTTGTTTTGACTTGTGGGTGCGTGTGTGGGTCTGAATCATGGAATGAATGGTCTCGGTTTCAAAATATGTAAAATAAAAATATAAAACACACATATGACCTCACACATCAGTTATATCATTCACTAATGCTTCAGGTATTCACCACTTTATTAAAGTAGGATTCCACTGGAGCCCATGTGTTAAGACTGATTTCATCCCACTTCACGTCATGGAAGTGGTTTATTGCTTTAGAATTGCTTTAGAATGACAGATAAAACAATACATACATAAAACCCTTGAGCTCATTTAAGCCAGAGTACAGCATGATTCAGAAAGTTTGTCACCAAATCATAAAATTGTACATCATAAAGTTTGCCCAATAAGTAAGTGACTTTTTTTCTCATACATATGACTTCTGTTTGTATCTTTTAGGTTCCAAGTCAAATATGAACGCTAAGCAAACCAAAACTAAAATGCTACAGTGTATAATTTTCTGCCTGATCTGAAATACATATCATTAGTTCATCCTTAAGTAACTATGAAAGAACATTTCCTGCAGTGCTGGGATTGGGCGGACAGGTGTGCTGATCACCATGGAGACGGCCCTGATCCTGATGGAGAGTGCAAAGCCAGTGTATCCTCTTGAGATAGTCACTTCACTGAGGGAGCAAAGAGCCATGATGGTCCAAACCTCGGTACTGACACTCATACATACACAAAAGGATTAGGCACACACTGCTCTCATTCTCAGCGCACGAAAGTGTTGTGCAAGATTTACACATTCACGCTGCATGCAGCACTGCAGGGCATTTTTCATTGTTGCTTTTCCCTGTGTATGTGTGTCTGTTCATTTTTCAGTGCCAATTCAGCTTTGTGTGTGAGGCCATCCTGTGCGTGTACCGAGAGAGATTCAAACCCAGCCAAACACCTAGCAGCTGACGAGAAGAGGACAGGAGGGGTGGATATGAATACAGAAATGGAGAGGGAAACACAAAAGGGGTAGTAGGGATAATAGAAGATACACTGAGAGGGATTTAGCCAGTTTTTCTCTGCACTGATAGGACTACAAGCAAAGACGGATGTAAAAGAAATAGAAGGAAGGAAAAAAGATATGGAAATAAATATAGTAGTCAGACAGAGTGGAGAGAGGAAGCAAGGTTCAGAAAATGGATAGACACTCTTCTCCTTTCAACTGTAGTGCCCTAGCTTTGATTTCCAGGTCACAGTATCACCTGGATCTGTTGCCTCACTGAGCTAGCATCGCTTCTCCCTTGTTGAAGGGGGAGGATTGTTCAAATACAATTTATATTTCTTTCATAGGGTGCCTGAATACAATGACAAGCACTAAGGAATTAATAAACACATCTCTAGTATCTGGTTTGCCAGAGCAGACAACTTTTCCTCATGCACTTTTGCTAACAGCTGTTCTAGTCAGATATATGCAGTGGTACTAAACTGAGGGCTCAGTGAAGCACTTTTTTTGATACAGCTGCACAGTCATGCTGCCTAGAACCAGACACGATTGTAGCTCATCTGGATGACTTTGAGGATGTCACGATCACTGGAACCAAGACTAGCAGCGCCTTCACAACTGTGTGGATCAATGGAGGGGACATAAAGCACTTTGTCACTTTTAAGTATGATTCTTATTGCTCATAACAAATGCACAGTAGGCCTATACGTAAACAGGGATACTACTAAAACAATCAACCATCACCTCTGCTAATAAAGTAAAGAAATTGTTGATACATGTGTTGTTGCTTCATTTGTGAAGGTTATAAATTCTGTAATCTGGGCTGTGAAGCATTTTTGTAAATGCCCTTGACCAAGAACTGAGGGTTAAAACAACCATGCTGTGAGCTTGAAGCACGTATAAATGCGATCGTGACTGTCGAGTGGCCAGCAGGTGGCGCTGCCCGGCGCACTCTGACCCACAGAGCGCGAGAGTAAAAAAAAAAAAAGTTTGAGTGCTGCTGTGATTTAGCGCATGCGCGGAGCAGCCCGCCTGGCCAGTTCCTCTGGATTACTTTACCTGAAAGGTGCATCAGTTTCGGTCAGGAGAGAAAGGAAGGGAAAAATCCGGAGCAGCGAGCAGGGGGGGCTCGGCCACCATCCCAGCCGCGCGGAAAAGTCGAGCTTCGACGACCGAGAGTTGGAGCCCCCAGTTGTGGTGCTTAATCCTCTTTAGTGAAACAAAGATTACGATACAGTGAAAGGTGGGGGAAGAGGAAAAAGAAAAAGCTGCGAAAGGCTCCAAAAGCTTCCCGTGGCTCCAGGCAGGTGTGCTGGTTGTTTTTCTGATCACGAAACGACCGACTGACCGGCCCTTGGAGGTCGGCGTTCTCGCTGACCGTGTAGACGGACCTCCACATTTGAGCTCCCGCGTCGCTCCGTTCTTGTCGCCGCGGTTGGTGGCGGTTGTGGTGATAGTGGGGGGTAAGGAGAAGGAGAAAGGATGATGGGCTTCCTGCGCAGGACGTTTAGCCTCCGTTCGCGGAGGCGCTTTCGACCCTCAGATGAGCTGGACGGCAGCGGCGGGACACCGCAGCAGCAGCAGGTGGTCCACTCCTCCTCCGCTGCCGCAGACGCCGCTGTGGTGGCCGGAGGAACAGTGGTGCACATCCCAGCCGCGGGCAACAGCAAGGCGGCCATCACCTGCAGGGTACTGCTGCTCGACGGCTCCGATGTCAGCGTGGAGTTACCGGTGAGCAGCTGTTGTGGCGGGTTGGGGGGTACTTAGACAGATGTGAATGGAATGGAGGTTCAAGTATGGGTCAGAGTAGAAGATTAGAAAAAGAGAGAGTGAAAGTGACCGCACTGTCACGGGCTGTTCGCGTTGCCCTGCTGGGTCGGTTTAGCTGCGAAGTTTCAGTTTCTGTCTACGCGTTTGCTACGGGGAACTAAGATCATGTGTGAAGATCTCTGAAGATAATGCACAGGTGCGCAAATTAGCAAACGATCTGGTGAAACTTGGTTGATTCGCAATAAACTTGGTTGATTAAGACCAGGGTTAGGTGTTAGGCTGGAGTTAATGGTAAGTTCAGTGTTAGTTCTAAGTATAGGATTAAGATTAGAACCCTGTACGTTTGGGGCAGGATTAGGATCGTTAGGTTTTGGATTGAGGTTAAGGTCCAGGTTAGAGTGAGTGTTAAGCTTAAATGTAAGTTAAAAGAATGTGGGGGTTTAATTATACATACAGTTTCAAATTTAATACATTTTTCAACTGTAAAATCCAGATTCAACACGGATTTCTAATCATATACTTGTGTGGCGTCTCTATCAAAATAAGGTCCAAGAAAATAAGAGCCCTTGTCATTTGAACGTGGGGGCACGTATGGCCACGCCCCCTTCGGTGCCTAATGCCTCTGATTGGATGCCCCCAAAAAAGACGGTAAATGAGCGGCGCTCGTAAGAGACTAAGGGGCGGATCAGCGATACAGCTTTAAATTTTGCTGCATTTTCGGATTTTTGATCATTGAAATCTTGACACTGTTAATAGTATAGGCGGTGTTAAAGGGGCACGTCGGCCAAAATGAACAATTTAACCATCGTTATATCTGTTGTAAACATGCTTACTTGCATCTTAGATTTGTGTACAGTAGTCTTGAGAGTTAGATTTTCTGGCCTAAAGAGTAGGAATACACTCTTCTGATGATGTCTCTTGAAGGTGGGAGGAACGTTTGGAAAACTCTAAGCGCTTTGAGATACATGAGGGTAGACTGTTTGAAGCGTTGAAAAGCCGGATATGCACCAATCAGCCATAACACTAAAACCACCTCCTTGTTTCTACCCTCACTGGTCATTTTATCAGCTCAGCTTACCATATAGGTGCACTTTGTAGTTCTACAATTACAGACTGTAGTCTGTCTGTTTCTCTGCATATTGTGTTAGCCTCCTTTCACCCTGTTCTTCAATGATCAGGACCCCCACAGGACCACCACAGAGCAGGTAATATTTAGGTGGTGGATCATTCTCAGCACTGCACTGACACTGACATGGAGGTGTTTAAAAACTCCACAGAAACAGATGGACTGCAGTCTGTAATTGAACTACAGAACTACAAAGTGCACCTATATGGTAAGTGAATAAATAAAATGGACAATGAGTTTAGGAACAAGAATGTGGTTTTAAATTTATGGCTGATCGGTGTATAAGCTGGGTATCATGTCTGTATTTATTGGCGTACCTATCACTACATTAGTGGATTTCTTCATCAGTGTGGGTGGGGAGGATTCCTAATGATTGTATGATGTATTTAAGTAATGCATGTTGGGCATGGTAGTGAGAACACTGATGAATGAAAACGCAAAAAGCATAGAAATGTATTGGAATTACAAAATTAGAATTCAAAAACACAAATTCTGTCAAAACGATAAGGCAGAGGGGTGCAAAGCTGCTCTACAACATATTACATAACATGACACACAACATTAATTGCTAGTTTTAGACCAAAGTGCTCCGTTAATAGATATTCAGCTGAAGGAAAATTGATGACAAGGCAAGCATGCAAAACTAGTGTACTATCCAAGTAAGTGTTAACATGTGCCTGAGTGGATTTCCCATGTGTCCGCTGGTCCTGCCTGGGTCCTGTCCCAGGCTGACAGATGGTGCTTGTGTTTCCTTCCCAACAAACGCCCCAACCCATCACCTTTAGGCTCTGCAGGGGTGGAGGAAAATCTGTTTTAAAAAGTAGCGCTGGGGAAGCTCAGATGAACGATGGGCATATTGGGTTTTTATAGCAAGAATTATTTGCCCAAGGAGGTCAATGAACATGTGGCTAAACAAAAGTGTTTTACCTTTGAGCTTCACCTTGTTGGAGTTGCATCTGAGTTAATCTGCGAATCAGTTGCCCCACGTCTTCAGTATGAGCTGGGATTACTTGTCTAATGTCTCAATTTTGTAGTTTTGGTGCAACTTTTTTGCAGTGTGGATCTGCTGTTTCTTGATTCTGTTGTATCATACATTTTTGCATGTTATGTCTGAACACATGCACATTCATTTAGTCGTATATACTGCTTAAAACATAGTTTCTCACAAAATGGTGACTTAGAACACAGATACTGTTTTGTTTTGTGTAAAGGAAGGTGTTGGCATTTCAAATCAGGCCATTCTGTATTATATTTTGGAATATCTGAGACAATTGCACCATAACTCTATGAGAGTTCCATTTTACACCACCTGCTTCTTACAGAACACGCTTCTCTAAGCCAGTAGATTCAACAGTTGTCAGGGTTGTGAACAGACACTTGGTCCAGCAGGAGGACATGGATTTACCAAATGTTAGTAGAGGAATTAAAATCCAACTGCAGTTTGAGTATTCAGATTATTGATGTGCTCTTGAAGGGGTCTCTCTCACCCAGAGATGGAGATGAGCTTAGTTGTTTGCACAGTTATTTCACTGTATGTAAACAATTTGAATAGCACACAAATCAAGTCAGTAAGCATTTTGGCTGTAGAAGTTAATATAATAATTAATATTTGTTTTTTGTTTGCAGTACCCACAAATATAATTATGGTGTTGCCAAATGAGAGCCACACAACACTCAGCACCTATCTGACTATATGACAAGTCGAGCATTAACGTTTTATCAGCAACGTATGCTAATATAATCATGATGTGGTGTGTATAAAAATACATTAAAAAAAAACAATTTAATTAAATTCATTGTTTATTATTTATACATAAACGTCTTACAATACAAGGCCTACATTAACTAATTTTTACATTAGTCACCACAGTGTATATATAAACAGAATATCTTTGCAGTTTCTTTGTGCCGTTACAGTGGTTCTCATTTTATGCAAAAATTAGTAGTCTCAGTAAAAGCAATCAGACCCAGTGCTGGCAACAGTTAAAAAATGGGCCACTCTGCTCACTGATAGATGTCACATTGGCATAACAATTTATCATATCAGTCATCCCACATTAATAATTTTATAAAGTGTTCTGCAAGCCTGAAATATTGACAGGCCTTAATACTTGCAAAATAACATAGTACTTGACAACATCCAATTTTAGGGGGAATTCCTAAATTTCTGCTTGATTCAATCATTAAGATGTAATCAAAGTCATTTGAAGGGGCTTGATAGCTGATAGGAACCAGGGGTGGAGGTGTCTACAGTATAAAGTAGTCATTTTATTTACTGTTTAAAACCATCATTGAACCTACGCGTCATCCTAGTTTTGACGTCATCACTTTTGGAATAAAACCTCATATCTCCAAAATGGTAACTTTACAGAGGAAGGCAAAAACATTCTTAACCTTTTAAATTTGAAGTTAACATAATAAGGTTTTGGACTGTTTCTGATCTGTTCATCATGAAATTTTTAACTTGGGTAAACAAGTGAAAAACAACAGAAGTGGAGATACAAGGTTTTGTTTTGACAGTGGCGCTATGTTGATAATGGTGTAATTGTGGTAAATTTGGAAAAAATGTTTTCTTTGGGGACTTTTTGCCTGACAGCACCCTGCATGTGCCATGAATTGATTTAAGAAATATGTTTTAGATGAAAAAATTATCTCAAAACTGTAGCAAAACAATGTCTCAGGCATCAGAACAGACAGCGTATTTCATGTCATAACTTTTTAAGAGGCCACTTTTAGATACATTACCACCACTGTGAACAGTTGTCTTGGTAAGTTTCTTTAGAAACAGAGTATTTCATGTCAGACCTCTATGAATAAGTTTGTTTACATGTTAACCAATAGTAATCTGAAATTATATAGAATCATGTATGAAGATACAAAACTACTTTTTTTATTTATTAAGAGTGGAAAATAAATAAAAACACTCATTCATTGAGGGTGGGGAAACTCACTCTGCTCGTAGAGCAGCAAGTTAGAACATTTTTTTGTTTTTGTTTTCATGAGACCCCTTATGTGTCTTCATGAACGCATTTGCTGCTTTATTTTATTTACATTTAGTCGCCTCAACCCAGCACATCCAATTGTCATTATTCTCACTGTGGCATGAAACAACTGGGAAATCCAACAACTGTGGGAAATTTTGCAGTTAGCTTAAATAATTGTGGTCATTTCAAAGAATTGCAATTACGATGATGTAGTAATTGTGACAGGCCTTATAAAAGCTTTATCAGGTTTCTCCGGTTGTAGCCACTCTTATAACTGAGTCTTGGTCACCCCTTGCTTTTTGTGTTTCTGTGTCCAAGTAAATGCTAGAATGTAAAGCCAGAAACATGCAACCAGAAATATGCACAAAACCTCCTCGAATGCTCATAACTAGTATTTGAGGAAGTTTCTAGCTTTTTTCTGTTTTCACATTTCTGGCTTTATATGAGTTGTGTGACTCATTGAGGAAGAGGTAGCGATCTGCGATCTTTATTGTAAGCACGTCACTGTTGTGCCGAAGGAAAGGATTTTCTTAAAAAAAAAAGGGGGCAATTCTACAACAGGAAAATTCTGCCAGGCTCACCTTTAAGCAATAGGGAGAGTGTTTGTGTTAATGTGTGTGCATACACGTGCAGGAACATGTCAGGGGTTGAAGGTCAAACAAGGCAGCGACCAGGCACAAAGCAGAGAATAATAGCCACTCCCCCAGGGTGTGTCCCAAATCCAGCCTCACGACACTGCCACTTGGGCTATTTTTACATCAGCCTACATATAGCATATGTAAGACTCTTGCAAATAGCTTTGGTGGCTCGTTGAATGCAAATATGCAGTGTAGTGATAATTCCCAACAGTGTTTAGGCGCTGTCTGGAACTGAAGAGTTTTCTGTAATGTTTTGAGATCACTTAATGCAATCCTCCATCTGTTGTTGGTGTAAACAGGCTCTTACGGAACAGTACACATTAGATTTGTGACTTCCATGTTGGTTCTTCTTTGTATTTCATCGGTATCTCAACTGGCTGTTCATGCCTGTCATAACAGGAAACTCCTGTCATCGGCATTACATCGCCAACTCACGCCTGCCCTCTACCTTTGTATCGACATGTCCTCAACCAAGCGACATGGTGGGCATGATAAAGAACACGGATCAATATTCAGCTGTATTGTCTGCTTTTTATTTATGTTTCTAATCCCTGCATATAGGCTTCTGTTGATTTTTGGCTTATCATAAGTAAAAGCCTGTCTTCAGACTGAATAATAGGAGTAATCCCTGGCTTATCAATGTGCCAGTGAGTGAAGGGTAGCTCATATGTTTGTTCCTTAAGGAATTAGGATGCAGCTAGATAGATGTATTTTATTGATCCTCATGGAGGACATTTGAGACAAGTTTTATTAGATCATTCCATGGGTTTATCAGCTTAATCATTCAAGAACACCATAAAAGACATTTTCAATTAAAAGGCAAACCAACAAAGAACGACGAGTGTTAAAGTTCATGTCAAAGTTGATAAAGTGGAATTTTGTCTCCGGGCACAACATAGTGTAACTGTATAGTCAACGTGGAGAAGATCTGAGCTAGAAAACATACACGATCACACCTCTAGGCTTTTACAAATACATCTGAAACACTGCTTTTGCAAGAGCCAAGTTTGTATCATGAGGCAGCTCATGATTGATTCTGAGTAAAATGTGCTGCCAGCAGTTGCTGTAAATATTATGTACTATTGCTGTCAGAACAAAACCTTGTGTCATGGAAAAGGTACAGGAGAAGAGCAAAACCTTCTTAAATTTATGATACATAATGATGTATAGTGATGTATTTCAAAGACAGCCTCAACATTTTCAAAATTTCACAAGTTAGTCTTTGAGATGTAAAGAGTTATTCAGAGTGATTTGACATGAAATGGTGCATTGTAGAGAAACACGAGAGTCCAATTTCTTTACAGTGGTGCTGATAGGAACCAGCGTTTGTGATATCTACAATGCAATTCTAGCCATTTTATTTATTGTCCAAAACTACTAGTGAACCAACACATGTCCTCTGAGTTTTTATGTATTGTTTTCTTTAGGAACTATTTTCCCTCACTATGCTCTACATGTAACTCCCTGCTATTAATGAATTACGTTTTAGGCCAAAATCTTTGCTCAGAACTATCGTGAAACAATGGTTTAGGCATCTGGAAGCATATTAATAACTATTTCATGTAATACCTTTTTGGGAGGTAGCATTTTAGAGGCATTAAATGTTCACATTTTACCTGTTTAATTATGCATGTTTTGTAAAATTTGTGGAATGCTCCTTTAATTGTATTTGTAGCAGTGCAGTATGGGAAACGTTGAACGGTGATCATTATACTCATAGTTTTGTATGTTATTGCTGCTAATTTTCAACTGTTACAATTTATGAAACCTTTGAAAAACTTATATTGTATCATAATGCAACATTTTTGCCATATCACCCACCCCTGATTTTAAGTAATTTTGGACCATTTCTTTTAATCTATTTATGTTCACGCAGTGTACAAGGTAGCTAGAAGCAAAAAAAGGTTTTTGATATGACAGTGACAGTGATTGTTGTTTATCCACGTTACATTGTCCAGCAAGAAGTTTTGGACCTTAAATGAAACAATTAATTCAGTATTTTATTTAAAATTACTTATTTGAGAAGTGCATCTTTTGTTAGTCACCCACAATGGACCATCAGGAAGATGACTTCATGTGGTCATGGAAATGGACACGGCTGCTGTAGTGGCTTTTGCTCGTTGTTTATGGGAAGCTCCACAGGTGCATGCTGGAGCCAGGCTGATAAATATGCTCAGCTTCCCGTGCTCATTTTTTTTAATCTGTGCTTGTGTATGTGTGGTGCAGAAACATGCGAAGGGACAGGACCTGTTTGATCAGATCATGTATCATCTGGACCTGGTAGAGGCTGATTATTTTGGGCTGCAGTTCATGGATCCAGAGCAGGTTATGGTGAGTGGCCTATTATAAATGTATGTGTTTGTGAGGTGCCTGCATTTGAGTGTGTGTGTGAGAAACAGCCTCTCAAGATCAATCAGAACAGCAGCACTCAAATTCCCTCACTGCTCTCATACTAACAGTGTGTCTCTCTCCCTCTCTCCCTCCCTCCTCCCTTCTTCCCTTCAGCACTGGCTGGATTCAACCAAACCCATAAAGAAGCAGATGAGATGTAAGTAGTCAGCGTGCACGCATACACAGTTATTATTGTATGGTTGTGTCATAGCAGGTGGCTGATGACCTTGTACTTGTTATCTCCTGTTGCTATGGCAATGTGTATTACAAGTGTCTGTAAGAGTATTTACTCAGTGGGTGTGGAAGGAGCCAATCCCAGCGCACCTCAGAAAGACACGCCCACAGTTGGTGACCAGCTTAAATGCCAGCGTGAAAAGTCAACCTCTTGACACGTAGAACACCATGTTGTCTTTTCATCCTAATGTTGCAATCAGCATGATTTGCTGCTGCTCAAGGTTTTTGCAGCATAATGATCATCGTTACAGGCAAGAGAGTATTCAGAGTGATTGCCACTTCTCCATTAAAAAAGACACTTTTGATTAACCAAGAACAAGGTGCAGCAGACACGCACCTTGGTCTCACGGAAGCCATCAACACTTCTTTGATCTGTTTGTCCCAGGCATCTTTTGGAATGAACAGCGTTCGGCCCCAAACGTTTGCGTTTTCACCATTGAGTTATTCTAGTTACAGTCGTATGCAAATGTTTGTTGACATGTTTTACTGATTTTCTTAGGGAAAGTAAGTTAACACATCCTCTACAGGGAGCTTAAATATTAAATATGCCATTTTTTCTGCTAATTTTAGTGCACAGTTTCTATTTATTCACTAATTCACTTAGTATGTAAAATATAGCAAGTAAGCAGTAATTGTGCATTGCAACGTGCAGAGGTATGTTTACTGTAGAGAATTTATACTTTTCACTCAGAAAATCAAGAACATTTGAACAGAGATGTTCAAACTTTTGCATATATGCAAAAAAAAGTGTCCAGTTTATTAGAAACACTTTTTATTCCAGTACCTCCACTTACCTCCACCTACCTGAATCCACTGTGTATATATGTACAGTGGTTGTCTGTAGCCCATCTGTTGCTATGCATAATTTGTTGGCCACCCTCTACTCTGTCCATCAATGGAAAGGGACCACCATATGACCATCACTGACCAGATATTATTTGGGTGGTGGACCACTCTCAACATAGCAGTCATAGTGACATTATGGTGGCATGGTAGTACTGCATGAGTGTATCAACATCGTTTCAACATACGTTAGTGTGACGATTAAGTTGAGAGTGGACCACCATCCAAAAAATATTCAGCCAAGAGTGACTCTGTGGTCTAAAACCGAACATTGGTGAAGAAGTAGAGGTTAAGGTCGACTAACAAAGAACGGGCTACAGTCTTTATCGACACATCAAAAAGGCTGACCTTAAACGAAGGGGTCTTTAATAAAGTGGTCTATATATGCAGAGCTGGCTAATTTGCACAGCTATACTTTTAAATCAGAGAACTAGACCTTCATGCATTTCCAGCAGCCTGACCTGCTCATACTAATTGCCATGAATGCGTTTCCGGAACCCACTCATGCAGTTTTTTTTTCATATATATTCTTACTTAGTAATCCACGTAATACTTCTTACAATGGTCTATTTTATACAGCACTTAGTGAGTCATACTGAAAGTGTCAGCGGACTGACGCCTGTCTCTATGACAACTTAGTATGACCTTGGTTGGGTTTTTTTTCCCACTTTTTATCTTTGATTGCCTCAGTCTCTGTATATATATGTATGTCTCATTGAAACTTATTGTTTGACGGAAAATGATTTGATGAAAATGTCATAACGTGTTGTCTTGAGTAGCCTTGTCTTCTATCAAGGTGTGGACTGTATTAAATGTTGACTATGGTAGACCTTAATTAAACCCCCTTTTCATGATTCTACCACATACTAATACTAAGTGATAATTGTAGAACACACTAATGCAGTTTTCTTTCATACATTTTCATATGTGTTATATTTTCTCATCTGTACCACTTTTTTATAATTTCAAGTTTTAGACGTCTGGTTGCCTTGACTACCACTAAATCTCTCTCTCTCTCTCTCTCTCTCTCTCTCTCTCTCTCCCTCTCCCTCTCCCTCTCCCTCTCTCTCTCTCCTCTCTCTCTCTCTCTCCCTCTCCCTCTCCCTCTCTCCCCTACTTCTCTACCTCTTCCTCTATCACTCAGATGGCCCTCCATACAGGTTGTATTTCAGAGTGAAGTTCTATTCCTCTGAACCCAACAATCTTCATGAGGAGTTCACCAGGTAAAGATCATTGTAGGATTGATGTGATTTAATTTAATTGTGTAGCTAGAAACATTTGAGAACGTATCTATGTGGCAGGTTTACGTCTAGTTTTGACTCTTAATAGTACAGTTTGAAATAGGGATGCATCGATGTTCATATTGGTATCTGGTATCAGGCCAATACCATGCTCAATTACTCACACTCGTACTCATAAAAATGCACCGCTACCAACATTCCGATACCACCGGTGACGTAAGCTGAGTGTCCGCTACCACACTAATGAACAAACGCAGTGAAGGAGGCTTTGCTTACGCAGAGACGCATTACTGGCTCCGTCAGACACAAAGCCGTGTTGAGAGTGTGTATTGTCTGTAGAGGCCGCGTTTCACTTTTAAATCATAGGTTTTGTCTGTACTCGATGGTCCAATGTAAAATGCGAGTTATCAAAGAACAAAATTTCTAAAATCCTAGTGTATGTCTGGCTTTAGAAAACATTCAACTACAGCTCAACCTCGACACATAAGCTTCGAGGAGCAAAAATATAACTTACTTTATTTACAGCTGTACAGAAGAGCTTTTCTGCCCGACCTTCTCCTCTGCAGCAATACTCAATCCAAGGCAACTAATGTAGCATAGCTAGCTAATGCACTTCATTTAAAATCATCTAGATTTTAATGGTGTAATTTTTAGGGTATATTTCACTCATTTAAACTAACAGCTCCTTAATTGTAAGTAGGTTAACCAGTATGGTTTTGGTAAGGGTGAACAAAACTACGCATACTCGGTCTTGATGCATTCCTAATTTGAAATATTATATCAACAAAACAGTAACCTTGCCACTTCATAAGCTCTAAAATAGAACTAGACCATTGTACTGTCACACTATCTTAAAGACTGGTTGTAGTCATCTGAAATTATGTGGCTAACTAAACCACAAGCGTAGTCTTTGTGATTTGACATTTGTAATGTAATCTTTGGATTTACTGTATTCCTCATAGGTACCTTTTTGTGCTGCAGCTCAGACAAGACATTCTGTCCGGCAAGTAAGAAATCACACCCAACGAACGCAAACATCTACACAAAGAGAGGCATTCACAAACTGCTTTTCTGAGACTTCTTCTCACTCTCTCTCCCACTCTACCTTCCTATGGTTTGTTGACATAGGTTTGGACACTTGAATTGGCAAAATATCTTTGTTTTCTGAAAGTTTTGAGGGTTCTCTGCAATATGGAGAACCTTCTGCACAGCTCATACAATCATGCATCAAACATCAAATATTATAAGTTCTTTGCAAAGTATGATGCAGGCTATGGCAGTAGCTTAGTGAGGTACTTCATGGCCATAACAGGTTTGGAGATCCCAAAGGTGCGCTGGAAGTGTGCTGGAAGTGTGATATGGCAAAAGTTGCTGCATGTGATTTAGTATACACTGAGTTTTATGAGTTACTTCAGGATCTCACTGACAGACATGTATGTTTTGTGTGTGTGTGTGTGTGTGTATGTGTGTGTGTGTGTGTATATATATATATATATATATATATATATATATATATATATATATATATATATATATATACACACACACATACACACACACACACTATATTGCCAAAAGTATTCACTCACCCATCCAAATCATTGAATTCAGGTGTTCCAATCACTTCCATGGCATGCACACTGCTTCTGCAAACATTTGTGAAAGAACGGGTCGCTCTCAGGAGCTCAGTGAATTCCAGCGTGGTACCATGATAGGATGCCACCTGTGCAACAAGTCCAGTCGTGAAATTTCCTCGCTACTAAATATTCCACAGTCAACTGTCAGTGGTATTATAACACAGTGGAAGCGATTGGGAACGACAGGCCAAGTAAAATGACAGAGCGGGGTCAGCGAATGCTGAGGTGCATAGTGCGCAGAGGTCGCCAACTTTCTGCAGAGTCAATCGCTACAGACCTCCAAACTTAATGTGGCCTTCAGATTAGCTCAAGAACGGTGTAGAGAGCTTCATGGAATAGGTTTCCATGGCCGAGCAGCTGCATCCAAGCCTTACATCACCAAGTGCAATGCAAAGCGTCGAATGCAGTGGTGTAAAGCACCACCACTGGACTCTAGAGCAGTGGAGACGTGTTCTCTGGAGTGACGAATCACACTTCTCCGTCTGGCAATCTGATGGACGAGTCTGGGTTTAGTTGCCAGGAGAACGGTACTTGTCTGACTGCGTTGTGCCAAGTGTAAAGTTTGGTGGAGGGGGGATTATGGTGTGGGGTTGTTTTTCAGGAGTTGGGCTCGGCCCCTTAGTTCCAGTGAAAGGAACTCCTAATGCTTCAGCATACCAAGAGATTTTGGGCAATTTCATGCTCCCAACTTTGTGGGAACAGTTTGGGGATGGCTCCTTCCTGTTCCAACATGACTCTGCACCAGTGCACAAAGCAAGGTCCATAAAGACATGGATGAGCGAGTTTGATGTGGAAGAACTTGACTGGCCTGCACAGAGCCCTGACCTCAACCCGATAGAACACCTTTGGGATGAATTAGAGCGGAGACTGTGAGCCAGGCCTTGTCATCCAACATCAGTGTCTGACCTCGCAAATGCGCTTCTGGAAGAATGATCAAAAATCCCCATAAACACTCCTAAACCTTGTGGAAAGCCTTCCCTGAAGAGTTGAAGCTGTTATAGCTGCAAAGGGTGGGCCGACATCATATTAAACCCTATGGATTAAGAATGGGATGTCACTCGAGTTTATATGCGTGTGAAGGCAGACAAGCGAATACTTTTGGCAGTATAGTGTGTATACACACACCAATCAGGCATAACATTATGACCACCTCCTTGTTTCTACGCTCATTGTCCATTTTATCAGCTCCACTTACTATATAGGTGCACTTTGTAGTTCTGCAGTTACAGACTGTAGTCCATCTGTTTCTCTGCATACTTTGTTAGCCCCCTTTTGCCCTGTTCTTCAGTGGTCAGGACCCCCATGGACCCTCACAGAGCAGGTACTATTTGGGTGGTGGATCATTCTCAGCACTGCACTAACACTGATGTGGTGGTGGTGTGATAGTGTGTGTTGTGCTGGTCTGTGTGGATCAGACACTGCAGAGAAACAGATGAACTACAGTCTGTAACTGTAGAACTACAAAGTGCACCTATATAGTAAGTGGAGCTGATAAAATGGACAATGAGCGTAGAAACAAGGAGGTGGTCATAATGTTATGCCTGATCAATGTATATACCCTATGTAAGAACACTTCTGTTTATTGAACAACCAGATCTAGATGAGCTCAGTAGATAGGGTCTAGCTTTAGGGGATACAGAATTAAGAATGCAGAACTGCACCATACAAAGTAAAATATATTTTACTTTGTCTCTTACAGCCTTTAAGTATTTGTGTTGAGGTTAGACCTACCATAAATAAAAAAAAAATAAAGTGTGGAGAAAGTGAGTATACACAACCATTAGCATTGCAAATACAATAGTGTTGCCAGCAGAAAGGTTTTTTGGTGCAGGTCCATTTTTGGTTTGTTAAGGAACTTTTCAGTAGATGGATCTTTAAAGAACCATTATTGGAAATGAGATGTTCGAGTGTGAAGAACATTTTTAAAGTTCAAAGACTCCATCCACCCCCATAAATATAGAGGTTCAATTCCAGTTAAAGGTTTTCCTAGAATAGCGGATCCCATCTTGTAGAATACATACTGAATTCAATCTGTTCTGAAGGCCAAAGAACACACCAACCAGTCAACACAGCTGTGAATTACAAGTTATTTATTTTTTTAAGAAGATATTTCTAAAGATATTGTGAGAAGATCTACTTGCACTAGGAAGGGGAAAGTCTAAGGGTGGGGGGTTAGAAAATACAGAGAAAATGGATCCCCTGACAAAAAAATCAAGACCTGGTAGAACACAAAAAATCTCACCATCAGATAAACAATACTTTCATCTTTAAGAGGGATTCAAGCTCCATTCTTGCTTCAGAGCTGAACAAATCACAGGTGTCTCTGCCCATCCTTTCACTGTGAGAAGACAACTCAATGTTATGGTCGGAAAGGATGGTAATGACCGTTAAGAGTCCATTACTGGGTAAAAGAAATAAAAAAAAAGGAAGAAAATGTCCAAACCCTGATGCTGCTGGTGTTCTCAGAACAACAGACTGGCCTTCTCAGAGCACCCATTGAATGTGTTGGGATTGCTTAGATCATGAAAAGGAGAAAATCCGTCCAGCTTCTAAGAGGTGTGTAAAATATCCCTGTGATTTCTTGAAACTGTATTTCAAAAATGAAAGCAATACATGCTAAAAACTGGAAAAAAAATATATGATATATATGATAGTTGCTGTTTTGACTGGAAATGAAATAAATGAATGGTGGTCTCAGACATTTGCACAGTACTGTAGGCAAGTGTAGTAACTGGCTACCCCACACAGTTCAGCTGCATACCTTGATGATTTTTTTTGGACCTTTTAGGGACGGCGCCAAAAACTGTTCCCCTGAGAACATGCTGAAGAAGCCCAATTGTTTCTTCTTTTGTTTTAGAGTGCGCGCACTCTCGCGCACACGCGCCCCCAAGGCCTTGCTTTCTGCTAGAGTCCAGTATAATCTCTGTTTCAGTGTCTAATGTGGGTCTGCTCCCCAGGGGGCTGCTCTGCTCTTTTAATAAAAGAAACTCTGATGAAAACCAACGCATAGCTTCTAATTTAAGATCATCGACACACTTTCCCACACAGGGGCTTACACTTTCTTGCACTCTTTCTTACACACACTCTTTCTCTCTCGGCATTTCCAAGTAACAGTGTTTCTCTCCCTTCTTCTCGCGCTCATTCACTCAGCCATAGACACACAGAAAACAGAAACACTGGGTCTTTCTCATACGCTCAAAGAAAGTTGTATCTAATTTGGTTTTTGTCTGAAAGTCCTCATGAATAAAGTCTGAGCCTCCATGTTCATAAAGTCTACGGGTGATTCATAAAGTCTACGGGTGATTTTCAACACCTTTTACAGCTTTTAGAAAACAGCGTTTTTGCATGCAGTGCACTGTATCTGCACTTTACCTTGAAACGTAACCATTAAAATATTTCAGAAGTCTTATTTTTGTATTGATATGTGAATCCATTTAACATCTCATACATTTTTGTTGTGCCTCTCAACTGTGTTATTCTCTTTCAGCCTTATTAAATACCTGGAATATTCACATTGATTCACATATTCAGCAGTAATTTGCATCATCCAAATTTCTTAAGGATCATGGGAAGAAGAAAAGCACATTTTTTTTTCTTTATTTATTAATTATGTTGTGATATTCACAAGGTCATTTTCAATGTTCAACCATAAATAAATAGATTATTATTATATTCTTTCTATCCCATGGATGCTAGTTAACCGCTTTTTGTATATTTGCTAACTCTATTGCCAGCAAAGAAACCTTGTAAAAAAATGAAATACTATTTCTAACACATTTTTTAATGTTTTCCTAGATTGAGTGTTGACAAATGCTGAAAAAATGGAGTTACAGTTTCAGATGCTAAATTGCATCCCAATCATGTAATCATTCTTGTGATCTAGCATAAGAACACGTTTATACGCTGATATAATGCATCAATAAGCCTTTCCTTTTCCCTGAGCAGGTTAAAGTGTCCATATGATGTATCTGTGGAGCTTGGGGCTTATTGCCTACAGAGTGAGTTCTTATATGTGTGTTTATGTGTGTATATGTGTGGGGGTATTCTCTGTTTGTGCTTTCTCTGTCTGTAGTTGTGTATTTACATAGTGCAAACATAGTGTTTTCTGAACTGTCATAATCACTGTGTTCTCTCTCCCCCTCTCTCTCTTTCTCCTCATGTGTTTGTGTAGGTGAACTGGGTGACTGTGACCCGTTGGAACACTCTCCGTTGTTGGTGTCAGAGTTTCGTTTTTCTACCAAGCAGACGGAGTTGATGGAGGCAGATATTTACCGCAAGTGGGCAGAGTGCAGGTAAGCGAAAATGTGCGGGATTTTGCCGGCCGCTACATTATCATTATCAGCTGCTACATCGTTGGAGCCGCAGGGAGCTGGACGGCGTCTTTACGACGTGTGTAGTTCTCTCTGGCTGCGTGTGTGTTTGTCTATGTGTGCGTGGGTGTCCCTGGCACTGATTAAAGCTTTGCAGAGTCATTCTCACTGCGTCAGATTAGAACACCCTCATTGACCACTGATAATCCTACAGACACACACACAGACTGAAAGATTATCCCACGTTTTCTGTGTTGTTTTGATTCAAACTCTGACGGCTGATTTGATTACATGTATAACTGAGTTAGGCCATCTGTGCAAGAGAAGAGACAACTAAGCCGAGAAGAATACGGCAGGGATATTGTGTGCGTGTGCTGTTAGAAGGGCAGAAATTTGCCCAACTGACTTGTTGAAAAGGTGGCATTCTATAACGGTGCCCTGTTGAAAGCAGCACTTTTTTCAATATGATCCATATAAAATGCTGTTGTTTGGCTTTGTAGATTGCATGGCTTAATGCTTGATTTTATGCAGTGCATCTGTAGCAATGGGAATGGCTGTAATACAGTACTGTGTAAAAATCAGAGGCCACCCTTTTGGTTTTAAATTTCCAGTCAAATCATCCATCAAGTACAAGATGTTCATTTTTCAGCCTCAGAAAAAAAAAACATATTAAAGAGACAATTACACAAAAGCCTCCAACACTGAGTGTAATATTACATCTGTCAGTTTTTAATTTGTCTGCTCTTCACTTTCGTGCACCCAACTGCTACTTTCATCCTTCAAAATCAAATCTTAAAAGTAACCAGGTACAGCTGTGTCCTCCCAGCAAAAGCTCTTCCCAAAGGTGTCACTGACATTGTGTTACACTTCAAAGAGACACTAATGTTCACATAAGCAACTACCCAAACACACCTTAGCTGCCGTGCGATTTTTTATTTTTTATTTTTTTCTCATGTGCGTCTAAAATGGCTAAAGGAGATATTTCTGAGATTAGATATATAAGATAATCCTCTTGCATAAGGAACAGAAAAGTCAAACGAAAATTGGTGAAAAAACAGTTATAATTATTATAAGTTCAAAAATAAATATTAGAGAGATATTAAAACGTGACTTCTAACAGCCAGGCAAGACCTGGTAGACCAGTGAAATTCAAGCAGGCTGGTTTTGTGGCACGGCTTTCAAATACCTACCCAACTGGGAAGTGAATGGCATACCTGTCAACTTTAACGATGTTTACATACTACATTAAACTTTTATTTAAAAGAAAGTGAAGGAAATTCGATTTGCATGATTTATAGGCCCATGATTTTTTTTTAAATCAATAAAAGACATTCTCTGACTTTTGCACAGTACAAAATATGGAATATGACAAAAATTATCCATGAGTGATTCCAGCTTTTTACACAGTTTTGTCTTCACATGATTTTGTCTAATTTGTATTTCTTAGATTACACAAATTAAGAGAAGCTGCGTTTATGCATCCAATAATGTGTTGATATTTCATATCAAATCATCTTTTGGAGCTGAATACTTTGAGCTTAAGAAGGCACAAATAAATGTGATTCACTGGACAAAATAAGTGAATGAAGTGATTTCGAGTTCAGAAGCATCTTTCACTTTCACTCGATGATTTTAATAATCATGGGCCACATATGGAGGAAAAGTAGTTTGAGTGATATTAAAAGGTCAGGCGAATCCGAAAACATATCATTGCCCTAGTGCTCAAATGTTTTACAGACCAAGTCTTCAAAACTAAACATCTGCAGATAACAGATGGTTAATTGTTCTTTCTTACTATTTCATGTAAAGGATACCATAGTATACATTTAAATCAGGCATTTTCATATGATTTTACTACATGCTAAACTGTTTACAAGACAGTGAAAGGATCATTGCATACCGAATTGGTTCACAGTCAAGAGTTTAAAACCTAACTGATTGGACTTTAGACTAAAATCCTTGTGCTTTGAGTGACCCTATGCCTTAATTAGGTTTATTTTATTAACCCCTTAAATGGCCAGGGCCTAAAATATAATTACACACTTCTTTTCCCTACTAATAGCTCAACAAGTTTGCATTGAAGTCCCTGTAGTGACTGAAAAATAAGCCTTAGTAAGTAATAAGCCTGATTAAGGGATTAAAACAAATGATTGAACTTTCCATTTTGTCACTTTCAAATCATAACACAATTAAAACTACCGAAACTTTACCAAATGTTTTAGCTGAACAGAATTCTGAGCAGAAAAATATGATTAGCAAGCACAGCATTGAACAGCTGTACACACTTAAAATCAGAATATTTTTCATTAAAAAAAATTCATTAAAGTTTACTTAATTGCAGAAAGTTTCAGAAGTGACTTCTTAAAGTTACACACAGATTTTCAGACTTTAAGACACAATTACTTCAAAACAATGGTATCTAACTGTACACAATGTGGCCATGAGGGATGTAGTCTCACTTCCTGCTCTAAAATGGGGTTTGGCTAAAATAAGGCTTTGTGTATGAACTGAAAAAATAGATTTTTTTGTTATTTAAAAATTTAGCTCATGATAAATCTGAATGTTAACTTTAAAAGTAAACAAAAAGGTCTTTACAAAAAATGTAGGGATTAGAGTTTGGGACAGCCACCTCCCAATAGTTAGTATCCTGTAAATTATGATTTAGCATGTATTTAGTTATTACTGTCTCAGTTAATGCCCTGGGTTTATTTTTTTATATATGTTTTTTTTTTATTATTTTACTGTGGGACTGCAGTTTGAACTAATTCAGTAGAGTTATCCATAATGTATAAAAAATGTATTAAATAATTATAAGACAAAAGATTGCATTGTGTAGGGCTGTTACACAATACAGTATTACTTAAACCATCAGCTACACCAAGAAATGATTAATGCCATGCTATTCTGCAGAGCACTTAACATCCTTTGATTGACAAACAGAGGTTGAAAAACACCTTTTGAGTTTTAAATACCAGAGTTCATCTTTTATGCAACTACAAGGAATTGCCTAAAGTGTTGAACAGACCTGAGATGGCGCTTTCAAAACACTCATTCTCTCAACGAAAGTTCAATTCTGGGAATAAATTGCTCCTTGTTCTTTTGTGTTTCTGCTGATGTTTTTCTCAGGGGAATGAGTCCGTCGCAGGCCGAGCTGAATTTTCTGAATAAGTGTAAGTGGCTGGAGATGTATGGAGTGGACATGCACTTTGTGAAGGTGAGAACATAGAGCATAGACGTTTGCATATGACTGTATGTTAAGAACTATAAAGGTTTGGGCACCCTTGGTTAAATTATGTTGTGTTGGAAATAAGTACACATTGTCTACAGAGAACACACTTATGCACATTTTAATATCTACTGTGCACTGTTTTACTTGTAAAAATGAAAAAAAAGGTAAAACATACAAAATGAGGCCATAAATTTGTTATTACAATATTTAAATAGAATTGTGTTATTTTCAATAAATCAATGAAACGTAATTTGACTGGGGTTTTCAGACATGTCCATTTTTTATGTGGTATATATTTAATTTCACAAATTATTTATAATGTCGTCTTTATGAAGCTCAGTGAAATTGTGTTGCCTCTTTCATGCGCTAATGCACCTGCTACATGCAACTATATGGTCATTAATGGGCTTCTTTTATCTTCCTTCCCTTCTTTTTCTTTTTTAAAGTTTAACCTTTATTTATCTACAAGTGACTCACTGTTATCTTGTGTGGCTGTTATGGGAATATGTGAATGCATTTAAGGGTGCCTATTATGCTATTAGCAGTCATCAGTTCACAGTGAAACTGTGGGTGTGCGTGTGTGTCACATGTGTCGCCCACATGCTTTGTGTATTTCCAGGGTCGTGATGGAGGAGAGTATGCTCTGGGTCTTACTCCAACTGGAATTCTAGTGTTCGAAAGATCCTGCAAAATTGGCCTCTTTTTTTGGTATGGGATGTTTTTTTGTTTTTTTTTACCTGTGTGTATTTTTTCCTTTTCCAAAAAAAAAAATCAAGGCTGTGTTTTTATTTTTATGTATGTATTTCTTGTGCATTTTTTAAGGCCCAAAATCACACGTCTCGACTTTAAGAAAAACAGACTGACACTTGTTGTGGTGGAAGATGATGAACAGGTATGTATGTATTCCTCTCTTTGTGGTTTACTTCAGTTGGAATTCTGCATTACTATAGCTGCCCCTCTGGACAAGTTTTCACAAGTGGAAGTGAATTTTCATGGTTGGGCTTTATAAGATCGACAGCACGGTTGATCTGGTAATATGTGACAGGAAACTAGTCCATCTGTAGCATTCTGATCGATCATTGAAGTGATTGGAGGCCCTCTGAAATTTCCTGACATTTAATTTTTATGGTAAAAAAAAAAGTTTAAGAGTCCTTTATTGTCAGATGTTCAGTGATATAACTGAATGAGCATTCCAGGCGATAATCAAAAAGAGGGCTAGGAGAGGGGAAAAAATGTGAATAGGGCATTACGGTGAGTGAGTTTACATGCACTCAGTAATCCGATCATAATCGTATTTCTGCAGTTATCTGATTGTTCAAATGGTCATGTAAACAGCACACTCCGATCTAGAAATCCGATAAACAGAGCTGGATTTTGTGCACGTCACCCATGCCATGTGCACTAATGCACCCCCATACCATCATGGATGCTGGCTTTTGAACTTTGCACTGATAACAAGCTGAGTGGTCTTTAACCTGGACAACACAGTGTCCATGATTTCCAAAAAGGATTTCAAATGTTGATTTGTCGGACCACAGGACACTTTTCCACTTCCCCTCAGTCCATCTTAAATGAGCTCAGGCCCAGAGAAGGTGGCAGCATTTCTGGATCCTGTATATATATGATTTATTCTTTGTATTTCAGAGTTTTGACTTACATTTGTTGATGTAGTGATGAACTCTGTTCACAGACAGCACTTTTCAGAAGTGTTCCTGAGCTCATGCAGTGATTTCTACTACGGAATCCTGTCTGTTTTTAATGCAGTGCCGTCTGAGGGCCCAAAGATCATGGTCAGCCTTGTCCATTGCACACAGATTTCTCCAGATTCTCTGAATCTGTTAATGTTATTATTTACCGTTGATAAAAAGCAAAATTTCTTTCTGCTATTTTACGTTGAGAAATGTTATTCTTGAATTGTTTTACTAGCCTTTTGTTGCTCCTGACCCAACTTTTTTGGAATGTGTTGTAGGCATCAAATTCAAAAAGGGCATATATTTTTCCATAAACAATAAAATTTCTCAGTTTCAACATTTGATATGTTGTCTTTCTACTATTTTCAACTAAATATAGGGTTTAAATAATTTGTACATCACTGCATTTTGTTTTTATTTATATTTTGCACACCGTCCTAACTTTTTAGGAAATGGGGTTGTAGGTGATGTTCAAATTTTCAGGTAAAGTGGTATGATGTTGTTTTTTTTTTTAAAAAAGCCGCAGCATGAAGTTTGAATTTACGTTACGTTTACGTCACGTCTTCTTCTGTGAGTTTATTGGCTCGTTGCAAAATGGAAATCCAAATACTGCCTGACTCATGTAGATCCGGAGTTTCCCCATTATCTGATTACTCAAGTGCATATAGACACGTTGATCGGATTACTGACAAAATCTAATTTTCTGCAGTTATGTGATTATTAAACACATGTAAACACACTCAGTGTTTGTAATTTATTGATCCAGACATCAAATCAATCTACTTGCAATTTTGAGTCAGCTGCTAGTTTGTAGTAGAATATTTCTCCAGCTTTCACTGCAGGTGGACTGAGCAGATTTCACACACCAGTGTTCAGGCTTGCCTGAACCCACACGCACACCAAAAGTGAGATATTCTGTCACTATCTAGACAGCCTACCTGAGAACAATACATCCTTGTACAACTCACACATTAATAGTCCAGGTGTGTTACTTTGGAAAAAGTGTGGAAAGTAAACTAAAATGTAAACTTTGTATTGAAAAATTATAAGGCTTACAACCAGACAACATTACCAGTGCCAAAACCCATCTGAAGTTCTTTACAGAGGTCAATCAGGTATTTTTTTTACCCAGCCCTCGTTAGTCAGCTAAATTGCTTTTATACATACTACGGCTGTTTGAATCCCAAAAATTAATTTTAATTAATATTGGGCTGTTTGTTTTTTTTGTTTTTTTTTTTTTTTTTCAGAATTGAGATTATTGAATGGAAGAGATTATAGTGTGCACAAATTTTTTTTCAAATTAAACTATTTTAGATACTTAAATAAACATATTTTCGTAGGTTAACAGTGGCTTATCTTGGGATGTTCCTTTACATTGAACTATATATATATATATAAAACTATACATAGCTTTTTGTTTGAATAATCCGTTCCACCTTAAATGGAGCAACAGTTACATTCTGGCATCTGTACAGGTAGTTTAAGGTGGAGCAAGAATTACGAATAAGAAGCCAACCTCAACTTCATGGAATTTCCAGGTCATTTGTCTCGTACGTTTCATCAGAGGCCATATATTTGCGTCTCTGACAGTCAGACACTGCTAAAATTTGGAAAATATTGCAGTCATTCACACTTTATTACCAGCTGGTTTACAGCTTGTTTCGTACTCCAGGTCGTGACCACAGTGGCGTCTGATGCAGCTGGTCAAAACACACGGCTTCTCAGGTGGTACAAGAGGAGGTGTTACATTTGGTCTGGTGTCCGTGTCAGGCTAAGGGTAGCCCTAAAAAACAGCCATTCTTTTATGTCTTATGCCTCAAAAATAGTGGGCAACTTTAGATGCAACAGATTAGACAGCGGATTTTCACATCATGTTATCTCCACTTATTTGTGGTGTGCCGTTATAACTGTTATGACAGAACTCATACTTGAACCAGTGTCCCGCCCACTGTTAGCGATACCCTCTTTTGCCTTATCGTCTGTTGTGCACGCCATCGTGACAGAAATACAAGAAATTCTGTAAAGGACTAACATTTAAGAAATGTCACTCAGATCGTACATGCATTGCTCAAATGTTGCTGTAAGGTAATAAACATTTTTTGTGTCTGTGTGTCTGTGTGTCTGTGTGTGCAGGGCCATGAGCAGGAACACACGTTTGTTTTTCAGCTTTCCAGCTCACGAGTGTGTAAGCAGCTATGGAAGTGTGCAGTAGAGAGCCATGCGTTTTTCCGCCTCAGACAGCCCACCCAGAGCAAGGCCAGTCGCAGTGACTTCACACGTCTTGGCTCACGCTTCCGCTTCAGGTACACATACACAATTCTCAACATGTCTGGCACAGATTGAATGGAAATTCCACTCATTCAGAGTGGTTTGATGTGAAATATGATGATTTTAATGCCCAAAAAGCTCCCTTACAGAAAACTGTTATATGAAATGGTTAACAGTATGCTGCCTGATGCCTGAGACATTGTTTTACTGTAGTTTCGAGAGAACATTTTGGCCTAAAATGTATCTTAACACTATTTGACTGTTATCAGACTCACAAGACACTTATAAAAACTTAAGACACTTGTAAGTTTTGGATAGCAGGTAAAATGGCTATATTTAAGGATGTAGGTATTCTGACCCCTGGTTCCTGTCATCACCATTGTAAAGAAAATCTGGGTCAGTAAATTTCTTTACAGTACGCTATTTGACGTCAAACCACTCTAAATCTCAGTGATGTTATCACAGTCATTTTATTGTGCAAACATTTTCAAAAGTAGGTGGAATTTTCCTTTAAGGCTGCACAATATATTCTTTGTTAATTGTTAATATTTCAGGAGACTGCAAGACAGTAAATAGAAGTCACAGCATTGTTCAGTCAAGGCATTCACATGATCCAAGCAACGTAAATCACTTTGCTTAAAAATAATGCAGGCCTTTCTTTAACCATGACAAGGGGCTAACAGTGTTTTCAGTATATTGCAAAACATAATTGCAAAATATGCTAATATAATCATATTTCTATATAACTATATTGTGCAGCACCAGTGTAGATGCTTTCATGATTGGGGCTAAATTTGTGCGTGGTTTTAGTGGAAGGACGGAGTACCAGGCGACTCACTCGGGCAGAGTAAGGAGGGCCAGCACTTTCGAGAGACGACCAAGCAAAAGATACCCTTCCAGAACACAGTCATTAGGCAAGGGTAAGTCCACACATCCTGCTGTCTTCACATTATATACACTAACACATCACTTCTGCCCCTAAGATTACAGACGTCCATAAAAGCTGCTCCAAAATTTGTTGGCAACTGTTCGCCAAATTTCAAATATAGAATTTGTTCAGTATGTTATAGTGATTCATATACTGCCTGGCAAGAATGCCCGACAAAGAATGCCTTCTTTTGAAATATCATATCTTAATTTATCTAATTACTAAGTAAACTGAAAGTTTGGCTTAATAGTAATTTGGCTATTTTCCAAACTATTGTTGAAAGCACATATTGAAAATCTTTTTTCCCAAAGGTGCTTTGAACAGCTGAAAGGTTTGAGTGCTGATGAATACTAACAACACAGCAAGGGGATATAAAATGTGCACTTTGACATTGTATTGGCACTGATGGTGTCAATTTTTATATGTGTGTGTGTGTGTTTTCTTCAAAATAAGGCTGGTTGGTCTTTGTGTTATTGCTGACAAAGAAAGGATGCTCATATGTATTAAAAACATTTAGAAAAGCTTGTCCCCCAAAATTCAGGTGGGCAATGTATGAATTTGCCGAGTATTAAAATGTGATGCTGGGATAAATGTGAAAGTATGTCATTGAGTGTAAATGTAATAGGCAAACATGACCAAAATCTGATTGTGACCAGACATTATTCACAACAGTGTGAACTGGAACCGAGGCTTGGTGCATCACATTATGATATTACATGCCTTTCTGTTCACATTACATCTTACAAGCATAATGTCCTGCACTTAGTTCTCAAAAACACAACTACAGGGTTGTCAAAGCTTATTGTGTTACTGTTTCTTACAGTCATTACTCCTGCAAAACATCAACATCTAAGGTAGGTGTGCGTCTTTTTTTTTCCATGCATGGGTTTTAATGTATTGCCATTTCAACAGACCTTTGCTTAGCATTTTTCTGACTCTTTTTTTTTCCCCTCCCCCCCAGTGCCCTCCCCAGCCCTGACCCCAGCTTAAAACCGGTACACTTCAGATTCCTCTATTAATGGTTAATGAATGTACAGCTCAAAGATTATTGAGAGAAAATGTATGGATAGGTTAATTAAATGAAGATATTGGCTATTTGGTAAAAGGGCAACAGTTTGTAGTTATTGAATTAGTCCATTCAATTTATTCATTTATTTTTTTTGTTTAGTATCAACACAACATTCCGATTGGTCAGGAGCCCTGGGCCAGGACACACACCCCTAGTTTGACCCCTCCTCTCTACATACAGCCTGCTGAATTTGGACACCCCCCACCACCGCACAGGTAAACATACACGCCCACCTGTTGTTATATGTTCATTTTATTATTTTAAAGCTAAAAAACATTCAAATCTTGTATCTAATACATGTCCGTGTGTTCTTATTAATGGAATAGTTCAGCAACCCTCATGTTTACACAGTTTCCCCTTACCTAAAATGTAGTTAATTAGCAGTCAGCATGTTTGGTAATGTTTGGGTCAGGGGTGAAAAGTACCTGAATAAATGTATGTTGTTACGACACACAGGTATTATTTTGAAGGACTGGTACTGTACTTGATACTTTTTGACATTCACTAAAGTATATTTTTGGCCCCATAGTTTCACTTTCAATTTTAAATGAGTGAGGTTCTGATAAAGTACTCATATTTTCCTTCATGGGTAATTTCTCTGTTCTTTTTTCCACCCCTGATTTAGGTTTTGCTTTTTTTTCAAAATGTTTTCCATAATTCAGTTATTGAGGTGTAAACAAAGTCATTCAGAGTGGTTTGATGAGAAATGATGCATGTCAGACAAACTTTGATTCTTGATGTCTTTGCAATGGATCATAAGAACCAGGAATTGCGATGTCTGCTATGCAAATATAGCCATTTTGTGTACTTTCCAAAACGATCAGTGACATCATGTCTTCTAAGTTTTATATGTAATATTGATAGTGGTAAAATTGTGGTAAATCAGAAAAAAAGTTTTCTTTGGTTATTATTTTGCCATATTTGTACTTTTACAGCATGAATGGATTTTTAAAAATTCATTTCAGGTCTAAACTCTATTTTTGTAATGTAGCTTTTAGGGCCTTAAACACTTCAGATGTCTGTTCACTTGACCACTTTTGTGAACAATTCTGACACCACAAGTTTCTCTGGAATGGTGCATTTCAAACCACTGAATGACCTTTTTGTTTACATCTTAACTGTTTCATTATGCAGCATTTTTGAAAAATCAGTTCTCTTTAAGGGGAAATTTGTGTCCATTTAAATTTTTGCTGAACTATTGCTTTGAACATGAGCTTAGCTGTTTTGGTTTGCATGTGTTTGTTCTATGTTACATATGTATCTTGCATGTGTATCTGGTCTAGACCACCCCATGCAGACAGACCCTTCGTGAACGAGGTGGTGCCAGATGGCAGGTGCGTGTCTAACAACACCGGCCAGAGTGTGTCTGTGAAGTACAAAGACAAAGTCATGACCGCACTCTGAGTGTATTTGAGGATGAATGTTGCACGCCCCAATAAGAAGGACAGCACTAAACAGCCCACAAAGCCCACCACATCCCGTCACAGCTGCTCCAACATCTTCCATCCTCCATCCTCCATCCTTCCTCATGCAATGTCATCCTACCCACTCGAATGCACCATGGATGCCATCATTCACACATTCATAACACATGGATCACTCATCATGTGACTGGACCATCAGATTGCACATTAGCTGTGCTCTCACTGGACTAAAGCATAGTTACTTGGACATGGACGCTTGTGTGTTTGATTTTAGTGTATTGCTTTTTGATGATCAATTTAAGATTTCTTCACAATGATTGTTAGGAACTGTCATTGAAGTAATGTGAAACTTAAATGTGCATCGGTTTTTGCTTCATTAGATCCATAAAGCAGTGGTTGTTTTAAAGTTTTAAGTGCATTAGTGTAATCAATTGTTCTGGGGCTTGTGGAATGCACCGTAGGTCTGTGTGAATGACTTGTACACCAAAGTTTACTCAGCGTTAGAATCATCAGTGTGACATCATACAGGAGGGGTACCCTATATTGTTTACAAATACTAACTTAATATATTGCATGCCAAGACTTCCAGTTGTCTTAAATCAAAGTTCTCTCTTCGAACATTATGTTGAAGCAGTTCACTAAGTGTCTTTGATGTTGCCTTAACTGACGCATGCAAAAGTGACTATTTCTGCTGCTGCACACTCCTTCAGTGCCTTTTTCTGACCGCAAATCCCTTGAAAGGTGAGACGTTTGTAGCTGCCAATGATTAGGAATTGTTGCAATGGAAACTGCCTTAATGAATAAATGCACAGTTTACACGGATTGATGTGCCGGTCATATTATTTCAGTGCTGGACTTTGGTGCTTCATTTTTGTACAAAGCTTTGCAATTTAGTCTCACAGTGCTTTCCAGTATTTTCTAAATGTGCTAAGTGAGCAATGCTCTGCATGTGTTTATGACTGACCTGCCCCAGAGGAAATGCTTTTAGACTGAATTAGGTAAATTGGTTTGGAAGTGGTGTTCAAAATGTGATGTTCATTTGCATACTCTCACTGTGTACTCTGTGTGGAAGTGTGTGTGAGACTCAGTGAGTGACTTTGTACCTGTGATCCACATATTCGGCTAATGTGTACAGTACTGTGGAACAAGTCTTAGGCCAGCCAAGAAAATCTGTCTGGAAAGTAAATGTGTTTTTGCTTATACAGTTATGGACTGTAACCTATTTGTTCTCATGCACATTTCTCAGCCACCCTTGATACCCCATTAATCACTGCTCAGTTTCTGACCACAAGACCACTGTTGACCAGATGTTGTTGGCTGGTGGACCATTCTCTACACAGTTGTGACTGACATGTCACTGGCATGGTAATGTAATACACGGTGTCATTGCTAGTTTGAGTGGTCCACCATCCAAAAATATCCAGCAAGGAGTGGTTCTGTGTAGAACCTGACCACTGATTGGCTGGAGAATGGCTAGTACAAATAGTGCATCCACAGGTGGGCTGCTCTAAGGAGGACATATGAGACAGATGTTTATAATAAATTGGCCATTTAGTGTGCAGTAACCAGTAACGATAATTCTGTTTCTGTGAGCTGTCAAGATTTATTTATATAGCACTTTCTACAACGGCCGCTGTCACAAACCAGCTCTGCGAGTTGGTTAGAACAGGTTTAGTTCCTCTGCTCAGTCCAGCGCCAACCATTGCATAGATTTGTTAATTCCACCACCAGCACACCTGATTCAAATTAGCTGACTGATTTATTAGCTAAAACTGTATAGGATGGTCACTGCAAATACTGGGCCTCCTTGAGGACAGGTGACACACACTGGCCAAACCATAAAATTACAATTTATTTATGTCTATTTAGATTTTTCCTAATGTTTAAGCTTTACTGAGGGAAAAAAGTGCTTCTATCCCAGACAAAGGGCTTTGTGATTTTAAAAGGCAGCCTAAGGCTTTTGCGCAGCACTATAATTCTGTAATTTTGTTCTGAATGTAAGGCGTTTTATAGTTTTCTGCAGTGCACTGTGTGATGTCGTTTTATAGTTTCCCTCTGAGCAGTGCAGACACTCAGAGATTCAGCCTGGAAGAGAATGAAGCCCCGCATTCTGGAAAGGTCTATCGCTGCTACCATCGTCATGGATACGAGAAACAAGAAGCCCAGTGTCTTTCCTTAACCAAACCAAGTGAGTCTTAATATGAAGCAGCATTAACTCGACTAAGAAACTAACAAAGGCATCTAACGTGTTGTATTGCGTTTATACAACAGTTCTGGACAGAAAATAAAGCAAAGCAAACACGCCCCAAATATCGTTGCAAATACTTACAACATTTGCGATTTCTTCAAAAAAGTAGTTCCAGCGGAGAATGTGCAGAGTAGAATTACTACTCAGGAACGTGTTTCCGGGTTAGAGGGCGCTACCGAACGTGAATGGGTTAATATGGGGCGTTTGAGCTGTATCATAGTTTGTAAATGCTTAAACATGTTTTTTATATAATAGAATGCATTAATTTCCTGAACACAGAACAACGTGAAACATTTTAACACCACTGTTACATTTTTAAATACTTTTGAACTCCAGTTATAGGGCTTTACACCAGTGCCTCATGTAGGTTTATGGCATCAGTAAGTGCAAACAACTTCACTCAGCCAATGAGCTGTTCTGCTCGCCAACCAATCAGCACTCAGTAATGCTAGCATTCTGCAGCCCAAAACGCATATGTTGTATAAAAAAGGAAAGATGCAGCTATTTTTTTGTGTTTTTAAGTAAATATATTGAAGGAAGGTCCTGAAGTAACTGTTATTTTAAGTTTTCGTTTTAGCTGTTTAACACGCATACACCCTCATTCATTTACGACCCGCTCGCAGGTGCCCTTTGGTGTTTTGTAGTCATGTTTCTGATATAATGGGAGAAATAGGAAGTGGACAGACTCCCCTTAAACTGGCTACTTTAAGAGACACTTAAAAATTAAATGAAACAGTCACTAAATCTGTTGTAAACATGTTTACAAAAAAATTGTTACTAAATATACTGCAGCCATAACTGTGGTAACTGTCTTCAATTCATGATAACAATGGAGAGAGTGGTTTCCTCAAATCTTAGAAATGACCCATTAAACGAGGAGGACAGCAAGCTTAAAGCTTAAGCTAACAAGGTAGCTGCCTGTCTAAATTACCTCAGTTTTCTCAGACTGAAAGAGCAAAAAGCGACATTCATTTTTTGCTGAATAAAATATAATTGCTGTTTTCTTTGCAATTTTGTTCAACAGCCAAAGTAAGAGTCACATTATGCTAGCTTGGTTTTAATTTATTAGCTAATAGATCATTGGCTAGGCTAGCAGTCAGAATTGCGTATCTGTATGCATGCTGGGTATTGTAGTAACGGAACACTGATGAATGAAAACTTTTGTGAAACCAATAAGGCTGAGGAATACTATATAACACAAGAAAACATATTAAACTAGTTTGAGGCAGGAAATGCCTTTTAACAAACAAAATTTTCTGTGGAATGACAGAGGTATGATTAAAAAGGTAGCATATATTGGTACAAAATACAGTTTCTGTCACCCCACTGCAACAAAGCAATAATTACAGACATAACAGAATTAAGTGATTCTATAATTAGTATAATAATAATCAGTAGTATGAGTAGTCTGTGCAGCTTCTCTTGTGTTTTATGTTTCAGAGTCATGGGTTATTCCTGCTGGACACCCAGAAGAGTATGACCGACCTTTGCCAAGTCCAAATCATTTGGACCCAGATTCTACACCCTGGCCGGCCCTTCACATCAACATCGACACAGTCAGTGATAGACAGGATGCATTTGTTTTGGAGACAAAGAGGGATCTGACCATAATTGACTGTTGTAAAATAATCGCGATCATCTCCAAGCTCACTTTCCTCCATTAAGCAAAGGGGAAATTCTTCAGATCAAACTGTAGTAAGAACAGGAGTGGCAGTAAATTAGTTAGAATAATTTGACTAACATTTGGTGAAAGGTGTTACTGAGAAATGTCATTCAGAAACTATACTTATTTTAAGAATGGTGTTGAGAAAGTTTAGGATTAAACCAAGTGGAAACCCACACTCAAAGATCAATGGCAAAACTACTACACATACTTGTTTGCTCTAAGATAAGCTAAACCTTATCTAGCCTACTGTATTTGCTAACACTTATTTTAATATAATATCTAGTGATAAATAACATTACAGAACAATGTTAAGATCAGTTCAGTTAGTAAGCTAAGTTACCTTTTCTTTACTTAACTGCTGAAAGTTGACTTGATATATTAAACAGAACTTTTTAGTTCTCTCATTTGCGAATAAAAACATTCTGTGTAAAGATGAATATTACAGCGCTTATACACATGCAATCATTCTTATAGTTTTATTTAAGTTGGCTAAAACACCTTGTGTACAGGACGACAAGACTTGTTCCACTTATAACATTGCAGCAACTATCTCCAGTGTTGACTTTAGTGTAAGTGATAGTACTTGCTCATCGAAAAGGGTAGCTTCCATGACTGAATCCCCCTTCCTTATTAGACATGAAAACCTGCGACTGAATGTTTGACAGACATAGCAACAAGGTAGGACTTTTACAGTTTTTGCAAACAGTCAATTGTGGAAAAGATCTTTCTTTCTCCATGAGTCACACTTAGTTATGTTTTATGCATTTACACATCTACATTACATGGCTAAAAGTTTGTGGGCAACTCTTCTAATTAGTGGGTCTTTCATAGACAAAAATGGGTTATACTGAGGAGCTCTTTGACTTTCAACCTCAAAACACTGAGATAGGATACCCCCTTTCCAACAAGTCAGTTTCTTCAACTTTCAGCCCTGCCAGAACTGTCCTAATCAACTGTAAGTGCTGTTATTGTGAAGTGGAAATGTCTAGGAGTGACAACAGCTCAGCCATGAAGCAGTAAACCTTACAAGCTCACAGAACGGGAGCACAGCACTCACTATCAAGTTGCAAATTGCCTCTGAAAGTAACACCAGCACAAGAACTGTTCATTAGGTGTTTCACAATTTTTTTTTTTAAGTTTTTGTGGCCAGGCAGCTGCAAACAATCCTAAGATCACCATGTACAATGCTAAGTGTCGGATATAGTGGTGTGAAGCACACCACCATTGGACCCTGGAACAGTGGAAATGCATTCTCTGGAGTGATGACTAATGCTTCACCATCTGGCAGTCTGGGTTTGGTGGATGCCAGGAGAACGCTACCCGCCCAAACGAATGTTGCCAACTGTTGGAGGAGAAATAATGGTCTAGGGCTTTTTTCATAATTTGTGTTGGCCCCCTGGTGATTAAAATCTTAATGCTGTAACATTCAATGATATCCTAGACGATAATGTACTTCCAAATTTATGGCAACAGTTTGGGGAAGGTGCTTTCCTGTTTCAGCATGATCATGCCCTCGTGCCCAAAACATAGTCAATATGGAAACACTTTAGCAAGTTTGTTGCGGAAGAAATTGACTGTCCTGCACAGAGTGCTGACCACAACAACATCGAGCACATTTAAGATGACCTGGAATACCAATTGTAAGCCAGGCCTTGTCACCCAACTTCAGTGACCTGACCTTACTAATGCTTTTGTGGCTGAATGAAGCGAATCCCCACAGCTATGTTCCACAATGTAAAGCCTTCTCAGAAGAGTGGAGGCTGTTATGGCTGCAAAGGGAGGACCAACTCATATTAATGCCAATAATTTTGGAATTAGATGTCAGATAAGCACATATAGATGTGATAATCAGTTGTCCACTTACTTTTCACAGTGTAATGTACATTGCTTGTTATTTTGGGGACATCTTGCTTCTGAGTAACTGGGTATATTTTGCAACACAACTTCATGTTCACCAAATTATCTTCTGTGGATATTAAATACATATAACAAAAATCAAATATGATTTAAATAACTGGTAGCTTAGGAGGAGTGACATCACAACAAGAGAATAAAATGTGGGCTATGGCCTTATTCCCAGGGTTGTATTTTCACTAATACTGTCACATACACATATGACATATATTATAGTGCAAACGTAAAGACCACCCTTCATGTGATTAATTTCCAATCAAAACTGCTACCTTATTTATTTTCAGGAGAATTTTTTGAAGAGATTACACTTTTAGCAAAATGGACTCTGTTTAGTACTGAAAAGGGGTTATTTGACTAGTAACAATAATGGAACCCTTTTTGGTCCTGTGTATTACCTTTGTAGAACCTTGTTTAAAGAACTGGTTGACCATGCAAAGAAAACTTATGCATTAAACTTGTTTCTGTGAGTGATCATAGTTATATAATGAACCATTGCCTTTACTAAAGAACCATTGAAGAGTCTTTTTAAAGAGTGTAAGTTAAAGTTCAAAAATGTATTAAAAGATAAAAAGAGAAAATGGGACTAACAACCAGGCGAAATCTGGTAGACCATCAAAACTACCACCATTGGATTAGCAGTACTTAAAGCTTGACAAGAGAACATGAAGCTCTTCTCTTGCTTCAGATCTGAAAAAATCCACCGTCCTTTCACTATGAGAAGACCACACTATGGGTCTAAAGGATGTCTAGCTGTTAAGAACCTGTTACTGAGAAAAGAATATAGACCAAAAGAAAAATTGCCAATCAAACAAAAAAGCTGCTGGTGTTTTTAGCACTCTGGCCACCCCAGAGTCCAGACCCCAACATCACTGAATGTGTTTGGGATTACTTGGATCATGAGAAGCAAGAAATGCAACCAATTTCTAAGACTGAGGAGGTGTGGTAAAAATACCTGCAGATTTCTTTGAAAAACTCCCGAAAAAGAATGAAAGCTGTACTAAAGTTAAAGTGGGGACATGCTAAATACTGAAACATTTGATATTACATTTACTAGTTCAGGTTTCTGTATAGTTTTCTGGTAAATATGTCTTCTCCCTTTTTCCCAAATGCAGAAAAAGGTATTGCATATACTTAATGGTCAATTTGACCAGCAATTAAATGGAGGGTGGCCTCTGACTGTTGCACAGGATTGTATTTTCTTAAAAATAATTCTAATTAGTCTTTGAAATGCTACTTCATTGCAAACCACCAAAAGAAAGTAATGTTCACTTGTAGTAAACGTTTTGAAAAGCAGGATGTCCCCAGACTTTTGAGAGGCATTGTATGGCTACCTAAACCAAAGTCTGTTTTGCCACACACAGGCAGAAGAAAAGCCGTTATCGGAGAAAAGCCTCCCCTCGTCTCCCTGTGGCTTACAAGATCAACTCAAAAGCAATATTCTGAGAGTGAGTCATCTACACCATACCTTCACTTACACTCTGCGTGTGTATTGTTTGGGGATCAATGTATACATACATCAGGGAAATTTGTAAAACTGATTGTGTTTGCATCAAATTAAAGCACCATTGATTCTCTCAGACAACACTTTTTAGGTGCGATGTTTCAAATATAATTGCACCCCATCATGAGCCCAGCTGGGATTTGACTATCCACAACACAATTAAACCATATTGTATCAGAAAAGGGAAAGACAGTGTGAACCTTTTTTTGTAGAAGAACATGGAAACTGTGTTTTTTTTCTTTGTCTGACCAGCTCACATTTGTGTGTTTTTGCATTCATAATTCTACTATGAGTTTCTCATGGAAGAATTCTGAAATAAAACAATGGGTATGTCCATATATGACCTTTGTAATATGAGTACACACAGTTAAAACCAGGTTTTTCATGATTGCTAATGCTTTACACTGTGTAAATATGTCTAAAACAACAGCTTTGGTCTCAGCTTTGAATGCCCTTAGCTGTAAGGATAGGCAGACGTCTGACTTGCAGAAGTAAAATAACAAAGATCTGCTGAATGTAGCGTAGCTGAAATTCACAGTATAACCCATTAAGCTCTGGGCTACTGTACTTTTATACTGTTAGTAACCTTAAGGCTTTTTGTCCAATAACGTATTTGAATGATTTGGTCACTCCTTTGATACACTATGTTGCCAAAAGTATTCAGTTGTCTGCCTTCACACGCATATGAACTTGAGTCACATCCCATTCTTAATCCATAGGGTTTAATATGATGTTGGCCCACCCTTTGCAGCTATAACAGCTTCAATTCTTCTGGGAAGGCTTTCCACAAGGTTTAGGAGGGCGTTTGTGGGAATTTTTGACCATTCTTCCAGAAGCGCATTTGTGAGGTCAGACACTGATGTTGGATGACAAGGCCTGGCTCGCAGTCTCCACTCTAATTCATCCCAAAGGTGTTCTATCGGGTTGAGGTCAGGTCTCTGTGCAGGCCAAGTTCTTCCACACCAAACTCGCTCATCCATGTCTTTATGGACCTTGGAACAGGAAGGAGCCATCCCCAAACTGTTCCCACAAAGTTGGGAGCGTGAAATTGTCCAAAATCTCTTGGTATGCTGAAGCATTAAGAGTTCCTTTCACTGGAACTAAGGGGACGAGCCCAACTCCTGAAAAACAACCCCACACCATAATCCCCCCTCCACCAAACTTTACACTTGGCACACTGCAGTCAGACAAGTACCGTTCTCCTGGCAACCGCCAAACCCAGACTCATCCATCGGATGTCCAGACGGAGAAGCATGATTAGTCACTCCAGAGAACACGTCTCCACTGCTCTAGAGTCCAGTGGTGGTGCTTTTCACCACTGCATTCGACGCTTTGCATTGCACCTGGTGATGTAAGGCTTGGATGCAGCTGCTCGGCCATGGAAACCCATTCCATGAAGCTCTCTACGCTGTTCTTGAGCTAATCTGAAGGCCACATTAAGTTTGGAGGTCTGTAGCGACTGACTCTGCAGAAAGTTGGCGACCTCTGCGCACTATGCACCTCAGCATCCGCTGACCCCGCTCTGTCATTTTACTTGGCCTGTCGTTCCCAATCGCTTCCCAAGTTGCTGTCGTTCCCAATCGCTTCCACTGTGTTATAATACCACTGACAGTTGACTGTGGAATATTTAGTAGCGAGGAAATTTCACGACTGGACTTGTTGCACAGGTGGCATCCTATCATGGTACCACGCTGGAATTCACTGAGCTCCTGAGAGCGACCCATTCTTTCACAAATGTTTGTAGAAGCAGTGTGCATGTCATGGAAGTGATTGGAACACCTGAATTCAATGATTTGGATGGGTGAGTGAATACTTTTGGCAATATAGTGTATTTTGTTGAATTTCTAAGTGAAATGTCCACATCCCTTACAGGGAACATACCTCTCCATATTTTAATGCACAGTTACTGTTTATTTGTTAAATTTAACATATTGGGGGGAAAAAACACAAAATGTGGGCTGTGAAAAAGTTAAGGCACATTTTATGTTGTATGTTTTATTTTTTCTAATATATTAACCTCAGCAAATAAATAGAAACTGTGCAGTACTAAAATGTGCACAAAAATGCTATATTTATGTTCCCTGTAGAGGATGTATTAACTTATTAACTTAGAAATTCAACAAAATGTAACTTCACAAGAGTCTCCCAAACTTTTGCTATGTATGCAGTGATGAGAGACTTGCCACTAGGCCCTTAGAGTTTAAGGAGGTTAAGCTAGAAAGGAAGTCTGTAGTTAAGAACTGAAGGCCAGCCTTTCAGAAACATTGCAAAAACTTAAAGCAATCTACAAATGCTCACTCTCAAAAGCAAAAGAGCTGAGAGGACACCTTGGGTGATTTCTGACAGAAAGTTGTAAACCCAGTGCGTCAAGTTTTTAAAGGCCTCATATCATGGAAAACCATTTTTTTTCTCATTTTTTAAATAAAAGAATTTGATGAAGTATGTAAACATTGTTACAGTTCAAATTTTCAAGAATATTTTTCCAACCTTAGTCTTAGAAGTTGCATTTTCTGCTTCTTATGATCCAAGTAATCCCAAACACATTTAATGATAATAATATTGAGGCCTGGGCTCTGGGGTGGTCAGCCCATTGTTCTGAGAACACCAGTTTCATGGTGTCAGCAAGTCAAGTCAAGTCAAAGTTGATTCATATAGTACTTTTAACAGAAGGTGAAAAGTACTATATGAAAATCTGGCTCCAAGCCCCATTGAGCAAACCAAGGGGAAAAACTCCCTAAGATCAAGAGGAAGAACCCTTGTGAAGAACCAAGACTCAAAAGGGAAAACCATCCTCCTCTGGTCAACACCAGATACCAAACAATAACACAACAGGACCATTAGAAATACATAAGTTTTTACAATTGATCTACAGTAATGAACTGTTATTGAACAGAAGTATTTAGATTAACCAGTGATAGTAAACGACTACTGTTGGAGGCCTATCAGAGTAACAAAGAAATAGAAAATCTATGAAAATCAGTCACTGTTACAAGAGAAAACCAGTGATTACTATTAGGAGCAAATCACAGTGAAAATTAAAAGTGGTAAAGCCATAACATCAATGACTACTGTTAGAAGCCTATCAGATGATATGTTAGTATAAATATGTGAAGAACTCAGCGTATTGTGAGGCAGGTGAAACAATGTCTATGGTTAAATAGTTCTTGTTTGAGTCTCAGCAGTGTGCTTGGGGTCATTATCTTGCTCTCGAATGAATTTCGTCTAATAAGGCACATTCCAGAGGGGATTGCATGATGTATTAAAATGTTTCTACGTATCAGCTTTCCTGATGCCTTTAATCAAAAAAAAATCAATAACTCCAGATCTTGTTGTACACCCCCAAAATGCACTGGTCTTCCATGCTTGACTGATAGTGGATGGTTGTAGACATGGTTGGAAGAGTGTTTCATTGCTTCAGCAGCACATATACTGCTTTGTGTTACTTCCAGAGGTCTTAATTTTAGACTCATCAGTCTTTAAAACCTTAATCCACGTATTAGATGTCCAGTTATGGTGTTCTAGCACAAATCTTCCTCCTTTTTTGTCTATTTCCCTATCTCTGTAACAGCTTCTTCACAGCTACACATCTTTCTTAGATTCATAGTTCTGAGTTGTCTTCTCACAGTGGAAGGATGGACAGAAACATTAGTGATTTTTTTTTCAGATCTGAAGCAAGAGTGGAGCTTAATTTTCTTCTCTCTGTCAAAGATAAAAGCTTTAAGTGCTGTTTATCTGATGGGGACAGTTTTGGTGGTCTACCAGGTCTTGTACGGTTGTTAGGAGTCTAATTTTTTTGTGCATCTTTTAATAAATGTTTAAACTCCAGTTCAGGAATCTCTTGTTTTTTTTTTCACCTATTTTCCTTTGCTTTAGGCTTCTGTATGGAAGTGGATTAGCTTGCATAATTAGATTTGTGAATCTTTTTTTTTTGTTTTTGTTTTTTTTTTTGCTGCACATGAGAAAAGAATTGCAAGGCCGCTAAGGTGTGTTTGGGTAGTCACTTGGTTACTTGGGTAGGACACAGCTGTAACTGGTAGGTTTTAAGATTAGAATGATGGAAGAGTTAAAGGAGCATTACAAACATAAAGAGTGGATAAATTAAATACTGATAAATTTGATATTATCCTTACTGTTGAGGCTTTTGTGTAATTTTCTGTTAAAATATATGTTTTCTGTTTTTTTTTCTGACACTGACGTATGAATAACTTATATTTAATGGCCTGTTTTGAGTGGAAACAAGTGAAAGGTGGTCTCTGATGTGTACAGTACTGTATATCAGTCTTAAAGAAATGGTAACAAAACCCAAATATTTTTGTAGATAAATCCACATCAGTGTCATATGTGGACCTAAATAAAAGAAAAATGAAAGTAAAAAATGTTACATCAGATAATATGCTAAGTTACAAAGTTGTAGGCAAAATTTGGTCAAATTATGCTTAAATTACGTACTTTCAAATATTGCTCTCTGAAGAGAATGTGTACTAATTTTCACTTAGAGCTTGTATTTTGATTTTGCCCAAACTTTTGCATATGACTGTACACTCATTATCCTCTTTATTAATTCCTATTTTGCGCTTCCACTCACTGGCCACTTTGATGTTCACCTGTCTTGTAGATCCACTCTATAGGTGTGTAATTACAGACCATTGCCCATCTGTTCACATGCACAATTTGTCAGCTGCCCTGTTAATAAATGTTTGGATCAGATATTAAATAAATGAAAGTCTCTGACTTTTGCACAGTACTGTGTATATGCCAGCTTACATCAAAACTGCTCTTTCCTTTTCCACAGCATGTGATGCATAGTGAGAGTGGAAGTTCGAGGGGTAACTCCTCCAGTGGTGACCAGAACAACAGGTATGTATTTGTGTGACTTGTTCTTACTCTGAGAGCTTCCCTTTAACTTTGTGTCTCCTTGCCTAATGGCCTTTAATCTGGACTCATTTTCCCAGACTCCCCAGCTCCTCTCAGGATTCAGCTTCTAGCAGTATGAACATGGAGAGGCCGAGAGTGGAACGGCGCAAACGTCTTGTCAGACAGTACAGCTTGTGAGTCACACATATACACTATACTCACCATCTGAGGCCCGCTAATATGTAGAAAAGGGTCTTTATGTGTGACACTGAAGCCTATTCTATTTCATTCAGAGATGGTTTTGGATTACTTTCTATAGAGATATTAAGTTTAAAACTTAATCTGTCTCACATATTTTTATAGATCTTATCCACTGAATATAGGATAAAAAACCCATGACATACCTAGGATCTTAATGGCAACAGTGCTAAATAAATACAGAAAGAAAGAAAGAAGGGATCCACGTATAAAAATTAAATTAAGTGAATATAGCAATGACAGTGCAATTTTCTTGTTTACTCACAACTGCTGTGTCCCAACCAAACTGGGTGTAAAATTGTATAATGTTGCTGGCCATTTTTTCCTGATTTTATTTATTTATTTTTAACAGACTTTGAAAATAGCCGCTGCCCTTGTGTTAAATTTATGACTGATAGAGCAATAGACGTGCTTCAAAATGACTTTCTTCTTCTATTAATTCCCATTCAAAGTTAAAACATTTTTTCCTTCTCCTGAAAAGTTACCATTTTTGACAGAAGATGTTTTGTTGCAACAGCAACGATAAGTAGTGATATTGCAGATCCACAAAAGATGTTACTCGGAACAATTACCAAGTTCCCCTGTGCTGCGGACCTGATATGATATTGTATTTTATGTTATGTTATGTTATGTTTGTAAAAATGAATAAATGACAATATATTGAAAATAAACATTCATTTTGCATTAGAATTTGCAGACGATTGTTCTCTGAAGACCACGTATACTTATTTTCATTTCAAAATCAATGAAACATAATTTGACCAGGGGTGCCCAAACCTTTGCATACAACTGTACACTCCTTATCCCTTTTATTGACTCTGATACAACATAGTAGTGTGACAGGCTGTGTTTAAATTTTGCTGATAAAAATTAGCATGACATAACAATAAACACCTTTTTTTATTTACTTTTTTTATGGCTTGTTTTTGCCAGGAGCACCACACTTAGTTGTTAATAGTATATTACTTTCTAAAAAGGAAAGTGCCAGAGCTGTCTGCCTGTTCTGATTAGGATAGAAACAGAGACGTGCAGCCAGAAGCCGCTTACAAAAAAACAGTGTGAACCCAAGGGAAAAAAAACATGCAGGCACCTTGCGTTTTTCTTCCTTCACAAAAAAAATACAAACTGAAACCCCCATCGCCCCTCACCCCCAAATAAGCATTAGCCCTGTTGTCAGGATCTGTGGTCAGGAGTTCAAGAAAGCATAAGAAGGCCTAGCTCTCTCTTGGTGGCCAACACGGGCATCTCTTAGGTACAGTAACAGAATTAGCAGCTAGTGTTCTCCTCCAAGTGTGTTTGCTGCCCAATCACATTGTGTTTGCGGCAGCTTAGTAGCATCAAGTCATGTCTAACTAGTGTGTTTGAGAAAAACAAGGTTAACAAATATTGTGATAATTTGCGAGGCCTAGAGATTCCCAGTAACAAATGCACTGCCTTGTGTCCGATAGTAATCACAGTGATGAAGATGACCTCCCAGAGGCTCTTGCTGCCATTTCTTCTGAGAGCAGCATGGGAAAATCTGCATCTAACAGCTCGCTGGACAAACAGGTCCAGCCACCGATCTACCCACCGGTAACTTTTGCACTGAGGTTTCTTTGAGTATAGCTCTGTACAGTTCTTTCATTATAACTGAATAAATTTGATTTCATTCTTTAGCAAAAAAGCGTCCCTCCATTGGAGCACTGTGACAAATCTCCTCTGTTCTACCCAAGCCCAGTCCCTCACCTGCTGCCATTCAGTCCGCACTCAGACAGGTAACATACACATATATGAACAGACACTATATGGACAGAAGGATGTGGACATTACATCTGTATGCCACAAAATTGGAAGAAAATACTTGTCTGTAATGTCTCACTGGAACTAAGGGGCCCAAACCCTGAAAAACAGCCCCAGACCATTATCCCTGCTCCACCAAACTTACTGTTGATACTATGCATTCCGGTAGGTAGCGTTACAGTGGCATCTGCTAAACCTAGATACATCCATCAGATCCATCATGCTTTACACCACTCCAGCCAACACCTGGCATTGTGCATAGTGATTTTAGGCTTGTGTTCAGCTACTCAGCCACTGAAACCCATTTCAAGCTCCTGATGCACAGTACTTATGCTGATGTTGCTTCCAGAGACAGTTTAGAACTTGAGTAAGGAAACAGACAACAGGCAATTTTTAACGTACTGCTATGATTTCTATCGTATGGCTATGTGCTTGATTTTACACACTTCTTAGCAATCGGTGTTTGAAACACTTGAACTCAGTAATTAGTTGGGGTGTCCACATATTTTTGGCCATATAGTGAATATACATATGCAAACACACTCTGATCTCTCATCTGGAATGTGTTGTGATGTACTAAGCCTACGTCTATTTTACTGTTCTTCTTTCTCTCTTTTTACACGTTTGTGTGCTTGCATTGTTTGTCCAACTGTTGTATTTTTTTGTGTGTGCGCATGTGTTTTAGCAGTGATGAGCTGAAAATGGACAGAGAAAAACTGCTGAGAGCATTACTAATGACAGAACTCTGAAACCATATACACATCCATGAGCATAATTGAACAGAATTTAATTCATTGAACTGTAAGTACTTTTTTATACATATGAACAAACATAAGTCTATTTTTTAATGATAAAGCTGACTGCCCTTATAAACCCCATCTGCAAAATCATTATGTTTATCAAATGTTTAATGTTCTATGTAATTTTAAACCATATTTATTTGTCATTTTGGCTTTGGAATTGTGCCTCGAAGTCCACCGTGTTTTATCTTGTCATTGGAGTACACTGTGTATAAATTCATGGGCTTGAATTTGTTTGACTTCAATTGGAAATAATACACTGTACATATATATTGTACATACCTTGTAAAAAGTGAACATTGTCATTTGTTTTCATGGAAGCTTTCTAACATTTTAAAGAAAACTTTTGCAAACATGGTACAGTATACAGTATTTCATTTTATATGCTTAGCTGCTCTATATCTCAAAGTAATAAACACAGAATTACTGAATAAATCAGCTCTCCTGTTGATCAAAACTGGATGATCCAAGCCTCAAAAATGATTTCTGCGATAATGAATGTTTTCTTTGGCCTGTGTCTCACAAGTGTTAAAAATCTGATGTTGTTTAAAACCTAAGATTAGATAATAGTACAGTAACTAACACAGCAGGCCCCTCATGTGCCATTATGGTTTGCTATTCAAGTAAAGTGTCTTCTCTCACTGGGCCTCATTCACCAATATCGTCCTTTGTTTTTCTTAAATTTGTTCTTGAGAAGGTCGTAAGAAAACGCCTACGTCAAATTCGTCATGTGTTCTTAACCCACAGAATTATTTGCACCTTTATGTAATAAGAAAGGATTAGTCAATGGCAGAATGTTCATGAAAACTGTGTAAGGTTTTAAGAAGAAATTTCTTCTAAAGAACGGTTGGGGAATGAGGCCCAATGTGTTTACTTGTGAAATGGCTTAGAAATATGCAGTGCACTGGGAGTAGTTTCTGTGTCCCACTAGATGGCATCAATTTTGCATTTGCATTGAAAGGCCTTTATAGACATTCAATAGACTTTAGCTGCAGATACATTAAAATAAATTCAAAACTAACCGACCACAATTAAGCTTTAACTAATTATATTTCCAGAGTGTTAAATCCGATTAATCATACTTGAGAGGGCAACATTTTGATATGATAGATTTGATGTAATGTATTTAAATAAAAGATGTTAAAAGTTTCAGAACTGTTTCGCAAGTGTTTTTGAGTGTGTAGAAAATGTAAATAAATAAATGTTAAAAATCACTCAGTCATCCAGTTTCATAAAGTTGTTAACTTTGCTTTATTTCCTTTAAGTTAACATAAAATATCAAAATAAAATAACACTTTCTCCATAAGTATAATAGCCAAACAAATTATCTCTTACTTTACACTAATGCTCAAAGATTTGGACTCTTTTGCCATATTGTTTTTTTTATTCAAAATAAATGGCAGTATCAATTTTAATATACTAGATGCTATTTTGGAATCAACATTTACTTTAAAAATTGAAATTTATAAAGAATTTATATACTTGAAACATTTCATATATGTATCTACATCAACATAGCTTTTGTATTATTAAAAAGAATGACTCCAAATATTTGAGCAGTAGTGTACAACATTAATTGGAATCATCATGTTAAAAGTATGAGTAGTGCTTTGTGTACTACTTTCTGTTGGCACATTGGGGGGGGGCTAAATAGGGATAAAATGCTGTATCATCTTACTGAAATACAGTTTAATCCTACATTTTTCAAAAGCTTAGGCATGCATGAAAATCATTACTAAAAGCAATGAGTATAAGAAGTCAAGAACATGGACATAAAAAGCCACGAGGGTCGGCATTCAATACAGCTTCAACAGGCTGATATATCAGATCACATTAAATCAACAGTACATGCTCACACAAACTTGTTAATAAACAGACATCAATTTGAAATACAAATATGTGTGTGTTACAGCAGGTCCAAAACACTCACCAAGTACAGTAAGTACAGTACTGTGCAAAAGTCAGAGACCACCCTTCATTTATTTAATTTCCAGTCAAGAGAGTCAGTCAATACAAGTTATGTTTCAGGAGGTGTTTCAGAGAAGATAACACAATTTGCCTAAGGAAGGGGAAAGTTAAAAAAAAATTAAAAATGGCACTCTTAACAACTGTGCAAAACCTGGTAGACCACCAAAACTATCACTATCAAATAAACAATAAAGCTTAATCTTTGAGAAACAGGACAAAAATCAAGCTCCACTCTTGCTTCAGATCTGAAAAAATCCAGAGGTGTTCCAGGCCACCCCTTCCACTGTGAGAAAACTCCTCAAAGCTATGGGTCTGAAAGGATGTGTTGCTGTTAAAAAGCTGTTACCAAAAAAAAATGTCAAAACAAAAAGATGATATTTTGCAAATAAAGCAGCTGCTGCTGTTCCCAGAACAACAGACTGACAAACCCGGAGCCCAGACCTCAACATTACTGAATGTGTTTAGGGGTTACTCGGATCATGAAAAGCAGAAAATGAAACCAACTTCTAAGGCTGAACATTGGAGGTGTGGAAAAATATTCCTGCAGACTCTTTGAAAAAAAAACATCTTCTGGAAAGAATGGAAACTGTAATAAAAGCATTACTAAATACTGAAAATGAATAACTTGTATTCAATAGCTATTTTGACTGGAAAGTAAATAAATGACGGGGGGTCGCACAGTCCTCTACATGCACTGATTATGGTGCATGTGTACATGTCCATACACACACACACAGATATACAAACACACACTCTCAAAAACATGCATGTCAGTAGGTTTACATCTGTTACGACTAAAAATGAACAAATAGTACAAACGTTCACCCATTCAGTGGGCTGAGGGTGATACACACTCATCTACAATCATAAGGCACATCAACAACTGCACACATGGAGACACACACACACACACACCGATACAGTAAGTACCTGTTGTTCCTGATTCTGGCCCTGAAAGGATTTTGGCGAAATGATTACTGCAGATAATAATGTTTTTAGCAGGCTTCTACAACTGAGGACACTGGCACCCGCACCCGACTGCAATTCTACAGCGTGTGAGGATTCGGCGAACCTTGTAAACATTTTGTGTCAGTTAGCTCTTTGAACTTCATTATGGAAGCTTCAAAAAAGGAGAGTCAAGCATGTGTGTATATATACAGTACTGTGCAAAAGTCTTAGGCACATAAATAAATTCTCTAAAGCCGTTTGTCTGGGGAATTGCTTGAAAAAGTTCTGATATTTTGTGAGCTAGGCAGAACAAAGATTTCTCCTTAATGCCGTTAGCCATCATGATAATATATTTAATTCCACGTCCAGCAGACCTCATTTCATTTAATGGTATTGGATGATAACTACAATCAAAATACTGGGCTGGAAAGAGTTGGAAAGGGTTACACAAACACATTACTTACATAAAATCACTACTTGTTGTATTAATTTTGTATAAATTTATACAATTTGTATAAATTTATATTAATTATTAGTATTTTTCTGAGCAAATAAAAACTCGCTATCCAGTTATATAGGCTTTTTGCACAGTACTGTATGTGTGTGTGTGTGTGTGTGTATGTGTGTGTGTGTATATATATATATATATATATATATATATATATATATATATATATATATATACACATACACACACACACACACACACACACACACTCATACACATACACACACACATACTCACAGTACAGTCAGTCACATCAGCTGGGATAAAGGCACAAACACTTGCATACAGGCGTACACACACCAGCATGTGTGGAGAAACGGACACACACATACACTCCTAGAGATGTGTGCAGGCACATGCACTTTATCTAACCCTTTGGCTTAAACTGGTAATAAAATGGCCGATTAAAAAAAAAACAGTGTTTTGATACAGGAGGCAGAAACAAAGCAGGGTTTGCTGATTAATGTCTATGGATTTCTTTCCTGAGTGATTGAGTTAATCTTTCCACCACACTCACGCACACACACATACATACATACAAAACAGAAACACACATCTCCACTACTTGTCTATGAGGAGAACATTATCTAATGCATACACTAATGCATAAAAACAATGTGCAATATAAAAAAGCTCAATTTTCAAATACATATTTATAGGTTTCACATAAATAGCTACAATGATATAACTTGCTGTGTTTCTGGGGGCCAAACTAGAATTTTACAGTAAAGTGGTGTGGCCTCATGACTGGCACGGCTTATAGCAGCTGCAAGTCCAGATAGGCTCCGCCTCCCAGACTCTGGTCTCCAATAGGCTGTTTGGCCGACAGTAGGGAGGGGAGAGTAACCAAGGCATCACTGTTGCTGGGCTGAGAGAAGGAGATAGAAATTAGTGCAACTTGCACAGCTAGTTTAACTTGGGATACATTAAATAGCAAGGCATACTGGAACACTGAAAACACTTTTAATGAACAGTTTAATAACTAATAAATAAATGCACTCTCATATATGCATATTAGAGCAGCATGTATTCTCTAAAAGACTGTTGCACATTGTAACAGCCTCTAAAGCCAAATCAACGAATATAGTTTTCTCCAAATTATCCATCTAACCTGGACATGTTCTGTAGTCAATATGTGCACCTTAACTAAAATACGACAAAGATACTGTTGGGACATATCCTAATTAAAATGAATTAGAATAATGTTTCCATAATTCCAAGTTTGTGGAATAACATGCACTTTGTTGCAAAAAGTAAAAAAAAACTTTCACCTTTCAGTAGCCACTTATTTTTTAAGCAAAAAAGGTATATAGCTGCAACCGTACCTTGTTAGCTTAGGAACAATAATTAGAATAAATTGACAATAACAAGCCATATTTGCCTTGTATGTTCCACTGAAACATTCTTGATATTTATGCCTCTAGTTTTGTTGCATTCCAGTGTGAGAGTTCAGCAGTCATTCCATCGGTCCTTATGAAACCATTAAAAACTTGCAGATTCTTTTTCTCTTCTCATTGCAGATACATATAATCTAATCCACAATCCTTAATTGACATGCACTTTGCCAGAGTGCCACTTCTTGAGTTTGCATGTGGGTAAAACTTATTAGCTTACTTTGCACAAGAACAGCCAAATATGGTCCAGTCTCAAGCCTGTGCATGTTTCACTTTTGCAAGATAAGCAATTATACGCAATTTGCGGCTCCAGAACAAAGTTGGACTGTTCAATAACAACATACAGCAGACAGTACTTTTTTTTAAAATTTAATTTAAATGTTTTCAAACGCAAATGTCACCAAACAAGACCACACTGTTAGTGAGTTAATAAAGCACACTGGCGTTTGTAGGATAAGAGTCTACTGAAAGATACAACCTGTGCAGGCATGAATACGCATGCATATATACTAGCACCTAATAATCTTTACACAAATTCATGTTATACAAATTCCTCTGAAAGAAAATGTTCTAACACATTTTAATAAACAGTGTATTACAGACGTATTAATGTTACTCTTTTTATAAATGCGCTTGATCAACATTACTGGCCAACTGACTATATATCTGAGCATGTGCCTATTCATGTATTTGTAAATACATTCACTGATCCTTAACCAAAATGAGACAATCCTAAGGAGGAATACAGATAATAAAGCAGGAGAATCAAGTTACAGCAGGCTAACGCACCACACCCTGTGTATGTGTGAGGAAATCCAGACCAGAGAAACCTGTTTAGCTTATTGAAGGAGTGTGACAATGCACAGGAGAACTATGCAACTGTTACTCAGAGCCACTGAAGCATCCAAATCTCTAATGCTCAACACCACAGGACACAGAACACACCCAAATGTCCTCTACAACCCAGCCCTAAACACACCACACCCACATACAAACGTCCCTTTAAAGTTTCTGGGAACTTCAGAATAGAAACAAAATGACTGGAAACAGGAGTAGCTAACTCCTCATTTATTATGTGAAATTGTGTCCAATATGGAATTCTGTACTGAAACTGAAAGCTTTTATAAACTCGTTTTCTAAATGTGATTACTCTACAAAATCACTAAAATGCAATTCAGTTCAGCTGTACTGTTATTATACCAGAACTGCATAATAGGGATGCAATTAGTTAACCAATTAAACATTAGCCAACAACTGTTCAACCAATACTGTCAGCAGTGACACGGGAAGTAGGGGGGGGGGCTGATTTGAACATAGTGCACTGTTTACGGTAATATATTTTCATTAAAGAGAGCTGAATCGCTTCCCTTGCACCCTGTAGGCCACTTGGGGTGTCACTGAAACACAAGCAGGTGCAAAGTGGGAAAGTGTGTGTGCAGAGCTGCTGGCTATTTCTGAGCACAAAGCTGCCTAATATTGTTTTTAAACCTTAAAGAATCTGTAATGATGTCCCATGCTTTGAACACATTCTTTTTTTTAATCCACTATTATATCTCCTGCTCGAAGTGCGTTTGATTGTGTGACTGTGGGAGTGACACAACTGGTTACCGCACCACACGTCAACAATCTCACTGGACGTAGCTCAACTCATCTACATAAAGGTTGTCCAGAAGGAGAGAGAGCAGAGAAAAGAGTGTGCATCAGTGGTTTTGATGTTTCGGTTACAAGGGTATATTTTCGTCTCTCACCATGTTATGGCACCTCACAACACTCTCTGTTTGCAAATTATCAGAAAATTATCAGAAAGTGTGAGGCATGTCGGTGTGAGAAAATCATGCATGGGTGTGCAAAATTATAGAGTAGGTCATGGTGTATGGAGTACTGAAATACACTGAGATAAAGCCAGCCCTAAAAATTGGCCTCTTGTTCATTTGAACTTGGGCTGGAAAGTAGTGGTAAATATAATTTACTTTAGAATATATACATTTTGGTCAAATAATAATGAATGTAGTTGTTAGTAACTGAATTGTTACTTGGGTATGTTTAATACAGTTTTGGCCCGTTTACTGCATATACACGCTGACGCTGACTTAAGTCATAATACAATGGCTTAAAACATGCCTCAGCAAATCAGCCAAACCATTTTAGAACTGATATTTTATTGTGTCCTTAATTAACTATGATAAATCTTCTACTAATGACCGTTGGTTACTGGTCAAAACAATTTGCCAAAATTTGCATCCCTACTGCATAACTGCATTTTCTCACTATTCTCATTGGTGCAACATGCATGGGACACACAACAATACAAAAATACAGGACAGGGCAGTGCAGACCAATACTGGCGCAGGACATGGGCAGTATACATCAATACTATTGGAACAGTAGTACAAAGAGTAGCACACAAACTATATGTTAAACAAAAATTGACAGTGAGTGGCAGTGAACTAGTTTTAAGGGTTATGATTGATAGTGTAGTGTTACCTACCTGATAACCCTGTACCATGCTGAGGATCTCTTTAACTCCACTGGCGTAGGCATGAGCAGAGGTGTGGCTTTGCATTCTGATCATTGCCGTAGGTGGGCTGGAGAGCACAGAGCCTGCTGAGGGGGTGTGACTCGTAGGGAAGTAGCCCATGTTGGGTGGGGAGCCTGGGGGGCTGAAGTCAACACAATAACTTTAAATACAAGATACAGCTATCAGGTACTACCATGCTTTGTAACATTAACTAATTCATTTATCTTAGTCACTTCAATTGCTCTAAATTCATATTTATACCGTATATGCACCAAACTTTCTCCTAGCTTTTCGGAGTCAATCTGTAAAGCACTTTGAATTACAACTGCCTGTGTGAAAGGTGCTGTATAAATGAAGATTTGATAGATTGATTTGACGACTCATGAATATGTGCATGTTTGTGTGAGCAGTCATTAAGGGTAATTATAATCATCCAGTACTTTCATTTTACCCATGAATGTACTGTTCAAACACTGTAAATATATGAGGTCTTTCTTTTTTTTTTTGAGTTTTTTGGAGCTTCTCACTCGGCTTGATTTCTACAAACACACAGCAGCTAAACTGTTCAGTTCTCCAACACAGATGTAGGTACAAGGGTATGTTACAGGAGCTGGGCGTGAAGCGCACACACTTTTAGAAGAGTACAACACACCCAGCTAATGCATGTTGTTCTGGTTGTGTAAGTCTTTCCTGAAGGCTTGAAACAGGGTCATTATGTTCAGACTTTTCAGAGCTCCATTTAAGCAGCTCTGTGAAGCTGCCTGAGGCAAAGCCTCACTTACAATCAGTAAAAAGTGCTAGAAGTCCTTGAGTTGAAGTAGAGGCATTACAGAGAATTACTGAAATAAAAGTGCAAGTGACTCTCCAATTTTCTGTTCAAATATAATTTCAAACGGGCTTAAGGCTGCAAAGTAAAAGTAAACACAATTATCAAAATGGATGAATATGTAAGGATACGTATTTCAAATGTTGAGTTTAACTTGCAAATCAGCCATAGTGTACAGTCCAAGCTGCTACAGTTCATTTCAATGAGACACTGATGACACAAACACACTATTGTAAAGTTGTTTAAAAACTCAGACACTGGATCTCATTCACCAATATCTTTCCAAGTTTGTTCTTAAATCTGTTCTTGAGAAAGGTCCTAAGAAAAAGTCTACATCAGATTTGTGTTCTTAAAGCACAGAATTGTTCACACCTTTGTGTTCTTGAATGTGTGTAGATTCTGCTCTCACCTAAACACAAATCCCAAATAATAAAACATCGGTGAATGTCAGAATCTTCGTGCAAACTGCACAAGTGGGTTTTAAGAAGAAATTTCTTCTTAAGAACAGTTGGTGATCGAGACCCATTGCTCTTAAACTGTGTTGTGTTTGGAACCCCTGATGGTGACCATTCAACTGAGGGTGATCCAAAGACTGTTGCATTTGGCTTAAAAAATATGTGTACCAAATGTAGCATTGATTATTATCAAATAGGGAAAAACTCTAAAAAGGATGAAATAGGCATTAAGTCTGAACATGGTAACTATAGAAATACAGAATGTATTTGTGTAGGTTGGGTCAAATTTAGTGAGGCTATCTATATAAATGAAAGTGAAACATGAAAGTTTGTTTGTGCAACGTAATGTTATTGTGTCCACCGCCATCAGATACAGCCAAGATCTTCTACTGGCACATCAACTGTCAAAATTGTAGTCTTTCATGCTCCACCAGTGGGGGCCACAAGGAAAAAAGGCATAACTTCAGTCACAGGGAAGTACAAACAGACAGGGAGAAAGGTGAGTGCAAGTGAAAATAACTCACACCACAAGATATGTATGGAGTTCAAGTGTAGGTGTCAGATCCATACCATCTGCCTACACCTTTACTTATGGGAGCACAACCCTGCACAACTCTGACCTGTTTTATCTTCAGAGTTTACTGGACCTGTAAGATACCCTACCAGACCCAGCTTCCACTCTGTACTTGACCCTCCACTTATTAACTGCAACTTTATACAGACCTACCAAGCTCATCTGCTTTGCCACCCTGACGATACATCTGCCTTGAGGAGGACAGATATGTTGAGCAGACTGAATACAAAGAAGCACATGTATAGTGGTCTTGGCTGCTCTGTTACTTTTTGGTAAGAAGGATCATGTCAAGGCAGTCTAAAGTTTCCCTACTGTCACTCAAAAGCTGTATGTGCATTCCCTAAACAAGAATAAGAAATCTCCCTTTTTGAAAATGTATTTAGTGAGGAAAACACTGAATTTTATCATTAACATTCCACTGCACTGAAAGTATTTCACTTGGTTTGTCTGCCACCAAAAGCCAGACTACACCCATCCAAACTGTGAATGGTGCTCCACCCAGTAGTCACATGATTTTCAGCATCTGTTTTGGTGCTGCTAGCCAGCTGAGGTCAAGTCAGGTTGTTTTAGGCCAGATATCTGGAAGGAGCATTCATTACCAAAGGTGGGTCACGTGCAGGATAAGCAGCCACAGATGGGGAAGTTCGTGCGACACTTTCAGTTCAAGTTTCTTATATTATTATATTTATTATAGTTTTGAGGCAAAATGTCACAATATACTACAGCCACAACTTTTACTTAGATGCACTATTATTATGTTCTTTTATCTCATAAACATTAAGCTTCTGCTGACACACTATTAGTGTGTTTGCTTTCACTTCCACTGCAATGTTAGGGTAGTCTCAAAATTATTCTGTTTACAGCACAGGCCTAACCCAATGTGATTTAATGACTAATCCATCATATTTGTATATGAATGTGATACAACAGTCCTACTGTGACTTTGGTATGTCCCAAGGAAAAATGCAGAACAAAAGTTATACATTTGTATGCCTGCAAAGCACATCTACCACTTTTAGTCCACTAATAATGTCACAGTTCACTGCAATAAAGCATAACATCTGATGTAGAAAAAACCCTAAAACAATATGAATCCTAAAATCCTAAAATTTATGCAGTCACAACATTCTCATGTACTCCAATGGTGGGGAAATAGCATAACAACAACTGAGGCTGACAAAGATAAATATATTCGTAAATTATTAATTTATTATATATTAATTTGTATATTATGTGTGGATATATGATTAGATTTAGGATATTTTGTTAGTTTCTTACTTTTTGCTCCCGAAATGTGACTATATGTATATTTCCAATATAGAAAATGTATTAAGTAAAAGGTGGATTAAAAAAAACAAAAACCCCTAGCAATGCAGAGATCTCTGAAGTAAGTAATGTAGTGCTCAGTAGATGTAAAGCTATAAAATATTGTTCAGCCAACACACAAGACAAACTCCACCTAATATATAACACACAAAATGTTACAAAAAGATGAGAATCTATCAAATTCTACTTATATTAGATATAGCACAAAAACAGGCAAACAACAGTTAGGACATTCAGTTCTAGCATACAGTCCTGTGCAGCGCACAATTAAGAACATCTAAGTGTCACTGAAAGAACCATCGTAAACAAACTCAAGGCACAGGCACCAGTATTTGTCAGTACCAAGATACATGGTAGGGTGTGTTTTAAAGGAAAGTCATCCAAACATTTTGAGTCCTCCATTAATCCAAAGCCCTCATAACACCCTTAAACCAGCAGCAAAGCAACAACTACAGAAATCATCAGATTGACTATAACCTAGGCCTAGGATCAACAGTATTTAAACATCTGTTGTCTCAATTTAAAGCTCAAATCATGACTGAGTAATGCAATGTCACAGTTGCCCCAGGCCTAGTTTACTATTAGATAACATAATAAGTGCACAATGTAACATGTTTGGTGAAAGCAAAATGTTTTAAAAGGTTCTGTTGTTGCAGTATCAGAAACTGTTTACCACCCTTTCCATTTTTTGCCACAAGACTTTGGCATCTATGGTTAAGGATGGACATGTGCTCTTTTGTGAGGCTCTAAGAATGCCAATGAAGGTGTATTTTCCCTTACCTTGGATAGTAAGCAGCATAGTTCATATACATCTGGCTGTTAGCTGGGTAGAAAGCAGTTGGTGCTAGGGGGCGAGGATTCAACAGAAACTGGGAGGGATAAAGGGCCTCTACTGGAAGTACTGCCCCAGCAGGAAGCACTGCTCCAGCAGGAAGTACAGCCCCTCCGGGAGGGAATGTGTAAGAGGCAGGGGAGAGACCTGCAATGGGATGAAGAAAGGGGAATGAACTGTGAATTGTGACCAACTAAAACATGTACCTCATGTCTCCAATTAAAAGGTGACTGGCTCCCATAACACAACTACCTCTATCTTCTCTTGACCACATTAAATCATGCCCTTTCACTCTTTGGTTCATTGTCTTTTTTTAATGCACCTATTATTAGGTTTGGTGCAGGTAGTGCACAGGAAATTTATAACTGGCTCTAGAAAACAATGATTCTTCAGAGAGAAGCCACATGAAGAACTGTGCCAGGGCATGATAATGGTCCCCTGTCTAACACTTCTGCCCAGCCTCGCCCACCCTGTTTTCTCTGTCTTAACAATCTGTAGTGCCGGCTTTTTCTATTGTAGATCCATGACCCTGTTCATTGTTTGTTATCAGAAACTCATGCAGTCACCCATGCACACAAACAATGAACTACTCACTGCAAAACACCACTGTTCCTAACCTTAACGCCTGAACTATTAATCTGGCCAATAACAATCAAACTAGGTCTATCATATTCTCAAATGAGTTTAATATTCTATTGCTATGGCTCTCACTTACAGAATCTGTGGTATCATCAAACTTTACTTTAGTTCATTCTCTCCTTTACAAAATATTACACATAAAGAAGCATGCAGCCTGATCCAAACTTCCCTTAACCATCAGTGACTGCCACCATAATTCAGCAACTAGTTAGGTGTGAAACCCCTCTCTCCAACAACATCCACTACAAGACCAGAGTTTCTTAGAAGGACTGGTGATGCCTGAGGGGCTTTCCAATGACTTTTCAATTTTATGACCTTTCTGGGTCCTGTCAGTGTTGGTTGTAGGTTGTTTGGGGTTGAAAGGTAAGCGACTTCATCAACTATTCTAGATTAGAATGCAGGGAGAGAGAAATCTACACTGCACCAAAACAGGAAGTCACAACACTCACACCTGGTGCTTGAGAGATTGTATGTTATTCTAATATGTATGTAACAAATTGAGAGCTTTTGTAAAATTAACAGTGAATCTTAATCACAAGTTTCACTCCAAATAAACCCCAAAAAAAAAGCGCCCACGTGGGCCCCCACCAGTTGGAAAGTGTCCGAGTAACATGGAATCGGTCACCACAATCATCAGAGAGACAAAAAACAAACATTCACCCAAAGGATTCTTACTGCTCCTGCTGCCCACTCTCGTTCCCATCTGGAACTGTGTGGACTGGAGATCTCCGAACGAGTTGGATGAGTGCGAGGAAAAGAGGGAAGGAGGAAGAGGAAGGTGTAAAGCGCCACCTACCCGCGCACACAGCTGAGAGAAGCAGCCCCGCAGCCCAGAGGCACTTACGTCGTAACTTACATGGCGGCGGCGAGAGACCGCTCCTGGAGAGCGAACCTCCCATCAGCACGACGTTCATCTCCTGTGCCGAACAGGGGAATACCTCCACGTAGCGCTCCTTCATGCTCCGCTTGTGGCAGCGCTGCGCCGCCAGGTACGCCCTCTCTGCTGAGCGCATCTGGATGAATGCATCACCTGATGGACGGCCCTGAATGTATACACAAACACGCATTTGTGTTACTAACTTTTAGTGTACATGATATGTCAGCGGCTCACACAGAAATTACCAATAAATAGGAAAACTTAGTTATTGTTATCAGTTTTAGATATAAAGACTGAATAATGATCAGCTGGTGACTAGAAGCCCTTTTTTCGTTTGATGCACTTACAGTCATGCCCTAATGCTGCAGAGTGGAAATGTGAGCAGCAAAACAGAAATGCAGTTTGCAAGAACTGTTTGGCTGAGGTACGGTGAGAAGAAATATAGCAATAATGTATCAATTTTAGTTCAAATGATCAATAAAGCCTAAAGACATGAGCAGCTAGTACTAGAAACTAGCATCAAGAGTTTTAACCTGTCTATGTACACTACACATTAGTGGCTAACCTAGGGACTTCAGTTTGGGCCATAAATATTAAAATTTGTCTAGAAAAAGCTAATTTCTGTAAGTGTTCTTATGAGATTTTTGATTTTTTGTTAGCACTAAGCTTACACTGGTGCACCAATACTTTCTGAGATTAAACACGGACATTTGAAGCTTGTAAAAGACATTTCTTGTTTTTTATTTGAACTCCTTGTGAGTCTTTTATGTAGCAGTTTTACAGTGTCACTGCTGTTTCCCAATTTTAACACCTGACTGAAACCCACTGGTTAGGTTATCTCCCAATATGTTAAAGATTTTTCTCAATATGTTAAATTCAGCAAATAAACAGTAACTGTGCATTGAATTGTGCAGAAGTGTGATCTTTGAATAGGATGTGTACTTACTGTCACTTAAAAAATCAACAAAAAATGCATAGTATTTTCCACATTTTTAAGCTATGGCCACACTTAACCAAACTACAGCCTCAGTCTTTTGTCTCTTTTTGTGAACGCTAGCGTACAACAGTATTTTGAAAAAAAAACAACAGCAGGGATATGTTGTCCTAGAAAGAGAGCAAAACATCACAACCATAGGTTTTCCATTAATTTGGTGTCATCATAATAATGTCATCAATTCCAGTGGCAAAAACCAAGAATGCATGTTTTAACTTCTGACGACTTGCAAATGTTCTGTTTGAGATCTAGGTCTGTTTAAATGCTATGAACCCTCTAAACCTTCTCAACTTTCAAGGCAATGTTTAGGATTTTCAAAAACAGCTTGAGATTAACTGTCATTTCCCCCATGAACTGAACGAGACAAAAAGGAAACCTGCATACTACACAGTTCCAGGGAAAAAAAACCCATATGCATCTTATTTACAAAACACAATGCTCAAAATAAACGTCAAGGTGGGCTGTGCTCAGTTATTTGAGACCACAGCTTTGAAAATAAGCTCACTTCCTTTTTGGAACTTTAGACACTACGGAAAAATATATTAATTTGATTTGAGTTATTTTTCGGTATACTGCCTAAATAACTTTAAAAACTGTTTTCAAGAAGATTTATGATGCACAGAAACACAACTATTGACAAAAGCTGAGAAACCGTGTTTTTGCGGACCAAATGTCCTTATCAGTAATGATAAGAAAACAAGAAAATTCTGAGCTGGAGAACAGGACAATAATTTGAACAATAATAGAAAAATGCTGTTGTTCCTTATTATTTCTTTACTTTGCTGGTCTCTAAGAATGTTCTTGTTTTCCTATTGTTGTGAGGACATTCAGATTTAATAATCCTTTAATGCACATATTGACATCCCTAGTTTCATAACAAGTGTAGGTTTAACCTGCTGAATTCAGTTTGATATGGTATGTGTGACTTTCTGTTCAAAATATTTAATTGCTTTGGCTAAGAGCTTAGTCCACCATTTTTTTGGGGGGTATTTACCTGCTGGTTGAGCACCATGTGTACTCCATGTGGTCGGATGTCGGCAGTGTATTCACCCAGGAAGAGCAGTATGTCCTGAACAGAGGCGTCATATGGCAGACCCCTTAGTCTCAAACAGTCCCGTGTCCCAACTACTGCAGCAATCGTTGACGGCACAAATGTGGGCTGTGGCACTACCGGCAGGATGGGGGCTGGAGCAACTGGAATTAGTGGAGCTGAGGAGTATTTGTTTAACACCTGATGCACAGATATACATACAACAAATCAGAAACATTTTCACATATGTGGACAAGATATACAAACATACTAAAAATCTTGAGCTGCAGAGATGTTTAAACATTTAAAGGTTTGAGTACTGATATCACAACAACAGGATGAAATGGTGTGGGCTTTGGCATTAAGGCACCACTGTCAATAGAGGTCCAAACCCAAGCTTGATGGGGACAAAATATCAGGTTGTGGGCCAGGTTCAGACTGATCTTTCACGTACAACATTGGGCTTGAGTTAGCTAATAAATTATTTTTTTTATGTAGCAGATTTGTTTTTATTTTGTAGGAATATGCCTATATACATTTTATTCTCTGTTGTGCAACATGCTCTTTCCCTCTCTAGAATAGTCTATGTACAACAAAATGCTAGCTAACAATCTTGCTAACTGTTCGCCATGGACGCAATAAAAAGAAAGGGGAACTGATTAAAATTCCAAATGAGACAGGGATGTTATGACCTGGTTGTTCAATCAGATAAAAAGCACACTAGTACAGTGAACAGCTGGTGAGTCTGCAATAGTATTCTTGAGCTATTATAGCAGGAGGACTTGCACGTTGTCTCTTCAGTGACCACGGTTGCAGCCATGTTAGCTGATTCGTTTTTATAATGTTATGTTATTGCAAACCAAAACCAAAAATATTATTTGAAACATATTTCAAAGCATTTTAAAATGCTTTTGTTCCCAAACCTTTGAAAGGTGGTGTAGATGGCAAAGTTCTTCAGAACTCTGCACACTGAAGTTATGGATGGGAGCCAATAGGATACTCCTGTTTGCTCTGTGCAGAGTGGTAATAAAATTACTTTTCTGTCCCTGTGCCTTTTACACAATCTGAAGCACACCCAGTGTAGCCTAGAGTACACTGGTGGACACTGGCTTGTTCAGTGCAACTCTGTTAAAATGGGCAATAATGTCTTTGGAAGTAAGTCTGCATGTTCTTCCTGTAGGAAAGGAACACTCTTACATCATGCTTTATGGCTCTCTGACAGAGTTTTCTTCTATTTGTCTGCACAAAATACTCCAATACAAAATACACTCCAAAAGCTCTCCAGCTTTCTTCTTATATTACACTGACAATCATAAGCTTTCTGGGATGATAAACAGCGCAAACTGAAGACCACTCGAGGCCTTCACTTTCATCAGACGTCAGACTAATGAAACATGGCTTTACTGAGGTTTCATGAGTGCAAAGGCAGCTAATCTTTTACAGATTGTAGTGGTACATGTTTGCTCAGTAAGTCAAGCTTTTCCGTAAGAGAACAAGGACAAATACACTTTCATACCAAGATCTTATGCATCATTTAGCAAGCTCACATACTAATAAATGCAAGGTCTGCCTCTCTTTATTTTAACAGTCTCTCCTAAACACACCCTAAGGACAGCCAATAAAATGTTCAAATTTTATTCCTAGGAAAATTCATAGCTTTGGGTATTGTGGATAGTTTGATATGTATATATATATATATATATATATATATATATATATATATATATATATATATATACATGTACTACATGCTATTTTAGCAATCAGTGGCATTTTAATATTTTTATTGCACATTAAATTCTATAACATTAGTAGTCAGCTTTTAATTTGTATTTCTTACCATTTAAAAAAAGGTGTGTCCTACTTTTCAAAAACATCAAGTCTAAATACAGTCTTATGCAGAAGTTTGGGGACTCTGAACAAAGATGTTAATAACATGCGTTATTGATTTTATAAGTAAACACATAATTTAAAGGGAACACACATCTGCAAATTTAAGTGCAAAATTTCTGTTTATTTGCTGAATTTAACATGTTGGAGAAAAATAAAACATAAAATGTGGCAAATGTAAAAGTTTCAATTCAGCTAAACGTTAAATTCAGCAAATTAATAGAAAACACATGCTAAAATTTGAAGAAATGTGTTATATTTAAGTTCTGTGTAGAGAATGTGTTAACTGCAATTAGAAAATCAACAGAACATGTATTCTGACTAGTGGAGTCCAAACTTATGCAAAAGATTGTGAGTGACAGTGTGTCTGGTTGTCGTTACAACTTACTGACCTAAATTTATTAGAACAGTTCTGAGCAGAGCCTTCTTTAAAATTTATGTTGTTGAGAAGATGCTATCAGGACAAGTGCAGGTTGTTTCTGTTTACACAGGCTATGTATATATATAACGAATTCAACGTTGTCTGTACCAGGACAGTTTCTTATTTAAATCCCAGGTTAGCTGAGAAAGGATACAAGAAAGGATGTTGACTTAGTACAGGGATGTCGAAATCCAGTCCTGGAGTGCCACAGCCATATACTGTAGTGAATTTTCTGTTGCAATGCATTTGATTTGGCCCCCTGACATCTAGCTAATGAGTCAGATCAGGTGTGTCAGAGAATAAGAAAAACATTAAATTGTACAGGGTGGCACTCTACTTTCTATCTGCTTCTAAAGTTTAATCATAGCAATGTCTCTGCCCTTTCCCTGCCCACTGTTGTGAGTTACCTTTGCTTAAGTTTCTTGATGGTCCTACAATAAATAAAACAAGGTTAACTTTCTAAAGATATAGCTTTGTAGTAGTTACTGAACAATTCACTTTTGTTAATGTACATTCATGTATTAGTAACTGAAAAATATGCCCTTAAGAGTTTAACCCTTAGAAGCTGCCACTATCACAAATAACAAAAACATGATGTAATTTGATAATTCTACTTATAAACACAGTCGATGCCACATTCGTGTTTGTAAGTAGAAGATATTTATTATTTGAATTCATTCATTGTTGAAAAGGTCATTGCTGTGCATACAAGAAAAAAATCCTTTATGACTGTCATTCCTTTGTCATTTGTTGACGTCAAAATAAAAAGAAAAAATTTAAATCAAGTGCAGAATCAAACCTGTTGATGAAGGTAAACTAATTGAAATTAAATTTAAATTGTCTGGCAAAAAGGCAGTTGACTTTGAAGGGGTTAAAAACTAATCCTAAAAGGTTAACACTTGCTCACCATGTGCACTATAAACAGTACCACTGTTTCTACTAACCTGTTGAACCTCTGCTGCAGTGCTTCTGAACAGCTCGATGTATCTCTTGCCCAGGATTTCCTTGTGTTTTTTCAGCGCATTCTCAGCATGTTCCTCACAGGAGAACAGGACAAAGGCATCCCCGGTGGGCCTGCCATCAGGGAAGCGCACAAACAGAATGCCCTCGCCGCCATCCGTCACCGGACACGATGGGGAGAAGAACTGCAGCACCTGCTCAGCTGTGGCAGTAAATGGTAGCCCGCGCATGCGCACAATCACCTGATTCTCCCGTGACAGGAAGTTAGCTACTTCATTGGATGTGCCTGTCGGTCAAACACATACATCGTTTTTAATGATCGCATACTATATGTGTGTATTGTGTACAGCACTGCCTGATGACCAGCTGTGAGGTGACTGGGTCCTTTACCTCCTGCTATCTTTAGGAAGTCTTCACCAGTTGCTTTATAAACCTGCAATACAAAACCACAGTATTTCTATTATGAACACAGAAAGGAGACAGAATTCTCATCGTTTGGGAGTGGTAGATGGGCAAATATGTTATCTAATCAAATCACTATCCACTACAAAAATATAACATTATATATATATATATATATATATATATACATATATATATAGTGTAATGTTTATAGAGGGAATGCACACAGTTCTAATATGTAAAACTAGGTTACTAGATTAGTTCACAGTGACATATGATATAATGGGTTAATGAGATCTTTGTTAAGTACTAACAGGGTTACTGAACATACCTCAATGTATCTGGAGCCCATGTGATGTTTATGCCTCTGCAGAGCCAAGTCTCTATGTTCTTCACTCTCAAACCGTACCAGGGCCTCACCATTCCTTCTACCTTGGGCATTCAAACACAGAGCAGCACCACCCCTTCAAAAAAAAAAGGATAATATGACTATGTCTTCTGAAGAACTGTGCAAATTCCATCAACCTGATGGAATGATGACTAATGCTTATGTTTTGTTTATGATTTTGCATGAATGCTTGTTTTTATGCTCTCTTTTTAGACATACTTACTTTGCAATGTTGAGACCCCTGAAGAAGCGTGCAACATCCTGGTCTGAGGACTGCCAGGGAAGACCTCGCGCCCTGATCACGGTATTGTCATCTATCCGCTCCATCTTGCTACTACACATATACACATTTCAAACAACATGTGACAATATTACCTAATCAACAGTGGGCCACACATAGTAGTCAGCTACTATTTTAAATAAATATCAAATAAACCCTTACCAGGTACCAGTTTCAAACTTCTCATTGACTTTCTCAGGGCAAGAGAACGTATGACCTGTGAAAAGACGTCAAAGATTAAAATTGATGACGAATGTAATTAATTTTTACATGACCATTCCTTCGTAAATAAACAGCCTGTTTTTGTTACTGTACTTTTTAAGACTGATATATGTGAATGACCCCTGTATTGTACCTTCTTTAAAAAGCAGTCTGAACTAATATGTGCAGTAAGAACACTTACTTCAATGGGAATGAGAGGGCTAAAATGCTGTATGCTGAATTGACAGTCATATGTAAATGTATATATGATGGTGACATCACAACCAATCCAAAATGTCTGTTTTAACCTTAGTTTCTATCTACTGTATACACTGGGGAGTTAACCAGGACATTTTGAAACTTGAAACAATGTTTATGTAGTACATAATACTCTCTTATGAAAAAGAAAAAAAAGATTTTGATGATTTAGACCCTTTTAAAAAACAAATCTCATTAGCATCACATTGTGTTATGTCCATGTGTTTGCAGTAGCAAATATGTGTTGTGTGTGTAACCTACAGACAGGCTCAGAGATAAGTGCTTGAGCGATGCTGGACATCTGGAGAACTTTTAGTGCAGTGAAGGCATGATCAGAAGAATCCACACTCAAATTCAGGTCTGACCAGAGCAGCAGTTAAGGAATGCTATCTAACGTTTTTGCCAACACCTTAAGTGCCTTAATTACAGTTAATAACATAGTAGAAAGACCAGTAGGACAGCTTAAAAACACAGCATATCCACTGAACCAGTACAACCTCAGGAGCACAGAATGTAAACATGACCCACAAAAGAGGAAAGTTTATGGTTCCCCTGCCTATATGGATGGGTTTTCTATGCTACGTGTGTGTGTATGAGATGTCATTAGGTAGGTGTGGCAGGTTAAGCTTGTTGACTAAACATTCTTTTGCTTTCTCGTGCAGGCTCAATGGGTCCACTCTATTGTCTCTCTATTTGCATTTCAAAACTTTAGGCTTCTGCAGCCAACACCCTGGAGAAGCACACACACACACACACAGGCTGTCAGTTGGTCTGTGATGAGGTCTCAGTACACAAACTATAAGAGATATACTCTTCTTTAGAGCATAGTCACCTATAAACATGATGTAGCTTTCATCATAATATTAACAACAGTACATCCATGAACTGCCCTGTTTCAGTAGCACTGCACAATTTAGTTTTCCTTGCTCAAAACTGTTCAATACTGTGACCCTGCAGGACTAGATCTAAAGAACAGGTCTGTACTGTGAGTTTAAACAGAGGACAAGTTAATGATACCTTCTCTGAACATTCCTATATTTTGCATAGAGGTTTCACTTCAGCTACCACTGACATATCTTGGTTTAAGACTGTATCTCTTGGCTCAGTTATTTAAATGGCTTTGCAGGCCTGCCTGGTACTCCACATTTATAACAATGTAACACATAAGAGACTATTAATGTAAAAGGATACAATCGGCCATGGACTGAAGATCCAAATCGTTCCGATCGGCTTCAGATGGATAGCATTTCTTGAACTCTTTCCGTAGGTCAAAAAATGAAAAGAAACAGTCGGGCAACAGAATGTTCTGCAATAAAAAGCCCACTCACAATTAGAGTAGAACACCATGACATGGTAAAATAGCTTTCTACCCAAAGTCAGAGTAGAACACACTGACATGGTAAAATAACTTTGTATGCACATTATCCAGCAGCTTCAACCATACATGATGCAAAATGATTCTTAAGGTCTAACTTGACAAAACTGACATAACTGTTCTAATAGAGTGGGATACAGTTTCAGGTTTGGCCCTTACCTTGCTGGAGGCCTCTGGGTGCAGGACCTGACGCAAATGTAGCTGACCATCCGTACAGAGGCAAAAGGAGTTCCCTGCACTGGTGTTTATTTCTGAGCACAGCCTTTCATTGAACTGCACACATACACACACAATTAATGAAACAAATTGGCTTCTAAATGCATATCCCTTGAGGTTTCATCCCTTTAACCTCATATGTGGGCCCAAACCTCAATCTCACCATTACATACTTCACATATTAGTTGTACAGTAGTTACTGAATAATTCATAGTAGTTAATGGCTCGTTCATAGTAGTTATTTGATTAATAACAGAAAAACAAGCATAGACCTTAAGAGTTCCAAGGGAACCTTTTAGTTAAAGTCTCCCAGACACTTACTCGTAAACCATTTAGAGAAAAATATTAGTTATGGTTAGAAAAAGGCATGTCAAGTTTTTATATAACAACATTCAGCCTAATGACTACAGACATATAAATGTTACAACAGAATACTACCAAGCATTGTTTTTTGTTCTTATTACTCTCATCAAAATTACAGCTGCTCTCATCGTAGACTAGGCCAAGGGAAGCAGATCGCTCCAAAAGGAAGCTGTCCATACTCATCTGAACCTAACTTTCGTGTTCCAAATCAAAAGGAGCTCAAACCAGTCATACAGGCCTAATCTGACTCAGCGTGGCAGCTGCAGGATTTGACAACATAGCAACACATTTGTTATTACTAATAAATATGAATTCTATTCAGCAGTTTGCGTTGGTCATGCTATTCGCCCTAAACACAAAAAAATACTAATACAAAACATTAAAACTAACATATTAATCATGTGTAGTTACTAGTTACATTTACTCATAAACTCATACACATAAGTACAATTTTGATAAATTTGTACTTCCCTGCATATTTTTAGATGATACTATTAGTTAGTCATATACTTACACGTGTGTAAAGCAAGTTATTTTTAGCCATTCACATTAGTTTGTAATTCCTTCTTTAGAGTTTAATTCCTTCCTGATCTGTTGCTCATGGATTTCACTTGCAAGATTTAGCATTTTTTAGACCAAAAGGATTCCACAAATAGAAGCACCTCATAAACTAGAATTCATATACTGGTAGACGTGGGATGCACTAAGAAGTTCCACTGTAGTTCTACAGGGAGCTCAGTACTTGTTTTCAACTCAAGCCGACTTGCTGAGTAGCTACTTCATAGTAACTGAAGATCATGGGGCACTATTCTTCTCTTTTTGAGATATTTCTGTTTTAAAATAAAATGCTAAAGCTCCAAAGTAAGCAGTTTGACAAATGGCAAAAGACAGATGCCATGACCCTATATTACAGAATGAAAATAAACAAACAAACAAAAAATTATTAGTAACTAAATGTTACTGACTAACGTCAGGGTTCACACTCTTTACAGGAAATCATTTCCCAAAACTTTTTTCTTCCAAGAAAAATTCTAGGACACCTTCCATGACTATATACACCACATCTGTTAAAGTGATGCACAACTGCCAACATCCTTAACACTGAAGTCATATATACAACCCCTTACTGACTGAGTGACACACTCTTGATCAACTATAACATCTGATCACAAGTTCTACTAAAATATTAGAAGTGAACATTACACGCTTGAAGCTGGAATGTGTTAACGTTGCCTCCCTCTAACAGGCGTTCAAGCGGTCAACGTATCTGTCTACATGCAACACAGTAAAATTCCATAGTACAATGAGGATATGAATGAACACTCAAACTGGGCATTAGTACCTATAAAATATAACAAAACATACAATCTTATTGACCTTACTTTACACTTTTCCAGGACTTTACTAATACTTTCTAGACGTTTTATCAACTTATTTGTCAGGAGTCATCCATGGCTGGAAAACTACTCTATAAATTTCCATGTTTTCCAAGACATGTGGGAAACCTGAATATGTAACAGAGTAAACAGCTAATTGCTCTGATAAAATGTATTTATGTACAAGTTTAAGTAGGCTATTATATTTTGAACAAATCTATCAAAATGTTACTTGAGTGTAAAAGCAACTAGTTACTCCCCATACGTTTTAAGCTACACTTCCCACATCAGAAAACGTTAAGAAAAAACTGGCATGGCAGTTAAACTGGGTCTCAGCAGCTCTATTGTGTTTGTCGTACCTGGCTGACCGCCTCCTCCAGTGGGGCTGCTGAACTAAGGGCCTCGGCGCTGATCCCGCTCACCTCCACACACTCCTCGGACATACACCCACTCTCCGGCTTCACCAGCACTTCATTCACCGGTCCGGCCTTTGAGCAGAGAGAGGGCGCGGTGAGAGCCAGGACAATTCACTTTATATACTCACAGTAAATCCAACAAACGGCATTAAAGACATGCTAAGCAGACCAGGGCCTCTGTAGTGAAAATGTCTTTCTGTCAGTGTTTTTGTTGAGAGGCTAGCCCAGTGAGCTAAGAGTTTACATATAGGTTTGTCGTCGTGTTTTAGTGGAAGAAAAATGAACATAAATGTTCGAAAAATGCCTTTCTGATACATTCTCGTTTATTTCTTTCCTTATCACTTTTGTTACACAAAAGTGAAAAACGAAAGCTTTCGTTACCTTTTTAGTGACTAAATTCAAGACCTGCCAGACCAGCTGAACTGTTTCCTTCTCGTCTGACCCCAGCAGCTCCCCGCTCGTGCCGCACGTTGTGGTGAATAACAGCACCAGATTATCGGGATTAATCGTCATTTTTTAAAAAGAAAACTAAAAAATAAACACTAAAAAACGACAGGATAGGAAAGAAATCCCCAACCACCAACACCAGGTGACAGAAGTTAGGGTCTCCAGTCACCCCACACCTATGGACAGGTAAGCGCAGCCGTTACGCTCCTTTTATTCAGCTGTTACGGCCTTTTCGATGCTGAAGAGTCCGAGAGCCTGAGAGTAATGGCTGCTCGTTTTTGTGTGGTGCCCTACCTGGCCACCGACCACGTGACACAGGTAAAAAATACCTGGCCCGCGCGAGCGCCCTCTTATTGGTGCGTGGAATCAGGGACGTGGCACAGCACTGGTAAAAAAAATACGCTCACCACAAAGTGGATTCAATGCTGGAAAAATGTTCTCAATAAATAAATGCTGCCACCGCCACAATGTTAGGGAAATCCACTCTTCCTTAAGTTCACTTACACTCTCAGAAAAAAAGATTCTAAACTGTCATACATCACCTTTAGTTTGGGAACATAACTATACCCCAGTTGTACTTATTTACAAATATTTAACAATTGGACCTTAAGGTTAAGGACCTCCACAATGTAACTCTTCCCTGAATTCAATACCCCTAAAATGCTATCTAAATAAATAAATAAGGGCAATCAACTCTTTACTTAACTTAACACACCAAAAATAAATCCAAATTATTGTCTATTTTTGTTTACCTGTTTTAGCCATGATTCTGTTGATGTTGGTTAATATACTCTATGAAACACATGTGTTAAAGCACGTGAATCAAATTCATAGGCAGTATTTTTCTCAGTGTAATGTTATAGCCATATACCACTTGTCTTAATGTTTATGCACCAGAGATGCAGCCCAGTTGTGTTTCATTATACTGTATAATATACAATACATACATATTATATATATGTATAATAACAACAAAGTTGAATTGAAGTTGATTTAAACTGAATTAAATTGAATCTACATGAAACTCAAAGAACACTGTAGGTTAAATAGGTAAACTATATTAGTAATACAGCATTTGGGTTGCCTTCTGCCCTCAGCGGAGCGTCAGCACTTCTTGGAATGCTGCTATACACGTTTTAAACAATTTCTAGTGGAAAATTCAGCCATTCTTGCAGAAGAACTGCCTGTGAAGCTGAACAGGTGCAGCGGCTAATGTGGGCTAAAGGGTTCCAACGGACTTCCTCAATAGAAAAAATAAGCAAAGATCAGGATGGAGGAAAAAGGAGGAAAAAGAGTACACTGTGAATTCTTGCACCTTTATTTTGTGTTGTTTCAGCTGTGTGATTTTCAACATTAACTTTGGCTTTTCCTGTTGATTTTTCTAAACATGGAATTACCATCTGTATAAAGTTCTGCATGGATTTGGTGAGGGAGGCTTAAAGTGGTTTTAAATACTTTTATTTGTTTGTTTATTTGTTGTTTTATTTATCTATGCCATCAGTTCTCCAGATGTAATTTTTTCACTGTTCTAGATGTCTCATGTTGTTTTAGAAGTACATGTAGTTAAAACTATCGTATTTGAATTGTGCAGATGCTACTGTGAAAAATGTGATTTTGGACATCTTTAGGTAGTGCAAGATACTGAGAAGAGTAGTTAAACTGGCATCTTAATTACCTGTATCCTGGCTAGACTCTGTCCACAGATTTATAAACAGCGCACTTCTTAGAATCGGTGACATAGAAATGTTGTGATGATTATGACCATAAACACTTTTACAAACCCCAAACATTTGCTCAAGTGTTGCTTAAATCTGAGAAACCTCATATAGACATGTTAGTGTACCTGAAGGCAAATGCTTAGGTAGGACAAAATAATAAAATAATAATAACACTTACAAATAATTTAAAAAATCCTATTCAGCTGGTAAAAATGTTTGAGGTTTGCGCACCAAAATAATGAAACTTATGAAAGATAATGAAATCTTTTAGCTATTTTTATTGTTTTTGTAATTTTATTGTTTAGAAATAATGCAGTATCATATATTTCCCACTTTTCAAAGAAACATTCAACTGGAATAGGCAAACATTATTTTAATACATTAAAATAAATTCTATTTAATTGTCATTGAACATAGAAAAGGAATAATTTAATGAAGGGAACTTTAGTATTTGTCTTGTAAAGAACTTTAATGGATCTTTTTTTAAAATTTGTGAATTTTAACTTCTCTTTACATTTTATATGTTGCTGTAACATCTGTTACAAAAGATTAATGAAGGGAATGAAAGACATAAATGCATGATCTTATGATCAAGAGAGTGCAAATAGGAAACAAAATCCCATTAATGATGGCTGCATAGTCTGTACAGCCATTGGCTTACAGCAAAACAGAAGTAGGTAAAGTAGCCTAAACCCACACTCAAGTATAACTATATTTACTTCAATGAAATTGTAACTCATGAATAAATGTAAAAGTATCTTTCCAAAACGAAACTTGAGTAGAAACTGCTTAAGTACTGAGTTCTTTATAGAACAGCAGTGAAACCTCTTAGTACATGCAGCATATTAGCATAACAACTGAAGTTTGCCATTCTTCTCTTTGTGATGCACTCTTAGTCTAAAATAATATGATAAAGCTCAAATTGGGAGGTGTAACCAACTACAAAGCAGTACAGATGCTGTAATCTGTGTAACGTGAAACTAAACATGAAAAACATTTAACCAATTTGAAAAAATGAAAAAGTAACACAAAGTAGATTCCTTTCCTCACAAATATAACTGATTAAAAGTAAAAATATTATCATTTGAAAATACTCAGGAAAGTACAAATCCATAAACTTTTAGCACTTAGTATATGTAAGCAGTTACTGCTTTCGTTTGAGAATAAAGTAGCACTTTATTAAATAAGGAGGACTGATCTTAAACAGAGAATTTGCCGTCTTACATGGTACTACCTAATTTATCTTATTGCATAATTATTTTATTACGTAAAATACACAGTGATGTTACTCAGACTGACTGGCTATCTCATGTTAGTTTAGATTTGTTTATTATCACAAAGTTTTATTTGTAAAAGTAATACAAACACAACACATTTTATGATCAGACCTTTTCATTATTAGATACAACACACTGAAATATTGAACAATTACATTTTATTTATTTTCATATTAACTAGTAAAACTACACATTGTGAAAAATTATAGTTTTAAGTGTATGTTAAAATGCTACATATCTGGTGAACAATTATACATACAGGCTAATAACAAGCGCGCAGTTAGCGTTTGAGTCACTTTTCAAAGGTTGCTAAAAGTTCCAAATAAATAGTAAAAGTAGCTGAATTTGTTGCTAGATTCTGTTTTCTGAGTAGTTTGAAAAGTTGCTAAATCTAGCAACACAATTCCTAAGTTGCCATCACTGAACTACAGCTCGACTGTTTTCCGGACTCTTGTTTTGATATCCGGCGCTGACTTTTTTCCGCCGGAAGTTCAGATGTGACCGAAAAAGATGGCGGGGGATTCCTCAATGGAGCTTCTGTTTTTAGATACGTTTAAACACCAGAGCGCAGAGGTAACTTCCAGACTTTTGCGTTTTTGTTTCGTGTTCGAGATTGTCTGCTCAAGGCTGTGCCTCTGTGCCTGAATGCAGTGCTTCATGCAAAAAAGTTCACAGGTTTACGGACACTGAGCTCCATCAACAAACCTCAGCTAGCAGGCAGACTAGTTAGCCGGTTGTGCTAGTGTACGGTACTACACCTAGTTTAGCATGGTTCTTTACAGATCTAGGGACGTTATTAAACTGCTGTTACTATCTTCTGAAGTCATGAACACAAACATTAATCACAGAGGTAGCTGCTTGAGTTATGGAGCTCTCGTCTGTTAAAAGGTTAGCCACGGAGATATCCTTGTTAGCCAACATGGCTAAGCGTTTCACGTCTCGTCCATTCGTTTTGGTAGCATGCTGCTAGCTGGCTGTGTAAGCTGTGTTAGTTACCTGGCTAGGTTTGTTAAAAGTAGCTGTAAGTAGCTAGCCAACTTGACTAACTAGGGGTATGTTTGGCACAGAAGTTGCATTAGGAACAGTAAGTTACATAGCGAATCATTGTAAACGCTTCGTTTGTAATCATATTATGCTAACTTGTATCGTAACATGCTTGCGGTGGTGACATCGGTTACCAGGAAAAGTAGCTTGTCTGAGACAGTTATTGTGTCCTGTGTAACTGCATACACTGTGCACAAAGATCCAGAATTCAAGATATTCTGAAAGGCATAAAAAAAGTATAAAGCAGGTACATGTCTTAGATGTTTCTAGCAAGGGTACAGTCTGGTTTGACTGTAGTTTGCAGTGGAGGACAAAACCGAATGAATGAATTTTGCCAGCACCTTTTTGCAGGCAAAGCAAAACGTTAGTTTTGGGATACATCAAAAGCCCTGAAAACAAATGTACAAAATAACAAGTCATCAGTCATGTATCCATGACTTCGAATATATTTTTATTATTTTTTTTATTTATATTAATGTCAAGTCTATGTATGCGTAATGATGTTGAGCAGCTCTACACTTTCTTTTTCCAACGGCATTATAGAAACCAGTTACACCAGTCAGTTGCAACAATGAAATGTCTTTAGGGACAGAGGAAGGAATTGGTGTTTGTTTCTTTTTTTTTTTATTAAAATACCATTTATGACAAATAGGGCAAAAACATTCAAATCTTTCAGATCACAAATAAGTAGACTGATCCATGATTACAGGCATCATTCCCCTGATAACTTGAATAACAGTTTTGGGTTTTTTTATTTGTGTTTTCTCTCTAGCTTACTAATGTGGATGTGGTGCGGTTTCCATACGGTGTGTTGATCACAGAAGTCCGAGTCATCCCTCCTGGTATCAAGGCCCACAGCAACCTCCCAGACAGTAGAGCTTTCGGGTGAGAACTTGGAATTCTTCTTAAACAAGCCTGTTCATGTGTATAGATAACTGATATGTTATCATTCCTGGAATCAGTAGTGGTTTCTGACCTATTGTTCACTCATCTGACTCTTCAGGATTGGGGTGGTGTTTTGTTATTTGTTCACTTGCATTCATTAGTAGACCCTGATTTGAGTTCACTCATTTGTTGCAGGTTTTCAAACATAAGGTGTGTCAAGCTTTGTACTAGATGAACTGATAATTATTTTTGTATTGCAGATTCCTTTTTTTATTTTGTTTATTTGTTTTTTTGGCCAATGTCATTTTTTTTTACATACTGTGTGGGTGGAATGGACACATGACACACTAGCACACTTTCATTACTTTATATTAGCCAAAGTCCCGATAAAAATAACATTTTGCTCTTTAATGGGCCAAACTGGCTTTTTAAATATGTAAAAGAAACATCAGTTGCCTGTTTAAATGAAGTGCTACATCGAAAGTAAGAGGCATTTGGCGCAATGAGTAAGAAACTGTTTAGCTCAATAAGTCATGCATAATTGTGTTAAGACATTTTGGCATAGGTCTAGCAGCAGCATTCAAAAACAGCCTTTACCTGGCTTATTAGATTTACATTATAAAACTGCAACACAGGTTGTCCAAATAAAAATAATAAATTTACCAATTGCTGAAAAATCAGCCAGTTTCGATTGCACACCTCTACTATATACACTGCATTATTTATTCAGTGTTTGTTTTGTTCATTCATTTAGTGTATTCCTTGTTATATAATGACTTTCTTCGTTCAATAAGTCATCCAGTAAGTGTAATGATCTTTTTTCAGTATGTCGTCAAAATGCTTGCTAAAATATTTTCTATTTAAATTGATTCTTAAATTGACCTTAAATTGATCTTAAATCAGTGAAGCATTGAACTGTTTTATTTTGAATGCTTTGCTCACATCAAAATATGGTATCATCAAAGAGATGGCAAAATGTGGTGTTCCCAAGACAATCAAATTGACACAGCATTCTCCACTAAGAAACTGAGGGGAGCTGAAGGATATTGTGAAGGAACAGGAGTGGGCTTTTGTGTTTTGGTTTCTGCTGTTCCCACTCTTCTTAAGTATCAGGTCCACCACACCCCCTATTCTACTACTTTCAGTTATGACTCACCCATGTGTTCTTTTCTCAGTGTCTTTTTCTCTCTGCTCTTCTTCATGGCTGCTTTTTCTAATGTGTGGGCGTGTACATTTTTTATTAATTTATTTTATTAATTAATTAATAATTAACATATATATTTTACAGCCATGAAATAGAGCAGAGAGAAAAAGACACACACACACACAGATATAAGACTGATAACATAGTCTTTTAATGCATTTTACTTTGTGAAGTGCCAGATATTTTGTGTGTATGTATGTAAAACAATTTTCAAAACTTTAAAATGAGCTGTTTCAATTAAAGCACTTTACATCAGATGAGCATATATAAGTAAGCTCTACTATCCCACAGGATGCAACACACAGCTGACATCACATTACACAATGTGATTATGTGGTATTTTACACTGAATTTGTCATAAGATTAGATCAGATTTATTAGATCGGATTCGTTCATTTTGTTCCCTCCAATATCCGATCCAGCATTTTCTGCTGATATTGCCTCAGTATTGATACCGATTGATACCAAAATGCTATCTCCAGAATTATGTGGACACAGAGCCACATGTTGTATTGTTTTTAAAAACACTCTCGTCATCTCCTCAGTTTATTGTATTTAATTTCTTGCGTTAAATGCTAATGAAGTTAAATGAAATGCATTATTTTTCTTGGAAAAAAATTGACATTTAATGTATCAATAAACAATTTTTCTGCTAAAGTTGAGCAGAAAAAGTATTGTCAACATTTATAAAACAGCAACAAATTCCATTTCCATTGCCTATGTCGGCAAACGTTTTGAAGCATTACAGTGTTTTTCACCAAAGAATTCTTTGGATTGAAATGTAGCTATTGCTTAGCATTGTGTTGGCTGAGAAGGCCTGTTACAACTGTTACATAATCGCCTGATTGCAGTTAATTGAGATGATCATAATTATTTAAGCAGATTTTACGAGACGCTGTATATGAGATGGATGCATTTTGATCAGTCGGGTAGTGACAATTAAATGTTAAAAAAGAAAAAGAAAGCAACTGCGACATGTTGAGAGGGTAGGGCAGATTAATGTTTTCGTTAGCCAGGTCACTAATGCTAACGTTGTTATCATGTATGCTTGCAGTACAAGAGTTTTTTTTAAATCATATTTTCACACTTGCAAGAGAAACGTAAGCTTTGCTTGACTCTACACATGATTCTGTAGACATTTATGAGTGCATTAGGATGTTTCCAGTGCAATGTAGTGTTAGCTCCAAAGTGAAGATAGTTAGGAAGCAAAATAGTTAATCAGCCAATTTGGCCATTTTAGGCTTGTACTCAGAAATTGCAAAAAAATTACAATTACATTGTTAATCATAATTACTTATTTGACAGTCATTAATTTATTAAAATTTCATTATCATGACAGGCTTAAGGCTGAGTATAAACCTGTATAAAGTGTTCTTAAATTCAAAGGATGGACGTTTATTGGCCATAAGAGGACAAAATCGCACAGGGCCAACATTATTTGAGGGGCATGAGAATGATTTTGCCTTTGAGGTCTTTGTCAGTGTAAATGCTTTGTATTATGTTGGTGTACAACACAGCGTAATGGTGCGAATTGCTGTGTTTAGCTATTTAGCTATCAGTATTGGTTTTCTAAAACTATCAGGAAATGTACGTGCATGCATATGGAGGAGGCATCAGGCTGGGATTTGAATTCTGATCCCCTTGTGTGTTTGTTTCTTCAGGGAAACGGCCCCTCATGCATTCCAGTTGGACCTGTTCTTCAACAACGTCTCCAAACCCAGCGCCCCAGTGTTTGACCGGCTGGGCAGGTACCACATATACTTGTACACACATGTAAATACCACTGCTTGCGACTTTTGTACACTGACATGTGTGCTTTACACTTGGGTTTACTTGCTTAGCAAGGAATGTTCTCTAAAAAACCTTGTCTTTTTATACACTTACTGATTATTCTGTAGTGTTCATGTAAATTTGTTGTTTCTAGCTTGGAGTACGATGAGAATAAGTCAATTGTCTTCAGGCCCAATGGCAAGGTGAGAGACTCATAAATTACTTTGTCACTTGTTCTCTTCCGTATGTGTGTGTTTTTGTGCACTTCTGTACAAAAAACGGAGGATTTTAATGCGTTATGCCCTGATATTCTTTGCCCAGGCCATTTCAGTGTTATACTCTGACTGAACCTTTCAACCAAGTGCTCCAGGACTTCTATGCAAATTCCCTTATTTGCATGTTAGACAGAATTCCCTTTGCTGCACCGCTCCAGATAAGGAGAATGATCCTGAAATATTAGGCTTGACTTTCTCATTTAGGGAATGTGATCCTACAGCTTTAGATGAGACATTTCTCTTTAGAGGGAGAAAGTGACCCTGAGTGCTATACACAAGACTAGAGATGGTATGATAGCATTTTTATTTTCAGATATCGAAATGTTCTGAGTCAGCTGATGCAATTTGATACTTTTTCTTTTAAAGCTTGCTAAGCTTTAAAATGAGCTGTTTTTAATTGAAGCGCTTAAGGTGAGCATCTAAATGTAGGCTTTCATGCTCAAATTACTCAAACACTCTACTACCCCATAGAAAGAAATACACAGCTAACAGCATGACAGTAATGCACTGTGGCTGTGTGTGGCATATCAGACAAGATTTGACACAGGATTGGATCGGATTCATTCTTCAGGTGTCCAATCCAGCATCTTCTGCAAATATCGATCTCAACACCTGGTATCAGATCAGTGCCGTCTCTGCTTGAGACGTTCATATTGCTGTCATCTTATGAATTATGAATACAGTCAAATGAAGAACAAAAAAGTGGTTTAACTTCATTTTGTATGTGTGGAAGAAGTAAGAAGCCAAGAGAATCACCTCTGTTGCTAGAAGCTGCCGTGATTCTGTAGTGTATCCTGTTCTGTAAAGTAACCTCAGATAATGATTTTTTTAAATACCCGTATTATATGAAGTCCTTGGTTGATTTATTGCACCAGATAAATACAGATGGTCTGGTGCTGCGTGGGTGGTACACGTGTTTAACGTTGGCGGTGTACGGTACAGCTGAACGCCCCCACAGCCATGAGCGCGATTCTCCACCCCCACCTCCACCCCCTCCGCCACAGCAACAGCCACCTACCTCCAAGAGGAATGTCAAGCATGGTCAGTGAATATATTTCACATGCATATTCATTACACATCTTAAATTAGAGGGTGCATTTTTAGGATTTCTATTACAGTGGACAGGTAAAAGGTTGATTTGTGTATGATTTATACATATCTCTTTCACTCATAAAGGTGAAAGAAAAGGAGTAGAGATAATGTGCTGTAGTGTTTGTTTGTCTCTCAGAGTGGGAAAATGAGGAGCAGTTTAATGGGAGCCCACCAAGACCACAACCCAGAGGCCCTCGTACCCCGCCAGGGCCTCCACCTCCAGACGATGATGATGAGGATGCATTGCCTGTGCCAGGTCTGTGTATTTGTTATATGTTCCCACAGTGGAAATTCTGATGAGCAGGCATTTTGCTAGTTCTTTTGAGGAAACAAATACTTTTTCTGACAAAATGGAATGTTTATTTGAGAAACTAAAAGGCTTTGATTAGAGTTGGTGTAGGTGTGGGCTTTGCAGCAGCATAGCTACAATCGTACAGTAATGTAGTGGAGTTACCCCATAAAACCATTATGCACAAGTGCATATGTGTACAGGCATGTGTGAAAATCCATTCCAGATTGCCTCTGGAGGTAATATTGATTGTTCTTTCAATATGCCAAATTAAGCAAAAAAAAAAAAAATTCAGAAAAACTATACTGCATACACAATTGTTTTTCATATACTAACATCTTTAAAGCAGAAAATTTGACTCTCGAGACTATTGTCTCACCACAGTAGTAGGTGAATAGGCATGCTTACAACAGATGTAGCAATGATTAATATTATGTTTGATTTGGCATGAGTGCCCCTTTTTATTTTCAACGTGTAACCCTGCTGGTTGTTGTTTATAGGTTCCCAACAGTTAGTCCAAATTTCTGTATGTTTGTTTTTTAAATGAAGCAATCAGTTGTCCAAGTGTTTTAGAAATACTGGCAATAGATGCAAGATAGGAAAGTGTGTCGTGACGTAATTGATTGAATTGACAGTAGCAATAATATATCATAAAATCACTGACAATTACTGTGTGTTCTTCATAGGCCCAGTAAAGGAGGAGAGTGTGGAGCGTGGGGACGATTACCTGGAGCCCGTTTCTCCGGAGCGTGGTTCTCTCCCTCCTGATGATGCATACTCAGACCCAGAACAGGAGGAAGACGAAGGACCAGCAGAGGAAGAAGACGATGATGCCCGGTCTGAAGGAAGTGAAGCTGAAGAGGAGGAGGAGGAGGATGAGGAAGAGGGTGAGGAGGAGATGGAGGATGATGGCGAAGGTAGGGGAGGCGCATCGCGGTGTGTGTTCCTCAGCCTCACGTGTGCGTGTGTGTGTCTTCCATCATGCTCACACACTAACCTGAGAAGAGTGAGGATCTAACTACCATCACACTGCATGTCAAACAGCCTCCCCCTGCTGGTCTGTGTCATAGAAATAGAAGAAGCTATTTCTGTGGGCTATAGTGTGCTGCAGTCATGGTTATGCATGCAACCTGCTTTTCTTAGTTCCAGTGTAGATTCTGCATCTTTTTTATTATGATTTTCAAAAGAATCCATACAGAGTTAAGACCATTATATACCAAACACAGCACGAATAAACAACACTAAAATGTAAAATATTCAGACATAATTATTTTCGCATCTGAACTATACAAACTGGACGTGACCAGTACGTTTTTTTCCAATTACACCCTGTTGTTTGTGCTACAAAACATTACTTTTCATTGTGATTTTGTAGGTTATTAAACACAAAAAGGTACACGTACATGCAATAATAGTTACATTTAGGCTACTTCATATGGTTTTAGATGTTTTATTATTTTAACAAGAAGCAATTGATTAGCTGTAAACACGCAATTTATTATACAGGCAGGAAAAGCTACCAAACCATAGCGAAAACTATCAGAGGTTAAAGTTGACAAATCTAACAAATGACAAAGTTGCTTACCAGAAAGAATGTTTAGTTTAAGCTTGATAGGTAATGCAGTGCCACAGTGCAACTAGCCATGCTGAAACAGCTTACTGGAGAATAGTGCCATGAGAGGATTCTCTCAATGTAAAGACCAGCCTGCAATCTGCATTTATGGCACACCTTTATCCAAGAGAACTGAACATACTCAGATGGTGTGCTTGTGGCGGGATTGATATCACAAGCCTAGTCTAAAAAAATCAAACAAATAATTATTGCTTGATGTGTAATGTCTTTAAGTACCAAAGTGAAGGCAAACATGCTCAACAGTAATTGATTGTTAATTGAGCATACATTACACTTTTTTTGTGTGTGTGTGTTTTAGAGCTTCCCACTAATAAATTGCTTATTAGATGAAATACAGAAGAGCTGCAAAATGAGCATGAAATGAAAAGGTAGGACAACATCAAAACAGGTTAATATGTATGTTTAGCTGACATGTTACTTCTTTCTTCAGGTGATGATGGCTATGAGCAAATCTCCAGTGATGAAGAAGACCTGGAGAGCGGGGCTTTTAAGTTGCCAGCGTTTGACCTTGACTACACACCTGAGGACCTTGCCTCGCTACCAACGGTCCAGTACGATCCCTATGAACGGGAGCTCCGCCCCCTCCAGCACTTTACCCCACCCCATATCACGCATTATGAGGCAGAACTGAACCGCCTGAAGGGAATGGATCTCCAGGACCAAACGTCCTCGTCGGCAGAGTCTGCAGCTAAGTTGTCAGAACTGTTAGAGGCCTGGGGGGAGGGACCAGAAGCAGAACGTGGAGCAGGATGGGTAACTGCATTAGAGGAAGTTCCAGCCTTGCTGGTGAAAGGCTTGAGTTTCTTGTCAGTTAAGGACACTGAGGGCCAGAAAGTGCAGCTGAAGCTGCTAGTTGAATGGACATCTGAAGCGCTTAATTTGGACTCTGCTCTAGCACAGCCAATTGCTCTGAACCTCCGGCAGCTAAAAGCGGGGGCCAAACTGGCCTCTTCTCTTGCAGACTGCGGCACCCAGGCTGTGCAAGTTCTGTTGGAAAAGGGCGTTGTGGGCCGCTTGCTGGAACTGCTGTTTGCAGATCACGTGTCTTCCACTCTGAAACTTAGTGTGCTGCGCTCCCTCGACAGCATCATAAGCGAACCACAGGGCATGGAGGCGCTTCTCAGAGAGGATCACCATGACAACGAAGGGACCAGCGGGTATCAGCGTCTGCTCGAGCTGTTCCTGCTGGACCAGACAGTCCGAGTGGCCACAGCGGGTGCAGCCATCTTGCAGAAGGGGCATTTTTATGAAGTGCTGACTGACCTTCAGAAAACAGCAGGCACATGGGCTGAGCGCCAGCATGGAGAAGGTGAGGCTGGAGAGAGGGAGAGAGAAAGAGAAAGCACTGACAGAGAGGGGGAAGAGGGAGAGCGGGAAAACCTTGAGGCAGAGCCAGAAAGCCCAATGGATATGGATACTCTGCTGGAGTCCGCTTCTCTGTCAGAGGCTGACCTGGAGAGGCTGCAGGGTCTGCTGGAAGAGTTGCACCACCTGCTGGAGACAGCGCCACACTGCATGGTGCAGCCGCCTAGCAAGGCTTTCCCAACCACGGCTCGCATCACTGGACCCCCAGAGCGAGATGATCCCTATCCAACGCTATATAGGTACTTCCTTCATACTTATTTACTCCATTAGCAGTTAACGAATCATTGTTTTAATTGCTAATTAGCCAGACCTACCAAATGTGTTATAGAATGGATAGTTTTGTTTCTAAAATCTGATTGGCTGAGCCATGCTTAAAGCCTTTCTTAAATCATTGATATGCACACACATGACTGTACACCAGTTGAATTCTGTATTAGTGTAGTTTGATTATTGACTGTTTTTTAACCATTATGTTTGGCATCTTTTTGGGGTATAAAGTGTTTGTTGTGATAATTCACTAATTTATCATTATAAATAAAGTTGTTGAACATCTGTGTATTTTGTCTCCATTTTATAAAAAGCTTTATTATGTCTGTAATAAAATTATATCTTGTGTTACAGGTATATGCATGCTGCTCACTTCTTGGAATCTTTAGCAGTTGTCTTGACCTCTCCAGCTACTTGTGCCCATGTTGGCGTCCTGCAGGCAGTTCGAGAGCTGCTGCGCTTCCTGTCGCAGACCCAGCAGGGTCTCCTTTTCCTCCTCAGCCAGCACGAGCCCACCAACCTCCTACTGCGCCTGCTCACACCACTTACACATCTGGCTCCTGTATCTCACCTGGCCCACCTGGCTCCTCTGACCCCTATGTTGGAGAGCGAGGGGGAGGAAACCTCCCCAGGAGCAGAGGGCTCTTTGGACGATGGGTTTTGGGTGTGGTTAATGCAGGCGCTACATGCCCTTCAAGCTGTTGCAGAGCTTAATGTGCCAGAGCTTGAAGAAGGCGACAACCCAGATGTCCTGTCAACACTTCACAACCTCTATCTGATTAGTTTTAGTAGCACAGGCCGAAGTGCAGTCACACATGCACTCAGCCTAGACAGTAACCTTAGCTGTCTGGTCAACCTGCTGGAGCACCATGCCAAAGAGGGACAAGGGTGAGCACACTTACTGCACAGTGAATACACACAGAACAACATTTGTATGGGTTCATCCTATATATAGACTGTCCCAAGCAATTTCAGCGTAATCCTTAGAATGTTTGTTATAGCCTACATGATATTCAGTTAGTGTTTGCGCAATAAATCGAAACATCTTCAGACATTGTATAACATGAACTTGCATAAGGACTACATGCATATCCCTGATTAACCCCACACTCAACCTATTTGAATTACCCATTTTATGATATATGACTGAATGTTTTTTTTTTTTTTAGGGAAGGAAAAGCTAGAAAGTCTGTAACTTACAACTATGCCTGCATGCTTGTGCTGCTGGTGGTTCAGACCTCCACTGAGCTGAGGATGATGGAACATTATGTTGCCCCATTGCTCAGTATTTGCAAAGCTGATGAAAACAATGCAAAACTTCAGGGTGAGTTCACCTCTGATTTTTAATCTGTATAATCTGGCCCTACTTAGTTTAGGTTGCCTAGATATCCTAGACAGAACTTTAACAAGATCTTTAATTCTGTAATTATTCTGCCACCCTTGTAATGCACTTTATCTTTCTTAATGTAGTGTGATGTGTTTGTTTTTGTTTCAGAGCTGAGTAAGTGGTTGGAGCCACTTGAAAAGCTGCGCTTTGATATAAGTGGCATCCCAACCCTTATTGATTATATCAAACAGGTAAGTTGAACACCTATATTCAGGTGAATGAGAAGCAAAGTCCATTTAGGCATCATGATGATTCTCAGAAAAACAGCAAATGGATTTGTGTTGACTCTCAGCATAACATCGCCAGTCTTTAACTAAGTTGAGCGTTTAAGTTGAGTCCATGCTTAGTCCTGGGTGCTAAGTACCTACTGTGCATACAGTATTCCTAATTGTATTCTTACACAAACTGCTGCATTGCATATAATTAACCTTAAAATAGTATATGAACTGCACAGTGGTAAAATTTACCGTGTATAATTGTGATGATATCCCTTGTGTTAGAACCTGGAAAATTTAATGACGCCTGAAGGGGTGGGCCTTGTTACTGCTCTACGAGTGCTTTGTCACATTGCCTGTCCACCATCTACTGTAACAGGTATGTACACTAACATAAATGCACTGAAAAATCTTTCTTACAATTGAAAACTCTATACATTCATTAACGCCTTGTCTATATTTGTGTTTCTGGTCATGTAGGCCAGCAGAAGGACCTGAAGTGGAACCAGGCAGTGATAGCACTATTCAGTGCTGAGGGAATGGACACCTTTATAAAGGTTCTTCAGAAGCTGACATCAGTGCTTCTGCTCCCGTGGCGACTGCATGGACCCATGGGCACCACAGCACAGAGGGTGACAATGCTGTCCGTGGCTTCCTGTGCATTGAGACTCATCAGAGCTATGCTTACCGAGCTGCTGTGCGGCGGGGCTTGCGAGTTTCGTGACGTCCGTGTTCCCGCTGTCTGTGTGACCCTGCACATGATCATCTGCTCCACCCCAGCAACTGGTCGCCTGGACACAGAGGAGCTGCGTATCCAGGGTGACATTGTCGAGGTGTTGCTAACTTTCACACATGCAGTGAGTGAGCAGGAGACAGGCTCAGAGGAGACGGTGGCAGGAAACAGCTGGTCTCTCATGCTGAAGGAGGTGTTGAACTCTGTCTTGGCTGCGCCAGAGAACATATACAGCAGTCTCAGTCTCTTGTCTGAGCTGCTGCCACTACCACTGCCCATGCAGACCACACAGGTAAGACACACACATGATTATTATAAAAGTAATATGGCGCTATATGATATTACAGTACTTGAAGACAATTTTATGATACACAGTATGTAGCATGATATGCTCTGGCAGAGCATCATTTTAAAAATTATTAACGTTTTTTTCCACCTGTCACATATTAGACATATTTTACATTTCACATATTGCACTTTGCCACATTTAATTTAACAGGTCCAGGTATGCTGTCCTGGAAACCTCGGACACCTATGCCTCATGGGACACCCTATTTTAAAAGAATTCCATTCTTTTCTAAAAGATTCTGCCTAATTCAATCCTAGAGACTAAACTAAGTCATATAAAGTATTTTGACGTGAAATAGTTAATTGTAGAGACCTTTAAAAATGTCTGGTTCCTATCCACACTGTTGTGAGCAATTCTGACTGTGCAAGTTTCTCTAGAACAGTATATGTAGCATGTAGTAACTCATAGGTTGCTTGCAGCCAAGCTTTGCTGCTTAAAGACTTCTTGCTGCTTAAAGACCTCTTGCTTTTCTTGCTCTCTTTGTGCCAGGCACTGTCAGTCCAAGATGTTGGAGTTGCAATGAACACACGCAAGCTGTGGAGTATGCACCTGCATGCTCAGGCACGCGTCTTACAGGACGTGCTCCGGTGTGTGTGCGTGAGCAGCTGCCCACCTCTCCTTTCCATGCTTCGACGTGTGTGTGTACAGCTCTGTGACCTGGCAGCACCTACTGCCACACTCGTCATGAGGACCTTGCTGGAGCAACTACATGAGGAAATGCAACAGTAAGATATATGTTTTAGACTTGCACCAGGTGTGAATGACTTATCAGTTCATATCTAGGTTGCATTGTAACACTTTGAGGTTCAGTATAGGAAAGATTATCCGTATAGGAAAGAATTGAGTCTTGTAAAGACCAGACAGTGAAGGAGGGCTGCAGCAATTAGCCGGCAAAGTAGATTAGACATTGACAGTGTTGATTACTGAAAAAGCAGCTTTTGTGCATCAAAGTGTGATTTACTTAAAAACAACAGAACTTTAACCAACTGTGGCAAAAATACAGAAGGCGTAAAGGCATAATGGTTTGATTAAACAATTTAGGGGGACTGTTATTTATTTATTTATTTATTTATTTATTTTGTTTTAGATTTTAACAAGCCATCGAACCAGTTGAACTTTCACATATTCACAAATATCCACTTTTAACAACAAAACAACTGCTTTTCACCCTGTTTGAATTGTTTGTGCCACCACAGTAGCTGATGTATAGAACTCACTTCATTGTAAAACTCAAAGCATTTTTCATAGCCTGCCGAAATGGCTGGGTTACTAAGAAAATGGCTTTACTGTCAGTGGCAGTGCTGACAAGAAATGTATTGGTTATCAAGGACTATGGAAATTTGAAAGTTGAGGGGAAGAAAAAAGTCTTGTGGCTTTTGAAAAGGATGTGATGTTCTGTTGAGCATGTCCTCAGTTTCTACGGCCGGCAGACACCAAAAGTTGATACTTTACTATGAAAAGCTAGTCTTCAGTCATCATTAGTTAATCTAAATAAAATGACAGGCTAATTTATTTTCTTTATGTTCACCATTGTAGATTCATTGTCGGTTCTTTATACATATTGCTTGTGGTGTTGTTTTGCTATCTGCTGTTGACCAGAGTAGGACAGCTTCCTTTTTTAAGTCTTGGTTCCTCTCAAGGTTTCTTCCTCTTGCTCTTAGGTAGTTTTTCCTTTTGGCTTGCTCACTGAGAGCACCTGAATTTCTGTAAAGCTGCTGTGTGATAAAACTGTTGCAAGAACAGTGAAACTAAAAAGCCTGATGAAGAAATAATTGAGTTAGCTGCTAAAACATATAAATAATGAATCATTTGTGAATGATTGTGAATTATTTTACATATTTTGCAGTTTTTTGCCAACCATGTCATGTATCTGCATATAAATGTCACACACACAGGCTAAAAACAAAAGGCTGTGCATTCTGTTATACTTATCTGCATGCTCAGCAGTTACTCAGATTGTTCGCATCATTTTGTCTTTAGGGAAGGAGTGACCTCACAGTTGACAAGGCTACTTGCCCTGCTGGACTCATTGGTGTCTCAGCGCTCTTGTAAGGCAGCCATGTTGGCTCTTCTGGGCGGAACCATGCGCAGCGAAGCGCGAGGCGAGGGGCGGGCTGATGACAAGCTGACGGACATGCTCCCCTCTCTGCTGTCTATGCTCCTCCCACCAGCAGATGCCAGTCTATCAGTGCAGCAGAATGCTGAATTGACAGCTTCTATTATCCAGTCGTTGTGTGATCAGGACATTTCACTGATAGTGAGCGGCTCAGGGGAAGTCTGTGTGTCTGAGGCAGAACAGCTGGCCAATGCCTTGCCTTCAAGGGACATGATGCCAGGTATATGTGACAGAATGTTGGAAATACTTGGGCACAATCACAGCAGCTACACACTCCAGCTCACCTGCCTTAGAACAATGATGTTCCTGACAGAGCATGACTATGGCCTCTATCACCTGAAGAGGTAAGAAGAGTTTGTCTGTTTATAGTAAGTTCACTATACTTGCCGTGGATGTATTTTAAGATGTTCTGTGTGTGTATGTGAAAATGGTGTGTTTTGCAGCTCCCTGAAGAAGCACTCTTTAGCTGTGTCATCACTGCTCCGGAGGGAAACCACATCATTTAATAAAGAATCAGCTGAGCTGCTCTCTGCTTTGTTGGACTTCCTACGCCAGATCCTCAACAATGAGTCTATGGTAAATAAAGAAACTTGCTCGTGAACCAAGATAGAAAAAAAGGAATGATAGTATGTGTTAGCATTAACCCCTAGGTATGTATGTTTAGAGCTGGGCGATATGGGCACATATCACAATGCTTCAAGAAGTTATCTTTGCAATACACAGTATGTCACAATATTTATTTTTTTCTGACATCTGATAAGTTAGAACAGACACAGTAGTGCCACATTTTCAAAATAACATCAAAACTATAAACCCAATTATTTATATTCAACATTTACTAAATCCAATTAAACTGTACTAATTATGCTGTCTTTTAAATCAGACATGCAGTTAGGAAGTGTGACTTAAGGACTTTACAATGTCCATGATATTCTCAAAGACAGTCATGTCATTTATCACGATAATGATTTGTATTGTCATATTGCCCAGCTGTATGCAAAAATAATGGGTAAATCTATTTGTCTGGGCATCAAGTATTTATTTGTTTGACAAAAAAAACACTAACAACAGAGTAAATTGAAATAAAGAAAAAAATTGTCAGTATGTTAGTTTAACCATTTCCAAACCTGTCATCGAAGCCCAGTGAGCACAGTTACCATTCAATACCTAGTTCGGCTAATCAGTTGTTTATTATAATTGAATCAGGCATGGTAGTTGAATTTGACAGATACATGCAATGGCTTGAGTGCACAGAGAAGTCAGGAACCAAATTAACCAAAATATTAATAACTTTACTGCAAACAAGGAATCAGTGCTTTTACTGTGTGTTTATTACCTAGATAAATAGTTTTAAACAGTTTTCATAGCTACCATAACTTTTGCACAGCGCTGTGTGTGAGAGAGAAAACATGACAAAGAATCCATGTAAGTAACAGGGGTGTTAGTCTCTGACTGCACAGCAGTTATATTTGATTATGATTCTTTAGGAAACAATTTGATGCATTATGAAACTGGAAATTTAACTTTAATGATTTTATTTGTTTTATTTTGGCATAATTCAGAATTATATTTAATAATACACTGAATACACAGATGTGACTGGAGGAACTTTTCGGTACTGGAGTGTAGAGAACACAAAACAACACACCAGGCTTTTTTATGTTTGCATTCTAAAGTTTAGGGCTGCAAGTAATCATTATTTCCATAATTGACTAATCAGTCTATTATGATGAAAAAGAGAAGTCCTGTTATTATTTGGTCAAAATGAACATATGGCAACATAATTTAAATTTACACACAATGTCTTATTTAAAAAAAAAAAAAGGAAAAAAGTAGTAGAATTATTTCTCTTTTTTGATCTTTCAAACCATAACACAAACCCTGTTTTCTAAAAAGACTTCCCTTTCAAGGCTAGGTTTCAAAAAGTTACTTTTTTATACCTACGCAGTTTAAAAGTAAACCATAATTTTGATGAAGCTGAGGTGAAGTGAGGCATAAGCATTGCCAAGCCAATTAATAACAAGACTTGTTGCTTCCAGCCCAACTAACATTTCAAAGTTGATGCAGTTGAATCACCACCTTCAAAACCATATATTGTGATGCATCATTGCGTTTTGACACCCCTAATGAGTATGTGTGAAGGAGAGGAAGTAAACTAAGTGTTTACTTGAGCCGCTTTGTCCTGTAACAGGATGAAGATATGGACTCGCGCTCTCTGGCACTGAGCGTGAGTGATATGAAACAGCTGCTGCAGTGGAAAGATGACTCAGCGGAGCATCCACTGCCAGAGCTGGAGAAGCACATCACGGTAAGGACTGCATAAATCTGCTCTTTAAGCTTCACAGTCAGTACAGAACATCAAATCATCGCCTAAAAAATCTTACTAGAAACTATCAACACTAAAGAAGTATTGTACCCATTTGAATTTTAAGCGTCTAGACACGTACCTTTGGTGGGTAACAATTTAATTTGTTATGTGCCAATGATTAATCTAGCCATCGGACATGTTATTTCAAACGTCAAAACAAAATGCATAAGAACTACACTAGGCTTGGGTATTCTGGCTGACTGAGGGTGATTGCATATTATGTTTTCTATTCTGTCTGCCCAACCTTTTGTAGGAGCTCTTTAAAGATGATGATTCATTAGAGGCTCTAGTGGAGAATGTGGTGGGACTCCGGCAGATCCTGGAGGGTTCTGGAGATGCTCCAGGCCACACAGAACCTGAAACAGAGCCTACCCTACCTTCTCCAGAGCCGCTACAGACACAGTTTAATAACAGGTAACATCCCTCTTTTGGTTAAACTGACTTGGTCATTTTTTTTTTTTTAAGCAATTTAAAGGTATGTTTAATGTTGGTTGTTCATGTGTGTGACCCATGGTGTGCGTTTGTTTCCTTTCTTTCTCACCACAGGACAGTGTATGTTCTGTCTGATATGTTGGATGAGCAGCTAAGGGCTCTTTGGTTTTCCCCATTCCAGCCAGATGACATGGAGACAGACCAGGATATGGTGAGTGCCTGTTTGTGTGTTTGCATGAGAACAAGAGACAGACCTGTGGCCACTGGATAAAAAAAACAGGTTCCGTCATTTTGAACATCAGAGAGGTATTGTCCTTTATATTTGTACTGAAAGATTGTATTGTGTTGGTTTGTTTGCATGCATTTTAGGTTAAAGTAGATCTGGTGGCACTGGCGCAGCAGTGTTGTCCTGATCTGGACCTGAAGGCAGAGTTAGAACGCTCGTTCCTCAGTGAGCCTGCCTCCCCAGGCCACAGCAAACCGGCCAAGGGCTTCAGACTGGGCAAGCATAAACATGAGACCTTCATCACCTCCAGGTACACATACACAACCACAAACAAGCATGGATATGAACAAAGCTCATGTACACCTGATCATTGCATCCATCTTTGAGCAGACACATGAAACATGTCTCATGGTGTGGTATCTTAAATGTAGTTGATCAATCAAGTAATCTGAAATAGACTCGCTTTCTGACAACATGGTCTAAAAGATTTTGACACATTTGTCCCTTTTGTAGATTGTTTGTCAGAAACCACTCATGCATTCATGTGGTTTCATTGGAAAAACTGTTCCTCTTTATTTTGATCAAAAGGTTTAACCCACATAATTGAAGAAAGTTTTTCTGTATTTATCTCTCTGCAGTGGTAAATCAGAGTATGTGGAGCCTGCCAAGCGTGCTCACATAATGGCCGCCCCTCGTGGTCGGGGCCGCGGTGCCTTTGGGCAGCTCAGCCGGCCGCACGACATCTTCCGACAGCGCAAACAGAACACCAGCCGACCGCCCTCCATGCATGTGGATGACTTCCTGGCTGCAGAGTTCAAAGAGGTCAGCCTGCCTACTGGCCTGGCACTCCCTAAACGCCCTCCCAAAGGAGGAGGAGCAAAGCCACCTGCTAGAGGCTTGTTTACTGGAGGAACTAGAGGGAGGGGCTTCCAGAGCCACACTCGTTTCTTCACTCCACCTGCCCCCAAGAGTGCACTGCTTGCAGGTATGCACAGTTATTTATACTTAAAATCCATACATTTGGTTTTTACTGCAGTATGAAAGCTTTTGAATTAAGCGAGCACTTTTTTTCTTTCTTTCCTATGTTAGGTAATTACCCTCGTCGTGAAGGTGGCCGTGGGTCCACTTGGAGTGCTCCAGTCACAGCTGTTACTCACAGAGGAACTTACAGTGAACCTCGAGGAGGACAAAGTAACTTCACTCGACCATTGCCATCAAGGCAACCACCGACAGGTATGCTTTTCTTTTTTATGCTTTTATGCCCAACTGATGCCTGAAGCCTCATTTGCATTGGGACCCTGGAATAAGAGTGCAATTTTAAGACAATAAGGAGAAAAATGCAGAATACCATATGAATTAACAGCACACTCTGCAAAGAACTTACTGAAACTTAATCAAAAATTGCACAGCTTCAGAAAGTTGGAAATGTAAAACGATCTCTATTGATGCGATCTGTGTGTATTCACTTTGTGTTGACTTTTTCCTTGAATGATTATTACTGGCACAGTTTGAGCCCCTCAAAAATTATACTTATTAGCGGCAATGAAACAATCAGCTGGAGCGCACAGCTACCTGAACATTTTCACAGGGCTGACCTGTTGGCTTCATTTAGCTTGTATTCACTTGAAGTGATTAACCAACGATGATTAGCACATTCGCTCTTAAAGTGTAGCTCTTTAAAGCATATTTTAGTCACTGGAGTAAGTGTGCCATCTGCTGGATAGTCTGGACACAAACCTGCTTAGATGGCTTCAAGAGAGATGCAGTACAAGTCTGTCAGTTTGTCGTAGATGGCTTGAGGAAAGATGCAGTTTGATTTTTTTTTTTTCTTGCAGTCTTTCCACCAGAATATGTTCTGAAATGAAATATCTTTTAGTGTATATACTATACGATGAAGATGTAAGTTCAAAGCATGTATCTTGAATGTTCTTGGTGCATTTCTGATCATTTGTTATTCTCTCAGGTGCATACCGGTTGGCTCCACGGGACCGTGCCCCAAGAGGAAGAGGCACTGGTTTGTCCTGGCTAAGTGGAGGCGGACTTAGTGTAGGAGGAGGTGGAGTGAGTGATAGTGGGCGTGGCCAAGGAAAATTCAGTAGCAGCGGGAGTGGAGGCGGTCGTGGCCGGCATGTCCGCTCATTTACCCGCTAACAACTGTAAACTGGCCAAGAACATTTAGCCATGTGGCTCTAAAGGACCAATCAGGATGTGGATTTGCAGTATCCATGGAAATGTTGCGTCATTGTGTTTATTGCTCATTTTTGTGTTGGAAACTGATTAAAATCTTGTGAATATCTTCTGTGCGTTGTTTGTTCTTCTTGATTGTTCTAAACTGATTTATTACACCTTGCTTTAAAATGTTTCATGTCTGGATTGTATCAGGATATACTTGGACCGGATTCTACTTATACTTTTCAGTAAAAATGTGTTTAATTTCCTGCGTAAAAAGCACATAAATGCATATGTCATTTCCGTTGTACTTCTGTTCATGATACAAATTTAACAAGCTTGGCTTGCTTTAATCGGCCCAGAATGCAAAACTGTTTTTGGTTTTGGGATGTCTCCAGCTGCACACATCCTCCATCTTGCGTTTCCATATGCTCTCACCTGCTAGTCAGCACTCTGTAGAGGCATTTCCCCTCATGCACAGTGTGGATATAGAAAACTCATTCCATTTACACTTATGTTGAACATGGTCAGAAACTGGCCACCTCAAAATGTATTTTTAGTAATCATATCATAATCCGATTACAGTGCTGCACCCTGGATGTCTTTACACCTGGGTCTTCAGTGTGGTCAAGTGAAAATCTGAACATGATCACAACTCATAGTTTACAATATAAAGACCCATGTCATGGAAATCCAATTGTCCTAACTTTTTTTGTCTTAAAGGTACAGTAACAAAAGAGCCTAAGGGATAAAGCGAGTTTGGAAAATGGTTATGACAAATTTAATTACTATTAGTTTTAGTACCTATAACCACACAAACTTCATAAATGGACACGAGGAAAATGAATAAATGCAAGAAAAGTGTAGGATATTGGTGCTTTATGTAGCACAAACGTCACATTTTCACTGAAGAGTAAAATGCTATTATTTTCACAGAAAGGCCAAAGGCATTCAGATTGCTCCTTTGTAAAATATTTTATTGTTGGCTTGTTAGATGACTGGTAGAAGAGAGAGTATCATTTATTCTGTTTTGTAAAATTCAAAGAAATGTATAAAAATGTCTCAAATACACAATTTCAACCACACGTTTCAAATCTTCTAAAATGTACTGTCTGCGATATCTAACGTCAGTCAGTTTCTTCTCAAGCTGCTGTGTTAAACTGCTGTTTAATGCTCTGAAGCTCTTTGTGAGTCTCTCACTGAAGATTAGCAGGATCAATAGCGTTCGACGTAACTTGTCAGGGGTGTCTGTCTGCACAAACAGGATTTGTGGGGAAGAGCAGGTTATCCCTTCAGATTACATTAGCTTCTCTTGCTGGTTATTTCAGTCGTGTGTGGGTTGTGCGTTGTGTAAAGCTCAGCTTCAGATGACCGTGACCTCCCTACTCTTCCTCTTGATGCAGTCCAAAGCTAGGCTGCGTGGGCTGGACTTACGAGGCCCCTCAGCTGGGGGTGTTGCTGTCTGAGTGGGCGTGGCTGGCCTAAGCCCCTCCTTTTTCAGAAGCTCCAGCAACTCTGCTTTCTCAAGCTCTGCTCTCTCCAGCTCTTGTCTGCGAGCTCGTTCTGCTCCCAATAACACACGAACATCTGACATCACACGGGACAGCTGGCCCTGAACACAGATCCGTGTAGATGTTACCTAGACAGGCAACATACTTTCTCTGCTCATAAAAAAATAGTAATAACAAATGATATGGTCTTGAGAGACGGCCTGTAGAGAACCTAAGAATAGCACAACCAATTTGCAACTTTATTCATGCCATAAACTCATTTATAAGCCCTTCATTCATTTTTAAATGAACGTACAAGTGAGAGCAAAGATTTAAAACGTGTGGAACTTTTGCAGGACGAGAACTGCTTGAAGTTGTAATACCTTGAGTTCATCCACCTCATTCTTCAGTAGACTCTCTTTCTGCACCATGTACCTCCTCTGAGAATCCAGCCGTGACTCCATCTCACGTCTCACCTCTTCAACCTTACAATCCAACTCTGCTCTGCAAACCGAACAAACAAACAAGTGATTTTTGATGCCATTTTTGCAGTTCTTTTCAATTGTTTGAGATCCTGTTCAGTCGGGGTACCACTAGAGTGTCTCCAGTTTGTCTCCAGTGTGAATGCTCTAAACAGTAAAAACAATAAAAAAATTAACTAGGACTTTTGTGGACATTTTTTTTCTCAGAAATGACAGTCTCTGTTGATTCTTGTTGAGGATGCACGCGATATTGAAAGACCACAGGCATTGGTGTCTGAAATCTACAAAGCCCCTGAAAGGACATGGAAATAAAATGACATGGGTTTGTCTGTAATGGATGAGTTTTTTTTCCTCATCAAATTACTTAATTTTCTGGACATCTTTTGTGACACACAAATTATTCTCTTCACATTTTCACATTCTCTTTCACATCCACCTATAAACGTTGTCCAGTAAGCTGTAGCTGCTCATAAAAAAAACAATACCTCTAATATATTTGTGTAATCCTTCCTCTGAAACAGTCTGTTGTGTTTTAGTTTCAAATGGTGCTCTGATATGATATAATGATTTCTGTCTGTGAACCCTGAAACAACATCTTTGTGTTTGAGACATCAAAATACATTTTTTTTGAGAGTTCAAAATAAAGTGCTATACAGTGGTCAATTTCCATTAGAATAGTTCCAATCATGGCTACACAACTTCCACCACCCCTGAAAAATGGACAATGGGCTGTGGGGAGAAAATAGTGAGTGGAATGCTGCCTGAATGGCGTATTGGTGCCATCTACAGGGCAGAGTGGGTAATGTGCTTAAGTTTCCCTTCTATATCTCAAAAGTAATTAATTTGAGAAAAAAATCAGTGACTCATCCATTTTGCAGGCAGGAGTACCCATATCCTTTTGGGAGCTCAGCAGAAATCTGAATGCCAACAAATTTACTTCATAATTTTAAATAATTTAACAAATTTCAACAGGAATATTATTAATGAAAACTGGTAACTGATTCAGTCTTGGAATCAACAGTGATCTTGTATTCTTTTCAACAGAGAGATGGTTGTCTTATCAACAAAATAGATAAATCCTACACTTCCTGTTCAGTCATGTTTAGTCTGACAGTGAGAGGTGTGCTTAAATACAACCTTTTGATTGGACATCAGATTCCACATAGTAACCACTCAAAGTTGGATTCCACAATCATTGTAGATTACTTGGCCACAAGTTTGTACACCCCTCCTATGTCACCATGATATAGATGCACTAGCATCATAGGATACCATAGAAATTAGCTAGCAACACCTTAGCAACCACCTTACAACCACCTGGAATACTATAGCAACCGCATAGCAATACAATATCGACTACTTGGAATCCCACAGTAACACCCTAGCAACCACCTGGAACACAATTTCAACCACCTAGCAACTGTGTTACGTACCGTAACAACCACATACCAACATTCTAGCAACCACCTATAGAAAACGCTTTGCAACAACCTAGCAACCACCCACAATACCATAGAAATCAATAACCAAGACCCTTGCAACTGCTTGGCATGTCTAGCAATCCCTTGGCAACCATCTGCAGCATCATAGCAGCACCAGAGAACTGCGTAAGCTGCAAAATCACCTTTTAAGGCATCATTTATTATCATCTCTGTGGTAACTCTGCGGTAACTCTGGTGAGTCTCTACCTCAGTAAGTCCAATTCTGCTCGCAGTTCAGAGATGCAGTTGTGCTGAGCTTCTTCTGTGCTGGTTAGTGTGTATCCACAGCCACTTGCACACATTCTGTTGCGGTACTCACACACACACAGGTGCGCCTCCAGAGAACGCCGAGACACCTGCACCGGACAACCTGGAACAACAATTAATGAAGAAGCAATTCTAAAAAATTTCGAATACAAATATTTTGATTTTGACTAGCTTAAAGTAAATGCATGCAGAAAAAGTAGAGCAATCGTTTCAGCATGTCAGCACGCAAAATAAAAGCAACACACAGACACACACAGGTAAACCTACCACAGCGGTAACACAAGTACTCCTCACCTGTACATACACACAGATATTCACTTGGTTAGAACTGTGCCTGCGTAAATATGTACAACAATATCTGAACAAAACCATTTCATCCATGGTAACTTAGAAAAACATTCTTAACTTTTAATACAAGTTAATATAAGAAAGATTCCATTCCAAATCATTTTGGATCATTTCTATCAGTGTATTCATCTTGAAATGTTCACACAATGTAAAGATTATCTACTGTTCTTAAAAATAAAAGGTGTAAAAATGAAGCTACCTGTTTTTGAGGTGACTAGGAGGTCATATTAGTGCAAAAGCAGAATTTTAGTCTCGGCGTACATTTAGTTTAAAACTCACTTAAATAAACAGGTTACTCAAAATTATTTTAATGATTGTTATATAGCTTGTTGTGTAACTTCATCATATCTTTATCAGCATAATGTTGAGACACAAATGTCAAGCTGGACCTTCTTTTTGAGCCTGTATGTGTGATGTTAATACATAAAGACGAATGATGTGGTTCGAAAAACCCCTGCAAAATCCGACCTGTCATCTCTAACTTCTATATTTTTATTTCAGACTTTAGTGATTCTCACACATGCCATATTTTAGCCTGTTTTATATTATCCAGTGATGTTGCTTCTTTCTATCTCAACAAAAATCTTACACAATCTTACATAGTGGTGATTTAAAAGCATGCACTTTGCAATTCACAAAAACCTAAGAACTAGAAAAAGAGAAATACATTTTTTGAGGATATAATGTTGCTTAGAAAGCTGTCAGGTGGATTGTTCTGACCTTGTAAGCTCATTGGCTGTAAAAGCTATGCTTCACTGGCTGTCCAGGGGGGGTCTATTCATTAAACATTAAAAGAAAGCTTACTCTAGTGGTTCCACCCTTTACCCTTGCGGTCACTTTGGTGTACAGTCACTTGTGTGAGTGTCACTGCTGTCACTTGTGTGAGTGTGTGTGACTGATGTTGACCCTCATTCATCAAAATTGTGTACAGTCAATCTGATCGTAATCCATGGTAATCTTTTACATGCACTACAGGATTTCAATATGTTATTTTAGGAAAATACTCACACTACACAATCACATCATTCTACTGTCTTAATGCATTGTATTCTTTCTGGTTGTCGTAATTTTTAACGCTATAAAGTTCGGTCAGTAGAGGCAGCAGTGCACTCACTGCTCGATCTCAAACTCTACCTATGAGCACAGCCATTGGCTCAGGATGCACTGAATGCTGACTTTTTATTGACACCCCACTGAAACATCTGCATGAATGAGGGTATGCTTCATATAAATGATATATAAATGAAGTACATGTCGAAGCGTGCTTGATTTCGTGCACTGAAGCTGATTCGTCATTTGCACAAAAAACTGCACTTGTTTCTACAGTCTAAGAAAGTTTTAATCAGACGCAGAGTGGTCCATACCTAATTAAAGGTGGTCAAATCGGCACTCTTTTTTATGCAACTTTGATAGACAAGAGCCATGATCTGTCACCTGTTACAAATATAGTACATATTGCTATATAATATTGCAATATGTATATATTGTATAATTTTCAGCCTGATCTTGTGTGTGCAAAAGTGGAACTAAGTGGGTAAGCTGTTGTGTATACTTACCAGCATTGCTACAGCTCAGCAAAGCAAAGTCACAGTCCTGTTCATGTCGATGGATGGACTCCAGAGCACAGATGACCTCACACCCCTGTGGGCGATACACACACCTCACCTGGAGTCTCGCCAAGTCGTTCCGCATGTATCTGTAACACACACACACTATCCGACGAATGTTCTACACATACAGGATCAACTCTAGACTGTAGCTAATGGTGGAAAAACATATAGCTGGCCGAGAAACAACTGAGCCTGTAAGTAGTTTTATAGTTCTATCTAGTTCAATGCTAAATATTATTCTTTAGAAGCAATAATCAAAGTATGTTGTAATTTTATATTATTATTATTCTTCAATCATAGTTTGAAACAAGTGAAGAAATTGTCAAAAGTGCAAATTCTTAATTTTCAACTCATCCCACATTTGTAGATATTTTATTATGATTTGAATTTGATGAAAACATGCTTGTTGGTTGCTCAGTTTTGTTTTGTGAAAAGAAAAGCCACCCTGTACATTTGTTGCCATGTTTTGTTATTTCCTGACAGAAACCGAAACCGCTGGAAGTTCAGACTCAAGTGCAAGTGAGAATTTGCATAATTCACTAAATAATAAAGGGGTCCATATCCTATATTTTTCTTGCATCTATGTTTTTTATGTGCAAATGAACTCTGTTCTAGGCTGAAACAGTTCTTGTGCATGAATGGGCAGGGCTAAACTGTAGGCTGCATGTGTTGATATATGTAAATGCATTGTTTTTTGGGACATCAAAGAAACAGCAAATTAAAAACAGCCTACCTATACAGCTTACATACAGTTTACATATACAAACTGTATAGGCGATGTTTATGTAGCGTATCAAACTATTTTATTTTTAAAAAATGTTTTCCATGATATAGTCTCTTTAAATATGTAATGATGTAATTACATTAGAATATCACAGCAAAACCAAAGCACTAACTCTCGGCTTCTATGGGTTAACATGCCACAGGTGATTTTGTCTGAAGGTTGCCACATGGGTATAAATACCTATAGAGTGGCCTGAGATTCGTGACGTCCAGTGGCAGCCGGTCCTCAGGGCAGTTATGGTGGTGGACAAGCCAGGCATGAATGCAGGTGCTGCAGAAAGCATGCTCGCATGGAGCCTGCAGAGGATCCTCCAACACATCCCGACACACACAGCACAGCAGACCCTCATTTACATAGCCCACAAAGCGCTCCACATCATAACCCATCCTGTCAGACACACAAACCCAGAAAGATCAATGTGAAAGTTAATATGGGACAAATGTGGCGCATTAATTATTAATTTACATAGACCTGCATATAGACAATACAATCCATATGACAGAGGGTTTACATAAGCAAGCTGTTTTATCTCTGGCTATAATCAAAGTGCAAATCTCTGATCTCAGAATGATTTTATTAGATTCACCACAACTTAATTGGATTACTTTGGTATGATTTCAAATTCAAAATTTTTGATAAAGAAATAGCCTGAAAATAAATGTGACTAAAATAAGTATTTAGAAAGTTTGTAACAGTTTTGTTGATTTTCTAAGTAAAAAATAAGTTAACACATCCTCTACAGATTTAAATATGGCATTTTTCTGTGAAACAAGGGTTGAACACAAACATTGGGACAAAAAAATAAAAAATAAAAAATAAAAAATATACATACATTGTTTAGAAAATTTAAATACACATTCTATGAGTTATTATAGATAGATAGAATATATGAATAGACAGATAAAATAACCAATAGATAAAATATATAACTATACAAAATGTAAAATATAAAATAACTAAAATGATTAATATCACAACTGATCACAAGTCTTCAAATAGTAAGCTAAGTAGGGACAACACTACACCTTGGATTTTGTGTTTGACAACAGTCCAAAAAGAAGAAGAGTGCATACTTTACTGGATATTATTATAACCGACTATAACCAATTTTAACATTTCAAAATTTATTCTACTCAAAAACACCACTTAGGCCACTTCACTTTACAGACTACTAGGCTATGACATAAGGTGGTACCACAATAACTGACACAATGCTACCACAACATAACAATTTTAAAGAATTTAAAGTTGTTAGAAAAACCTCCATACCTTTCAGAATAAGTGAAGAACTCTATCTCTTGCTGTTCTTCAGACGTGGCTGAGGACAGTGTGCTTGTGGGGTTGCCGTAGGAACTACAAGGCCACCAGCTGTTGAATGGAGACGAAGAAAGACCAGGTTATCCGGGTCAAAATTCACCAGAGGAGGAGCTTAGAGAGTGAGGTCAGCTTACATTTATCTACACTTTCAATGCATCAACATATTCCCAGGACAGCCCATTTTGAACGTGTCTATCAATTGCATCCATCTGTGAGTCATCTTTCACATCAAACTGAATATGCTCACTATATAGACACATTTCCTAAAAGCAATCTTACTGTCTAGTTCTATGCTTGGTGAGAGGCTAAATGAGTTCAATTTTGCTGCATCGTACTTTAGGAGCATGCATTTCACAAAATATTTTTACAAAATCATAAAAACTGCAAAAAAATAATTATTCTATACTGTGTGAATGTGTAAAGAAACAAACAAAATACAAACTCTTAATAATTTTCTATTTTCTACCCTCTGGGAAACCCACCCCTCTCTCTCTCTCTCTCTCCTGTAATCACATGAGTGTGTATAGCTTATGTAGTCCTGGTAACCCCACACACTCTGTACCTGTATAGCACAGAGAGAAAAAAAGCTGCATACACACAGATACGCAGGGGACAAGTCAATTCCCTGAAAAACGATTTGCAGTGTCCTCATACAGTACTCATATTGTATTATAAAATTACAATACTTTACTATATTTATTGTAATAAAATTGATTACTGTATTTTTACAGTTTTACCCCCTCACCCCTGTATTTCTAATGGAAAAACTCATATGTGTTCTAATGGCTGAGGATCTGTAAATGAAGCTAATTGATGCCTACAAAGCAGGAGAAGGCTATAAAAAAAAAGATTAAATTGCTTCCAGCTCACGATTTCCACTGTCCCTTAATGTCATTAAGAAATGGCACCTATGGGGAACTGTGGAAGTTAAGATCTGGAAGACAAAGCTAGAGTTGCTCATATGCTGGCCAGAAAGACAAAACAACCCCCCCTATGACAGCAAAGGACCTGCAGGAAGGTTTAGGTGACACGGTAGTGGTGGTGCACCGTTCTACTGTGAAGCATTCCTTGCACAAACACGATCTGCATGGAAGAGTTGGAAACACTGCATGTAACCTGTGATCACAAAAGTCAAAATCTGAAGTGCACAAAACAACAAATAGAAAAGCCAGAGGCATTTTGGTAACAAGTGCTGTTAACTAATGAAGTGAAAATGGAACTCTTCAGCCACAGTCCCCAAAGGTATGCCAACGCACAGGAAACATTGCACACGTAGATGGAAGAATGGATTCCACTTCAAATAGTACAGTCAGTCAAGAAACTGTGGCTGAAAAGAAGCTGGCTTCCACAACAGGATAATGATACAAACAATGATCTCAAAATCCACAAACTACTTCAAGAAACGCAGGCTGAATCTTTTGGAATGGCTCCCACATTACTGAAAAAGATGTGCATGCAAGATGGCCCAAGAATACTGAGGAACTAGAACCGTTCTGCAAGGTAGAGTGGCTGGAAATTCTTACACAAGAATAGAAAGACTGCTAGCAGCATTTGAAAGCTGTGATATCTGCTAAAAGGGGTGTTACTAAGTACTGATATAGTAGAGTGTCCCACGCTTTGCACATTACATTGCAATTACTATTTTATTTATTTACCTATCCATTTATTCATTTATTAAATTGACCACATATAAAGTCACTGTGCATTAAAATTAGCAGAAAATTTTTAATTTTTAAAAATAGTTGGCTGCAAAGGATGTGTTTTGCATACCCTATGTTTTTGTATATCCCAGACCAGGCATTTGTATATCACCAGAATGCACAATTTTTGCAGTAATCTGATAGAATTTATATGCTTAAAGAATACAGTGGATAACTAAGTGTAGATTAAAATGTACCTTCTCAATGGACCAACATTTTGTATAATAATGCATTTTTGAAATTATCCTATCTTTTTACAGAAAGAAACAGGGTCTCATGGCCTTTAACTACTGGTGAAGTCATCTATAGTGACATTGGGATGTGGGATGTGAGTTAATAGCTAATGTACACTGTATCTCTGTAAAACTGACAGAACTGCATGAATGACTGTCAAGTCCGCAGTCTGCATTACCCACAACAAGTTTTCCTCCATAGGCCTTCCTTGTGAGAGAGTTGTGCACTTATACACCGTACATTTAATCCTGCACGTGTCCACTCAGGTGACCAATAATTACCTGCTGGTCATCCTCACAAGAGGTTAGTTTGTGTCCCAAAGGTCACCCCTTACGCTACAGAACCTGTAACTCTTTATAGCCATCCATTCATTTGAACTTCAACACAGTGGACAGAACTACTGCTTCTGGTAACAGAGAAGAACATGGTGAAATATCTGTTTTTGTGTGAGTGTATGTGGCCATGCCATCACTCTCACTGAAATCTCCTGAATGATCTTGTGGCTGTGGCAGGATTAGACAGGATTACAGTTTCCCAGTCTGTGATTGGATTATAATCTCAATGGCAACATCATCACAGCATCAGACATCAACAGCTGATTTATGCATGCATCTCTAAACCTGCACAGGTCAGCTCAGCAAGTCACATATCATCGCAGAAAAACAGCATTTGTGACCATGTCGAGTGGATTTAACTGTGTCGCAAGCACAGCTTCAAGCACTTCTAATTCATTGCAGACAATGCATGTTAAAATGGCAAACCTGATGAATTACAGATTCATCTTATACTGACATAACAGACACTCAGTTTGTCACATAATTTATATGCTTTTGTCATGTTTCATCTGTATGTTGCAGCAGTAATATTAATGGATTAAATGAAGTGCAACATGCATTACTTCACTTACTAGCTACAGTACTACGTTACTACGTATGCAAGATGCATCACTTACCCGCTCGACCTTAGCAAACATCAAACAAGGGTTATATAAATTCGCCAGAATGAACTTTTCCCAGTTGTATACGGTTTATATCGAGTCATATAAAGACCTCAGTGCTTTGGTATTCATTCATGCTGCTTGCACGGTACTTCACGTTGTTCATCTGCTCTCCACAAACCGAGTTTCGCTCCGCCTTTTTCATGACGTTACAACGCTCGACCAATCAGCAGAGTTCTGCGTCATTCCGGCGCGAAACTCGGGGGATTTTGAGGCTTGCGCAGTTTACTTTGAGTTATCTGAGTAGCAAAATAATTTTGCGAAGAAGGAAGCAGTGTTTGATCGAAGCGACCTTACCGACAGGCAAGTTAAGGCGTGCATTCTCAAAAGTGATCGATGTAAATGTTCGTTTAGGCTGTAAGCTGGCGGAAGTTGTCTCGCTGTCTTCAGCTCCTCTGAGCTTTCCTTAGCTAGCATTAGCGCATCTGTCTGACTGTAAACATTAGTTCGTCTTAACGTTAGCTTTACAGCAGTTAGCTAGCTAGTTAGCTAGCTAGTTACAGAGGTTAGGGTTACTGTGCATAACTATCTTCAGATTTTTGACTTGACATTAAAAAAACAATAACACGGTAACGTGAGATTAAGCTACCCATAAACCTAAGTGTGATGGATGTATTGATACTAGCTAGTTGTCACCACCATTAATATTACTGTTAACGGTACTCCTAATAAAGATGATAATACTGAGTAGTAGTCATACGATTCAAAAGACTTTATTACTTATTTAAACGCGAATTCTAATGATTTCGGAATTAAATCTTTAAAATGAGAAGAAAGTCATTCCGAGTGTTTAAAGGCTCTAAAAACTATTACTTCACACCACATTATTACATGAAATGTTTTACACATATCTACATTTGCTGCTGCCTTAGATAACCTTATTGTTTTACGATTGTTTTGATATTTGAGATTGAGTTTTATTTATTTTTTAAAAACGTCTTACATGGTCTTCAAGTAACTTCTTCAATACTGGTGTGAGGTATTTTATTATTTATTAGTTATAATTATTGGTTCTCATTTATTGTTTATGATTTATTATATAAAATAGTTTTATTACAATGCCGTGTTTCCTGTGTGTTTGTTGTCCTCCATCATAACAGAATGCGTCGGTCTGCAGCCCCAAGTCAGCTGCAGGGCAATGCTGCAAAGAGGCCAAGGTTCGTGCCTCCTGGGCCCTCGCAAACTGGGATACCTGGCAATGGCCTTTACAAGGTAACTTAAATAAACACCTCAGGTGAAGCTGATGCAAGAAGCTGTGTCGCAGAGGGGCTTCCTTTTAGGGCTGTGCCATTGTGACAGCGTTGAGAAGCTCTTCATTCTAGCTATCAGGGATTAATGCATTTTGTTACAAGCTATAGTGCATTTTGTAGTAAACCTTCTGCTTCAGCAGGACACTCAACTAAAATACATGAGAACGCTAGGTAGCATCAAAATGTAAAACGACGTTTATGTCCGGTTTGTAATCAGTTAACGCAAACGAAAACTGAAACTCTCAATCACTTAACTGGTCAGGTACACTTGAATGTGTGAAATATTTGTCTAAATGGACTTCGGTTCATACATGAATAAAAATAGCACACAGGATGTTGTTTAACCATAAGTATACAACCATGTATGTATATCTATGGTTTAAATCGTTTTAGGACGCTTCAAGAATGATTAACTTGCATGTGTTAAAGCTTAATGTTAATAAAATGCAGTCTTAAAATGATGTCCATGCCAGCAGTTCACTGCTTAACTGCCGTATTAAGTATCATTGATTAATCAATCATCAAGTGTAATACTTGTGTACACACTGATCAGCCATAACATTAAAGCCACCTCCTTGTTTCTGCACTCATTGTCCATTTTATCAGTTCCACTTACCATATAGGAGCACTTTGTAAGTCTACAACTACAAACAGCAGTCCATTTGTTTCTCTGCATACTTTGTTTGCCCCCTCTCACTGTTCTTCATTGGTCAGGACCCCCACAGGACCACCACAAAGCAGGTATTATTCGGGTGGTGGATCATTCTCAGCACTGCAGTGACACTGATGTGGTGGTGGCGTGTTAGTGTATGTTGTGCTGGTACGAGTGGATCAGACACAGTAGTGCTTCTGGAGTTTTTAAACACTTTAGTGTCACTGTTGGACGGAAAATAGTCCACCAACCAAAAATATCCATCAAACAGCGTCCTGTGGGCAGCATCCTGTGACCATTGATAAAGGACTAGAGGATTACCAACACAAACTGTGCAGCAACAGATGAGCTGTCGTCTCTGTCTACATCTACAAGGTGGAACTGATGAAATTGATAATGGGTGTAGAAAGAAGGAGGTGGTTTTAATGATGCGGCTGATTGGTGTGTGTTTAATAGATAAATAGATAGATAGATATCATAGCAGCAATCACGGTGGTTTCAACCATAGGCATCATATTTTTAATAATGTTTTTGGTGTTAGTCACTGCAGTGAAAGTGTGTGTGTAGAAGTTTCATATGGATATTCGGGAGCGTCAATGAGGACGTAGTATTATCATAGCAGCAGAACGTTTTACAGTCTCTTTAATCTGGTCGAATGTGGTAGTACTATTACAGACTATAGTCAGGTGCTTCTAGTGTACAGTGATTCCAGGGGTTTACGCTGGAATTCTCTATGGCAAAAATGAGTGTGATTTTTAAAAATCACTGCTATCATTCCATGTGGTTAACAAAATGGTACTTGATACCTTTTATCCTGTGTACATTGTTCCACTGAATTTCTTTGGATATTCTGAATTCTAAAATGAGTCAAAATATGAAATAGGACAATTAAAACATTACATATTTAGTTACAGTTAAATTTTACAATCACAGATCTTTAATGAAACGGAGGAAAGTCAGCATCTCTCTGTGCTCTTGTGAGAGTCTCGCTCTCCTATGAGAGCGGATATTCACCGCTGCAGAGGAGATGCGCTCTGATGGAGCGGAGGGTACAGTGGAGAATATTTGTGTCAAACTTCTCTATAAACTGTTAAATGTGAACGATTTTGTGTAAACGCTTCATTTCAACAGTAACCCTTTGTCCAGCTGCCCTGTGTGTTCAAGGAGAACTACCTCCTAAACTGTTAGCGAGTGGAGCTAAACGTTCGCAGAGAACAGAGAACTGTTTGGATCTCCTGTGTTCGCCGAATTTGACCGCACCGGCGGCCTCGGCGTGAAGACGACGATGCAAACGTTATCATCTGAAAAGTGAACAGGGTCGCTGTGAATAACAGTTATTTGCTTTACTGTTCCAACTAAATTAACGATACCAGAGAGCAGCATTTCGAAATAGAAAATGTTTCAGCTCAGCTCAGAACATGAAGTAGGACAGAATTTAACATTAACATTAGCTAACTAGCTCGCTAGCACAACTATCGCCGCGTCCCAAACCACACACTTCTGTACTTCACATACTACACTACTGAGTGCACTTCTAATTGTATTTGCGCTATTTTTACACACTATTTAGTGAGGTAGTATGCGATTTGGGACGCGCCGTATCTTACCGAGATTAATCATATTCACCCGATGAGCGACAAGTTTCCTCTTCAGATGCTCCAGCATGGAGGATCTGTTTCCGTGCCAGCTAAGGTCGTCTTCACAAACAGCACAACTGACAACCTTTTTTTTTAAGTTTAGCTCCCGCACTTTGAGGATTTTGTTCTTGAGGCTAACTGTGAGCGGTAAGTCTCCAGTGAGCGGTAATGTCAAAACGTTTCTAGTGAGCGCGAGAAAGACGCGTAATAACGTCACCAACTAATCGACTACTAAATTAGTTGCCAACTAATTTGGTCGTCGATTTTAGTCGACTAAGTCGAATAATCGTTGCACCCCTAATTATGGGTCATAAATAAGCATGCATACTAAGCACGTATCCTTTGTATTACGATCTGACGGTTGTTTTAGGGAATCCATATGGTATTATAAAAATTCAAGAGAAAAATGTAATATAAACTAAGCAGTTACATATTTTTTGACAGTCAATTTGGGTCACTTTGGGGTGATTGACAGACGTTTGCAGGATATCTCTGGGACACTTCATCCGGAGCCCTGTAGGATAGACATGGCTTGTGTGCACTGTGTTCCCAGTTTTTATCCAAGCAGCGTAAAGTGGTGTAAATTGTAATATTTAACTTTGTATAAAATATAGTTATGAATAATTACATTTACACTAAATTTATTAAATGTTGCCAAGAGTTGTAGCATTGAATATTTTGCTAAATATTTGTATACCTACACAGTACTATTTTTAAAATGTATTTATTTATTATTTTCTTAATGCTTGCTATAGCACCACCAGTCTGGGAGAGCACAGGAGCACCTGCCTTCATCTGAGGTGAGTGAATGTGTTTTAAAATAAGCAAAACTCTATGTGAATTTTCCAGCAGTCATTAAAGGTGTTTTCTTTTGCAGGTCCAGAAATGTAAGAAGACTGTTGAAGCTCCAGCTGTGCCCAAAGTCCCAGGGGTATATAAAGCTTTAGCAAGGGTTCTGAGTGCCGTTCCCCAGGGAGAACGTAAAGAAAATGCCCCGGAGTCATCGAGTGTCCCCATGGACTCAGAACAACACCCAGAGTCACCCTCACCAGACCGCCCAGATCAGCTTAAAACACATGCCACTACCACTCCAGTTGGTAAGACGCAGCATGTTTTCATATATACATATAATTTTATTTTGTGCATGGAGACTTTGCTTGTGGAATTAAATTGATAGCAAAAGACATGTTATGACTTAAACAGACACAACTAGAAATTAATAAACAAATCAGTCAATTGAACAAAAGAACAAATGAACAATGTAAGTAATAAATAATTCATGTGCAAATGCAGATTTTAATGTCAGTATCAACCATGCTTTGTACAATGTGATGACATTGAGCACTTCAGTGAATGCTACAGAATGCAGACCGTGACACTGGAGCTCGTATTTGTCTGGAGTCCGGAGATTTGTATTGGGCAAAAGAATAAATAATAAAAGCACTGTGGTCGGCTCTGAAATAAAGAAGGCAGTAAATACAGTTTTGAAAATGAACATCTGTCTCTCCAATACACCCCTCCACCTTTTATGGAAGACCCTACAAATGATCAGTTCTTTGGCCAGTTAATTCAGATGAGAAATTTGAGACAAGGAGTTAATGCTTGGTGTTGTGCTCTTGTGATGTGATGTTAAAGGGAAACTCCACCACTTTTTAAAAAGTTCCACTTAGTTAAATGGTTAAAATGTGAACAAAGTTATTCAGAGTGGCATGGTGTGAAATGCTTCGTTCTAGAAAACCTACGAAATCAAAACTCTTCACAGTGGTGGTGACAGGAACCAGACAATGGTTATGAATATGCTGCCTGATGCCCCTGACATTGTTTTACGATAGTTTTGTGATAAAGCCTTGGCCTAAAACATCTTGTTAATTGTTTTAATTTAATCCATTAATAGCGGAAAGGAATAGTAGGACGTTGTAAGGCAAAACAGTCCCCAAAGAAAACATACTTTTTTCAGATTTTCCACTAGATTTCACCATCAATAACATATAAAAACTCAGATAACATGTGTAGGTTCAGTGGTTATATTTGTGTTGTATACATGGTGAAAAAAAAATGAAATCATTTTCTTTTTAACATTTCAGTTTTAGCATACTAAAAATGGAGACTTGCTATGTAAGGTTGGGGTTTTTTGCCTTGTTTATAGCTCAGTTGCACGGCTTTACAAGATCACAAGGACACGCTACGAAATAAAAAATGAGTACATTTCTTAGCTGAACCACTATATGTAGTATGAGGACAGTTTAACGGATCAAATATTGATCTCCGAATCGAAAATGTGTACCGTTACACCTCTAGTGCTCCGGTATTGCTCATTGATTCTGTTCTTACTGTTTTGTCACCAAGTTGGCCTGGCATTTTTTTTATGAACTGATTCTAGCAGATATATAGCTGAGCTGAATTTTTCACTCATGAAGAAGAGCGACTGTAAGGCTGACGTTACTCATAAGTCGACTGACTTGTTAGTACAAACATATTGAAGCAGGCGCTAGAAATGTCCGCTATGTATCTTTTAGCCCGTTTACAGTTTTTTTTTCTTCAGGTGAAACTGTCTCATTATGAATGTAATAGTGTGGGATGTCTGTGGCAGCACAGTCAGAGGAAATGAGTGAGGATCCGAGGTTATTAGGGTAAACAGCTGAAAAAGCAACTTTGCCATATCATAACGCTTCAACCTCAGTAGACTGAAATATTTTTAGTTTAAAACGGACAGCTCACGACAAAAATAGTTCTATTTAACCCGTGTATATCAGCGTAAAGCCTCCTTTGTTAATGATTTATAAAACGTGATTCTGTCAGGTCTTCCAAAACAAATCAAAGTCCGCCTCTTACCGACAGGGTTGGATGCTGTTTCGTCGCGTTAAACCATGCCAAGTTCAGTTTTAAAAAAGTCACAGGCAGAAATGCTACTAACCGAAAGATTCATTTCAGTATCATATAAGCGAATGGAGACTACGAAAATGTAGCTCAACGAACAAGACAAAATAAACGACGTGCTGAACTTGGCTTCGGTTTGGCTGTGAATTAAACTCCCGTATTCGTCCCGCCCCCTTGACGAAATCGACCAATCCCCGCGCGTGTTCCCGAATGACAGACAGGCTCTCCCTGGCAACGGTCGCCAGCGGCCACTAGGCAGATCCCGAGCAGAGCTCGAGCTCACAGCGCGGACTGCCCGAGGCGCCTTTTGTCTGCTGCTGAAACTCAGAGCAACTGGTGTCTTTACCTTAATAGTCGATCAGTCGTCAAACACAGAGAACTTAACCAGTAAAATTTCCCAGTAAAAGGCTAAAAACAAACGGTACATTTTAAACACTGAGCCTCTGAAGTCCTTGTTTTCAGTCTCGCAGTCCGTTTTCTCACAGAGACCGAGTGGGCTCTGCACGGACGTTTTTATTTCGTCTAAGCACGTTTTCAGTCCTTCTCTATTAAACCAGTGCATGCATATCGATGCTCTCCGTGCCGTACGAGACACTCGCTGTGTTTTTCTAGCCTAATGCAGTCGGGTTTGTTATGTAGGTCAGGCCAGGCTTAAGCAGCTTTACTGAACCTGCGTCAGCTTAAGCTGAAAGGAATTTCAGCAAAGCCCTCCCCGGTAGGCGTGGGCCTAATCGAGGCTGGCCTAGTTAAGCCTGATTCTTTTTCTTAACGTCCCTGTGTGTGTATGTGTGTGTGAGTGAGTGGAGAGTGTGTGTGTTGTGTAACAGAACCAAGCAGTGCACTGGGGCTGCTTGCACATGTGTGAGTGTTCTCAGGAGAGAAAAGACAGATAGATATACATAAAAAGAGGGAGAAAGAGGGAGAAGGCTAGAAGGAAAAGGCAGAGGGAAAAGAAGCAGAGCCTAGAGCAGCCAAGACCAGCTTAGAGCCAAGATGTCTGCTTTGTTCATGACAAGCAGCATGGTTGGGAAGGCGCGCTCCTCAAACTTCACTCTGTCCGAGAAGCTGGACCTGCTGCGCCTGGTCCAGCCCCACATCCGCATTTTGGAGGAGCACACCAACAAGCACGCCGTGATCGTGGACAAGAACCGGTGCTGGGAGAGCATAGCCGAGCGCTACAACAGCCTGGGGGGAGAGAGGCCGCCCAGGACGGCTCAGGGGCTTCGGACCCTCTACAAGCGACTTAAGGAGAGTGCCAAACAGGAAGTGGTTCAGCGGAGCCACGCCCAGCCGGAATACAGGGGCAGCATCTCAGAGCCAACCAAGCGCATCATGGAGATGATCCCACATCTGTTTCATGCAGCAGACAAAGAGCACAACACTCTCCACAGGTGAGAACTGAGTACACCATCACAGACATCTGCACACACAGTAGACAGGTAGTTGAACATGCATAAAATGCAATATACAAATTTGCATTCATGCATTTCCAGACCTGTGCAGAGTGCTCAGGTAATGATCTCTTAGAAAGACTGTTGTCCTCTATTGATCAGCATCTCTCATTATCTACTTGCGCGTATCATTAGTCTCTGCTCAGATGCATGCGTTCAAGGCCAACACCACGCTGTCTCTCTCTCCAGCACAGTACACTTTAAGCACTATAGGTCAAACATAGCCAATTAAAACTGACAGTGTAAGTCACTCTTCACTTGTTTTAAAATTAATAGTGCAATAGTTCCCATTGAGCGAGCCAGTGAAAAGTTTAGTAAAGTGCACATTCTCACTTCGGATGTATAACTTACCATTGTTGACCTGGAGTGATTATACTAAATATACCTGCACATTGCCATTTAATTATAGCACGTTATTATGATGCTCAACCTACTTTATTATCTCACAGTTCTTCACTGTACATTTAAAGTCCCATCAGCTCCTTCTGCACTCTATGTTCTGAACTAATCTGTTTCCATTACCTTGGTCCGGCTCTGTTTGGGTTTAGAAAGTCACACACTCTTCTTTCGTTCTGTGCCAGCAGTAAGCTGCAGCACTGATGAGATTGGGATGTCGTTAACTGTATTTCCGCAACGCTGCTAACGCCAGGTTTGCCTTGCTGCGTGCCAGAGAGTGTTACTTTCCACTGTCACTTTCAACGTTACTCCAGCTCAGGCTGGTGGCTGATGCTTTTTAGCAGACGACAGATGTAAAGCATAGCTGCTACAGATGATGGCTAAATTCAGTGGTTCTCCATCCTGGTCCTGGAGTACCACTACTCTGCATATGTTATCTTGTTAATTGGTTCATTAGTTGCAAGGGAGCAGGGGAAACTCTAAAATGTGCAGGGCAGTGGTGCTACAGGACTGGGATTGAGAACTGCTGATTTAAATAAATTGATTGGCTGATTTGAAAGAATTCATTGGAAGAGATGAAAATAAACACAAATACAGTAAAAAGTAACAAGAATTTATTATTTTGAAAAAAGTAATATATCTTGTGAGCTAGCTTGAACAACAAAATTGGTTCCAGATTTGTTTGATTGAGCCAAATCAGGTTTCAGATGAAATTGCTACAAATAATACAGGGGTTCCTTGGGTAGAGGTTTGGAAATAGTGACCTCATTAACATACATAAAAATTTAATACTATAAGCAGAGATTTTAATTGTTTTCTGCTTATTGCCCAGATAAAATGTTTCTAATTGTAACTTTCTCAGGTGCCTATGCCCATTGCCAATACCCATGCCAACAGTTAGAAAATTAAGAAATTGAGACTAGATCCCCCTAGATTAACGTTACAGATAAATAGAACTTTATTTCTATTGGGTTACAAATGCAGTGATGCATTTAATGAATAAAATGCAGATATTTTTAAGCAAAGTATCCAATCGTTGCCTAAACATTCTTCTGTAAAATAAACACATTATCAAATATCTGTCTGAAATATTGACCAAATCTTAACTTTTGTCCAGTGCTGATCATTTTTGAAGCAGTTATCTGGCACAATATGATTCCGATATCATTGTGTGTTCTGAATAAGTGCAGACGTCTTTTTGTTCTTCTCCTCCCATTTAAAAGGTTAATAAATAGGACAGGAGTTCTTTTTAATCTTACACCACCAGACACAATGAGACACAATCTATACCTGAAAATCATTATTTGTTGTTTAGAAATACACACTGCACACACTTCAGCTTTTTCCTGCACATGCATGATAAATCCATACCAAGGTACAACAAGACAACAACAAGGTATTCACTTTTTTACCGGTATACTTGAAATTACAAACGAGGCTTGATATTAAGCTTAATTGGAGACTCAGAATTGTTTTGTCCATAGAAGAAAATCACTTGTCCACAGAAAAAGGTCAATAAAAACACTTACATATGACTACTGTATAGCATAAGTTTATGAAATGTTACAGTTTATAATGTGTGTGGTGGTGGGAGAAGAGAGAAAATTATTCAGTCCACCTTTCTGGTTCCAGATAAAAAGAGAGATGGAAGGGAAGAGAGATTTTAGCCTACTCAATTTAAATGCTGTTACTTTCTCAGTTTTTTTTGATGCTTCAGACTAAGCCTTATTTAGTATTATTTCTCTCTCTCTCTCTCTCTCTCTCTCTCTCTCTCTCACTTCCTCTTTCTTCTCTCAAAAAATTGATTGCAATAATGATACAATTTTAAGATATTGCCCACCTCTAGCTGGTATTTAATCATTTTCAAAGTGTTTAGTCTTAGAACACTTTTGTACAATTTTGTATTTTAAAGTAAGTTTGCTAGCCTGTTTTCAGGGCTCTAGACTAACTGTTTTTTAGAACTGCCCCAAAACCTCTCAAAAAATCCAATCCAAAATGTTAAACTACTTTGTTTCATTAGATTTTTCTCTAGAATTTTTGTACTACCGTATTTCAGATTCCCATAACCAACAAATTGTAGAACACATGCTTAGCGTGCATGCACACATGCATATTTACTCGAACACAAAATGTACACAAACACATCTACGGTCCATAAAGATTTTTATGTGCATACAGTATACATGAGTGTATGTGCATCGACAGCTCTGTAACTAAATATGTAATGTTTAAAGCATCAGTGTATTGAACTGCGTCCTTAAAATGCAAAACAAATCTTTATGGTCAGAGTGCATTTAGGTTTTCTGACAGAAACTCTTAAAATTCTTAGATTAATATTGAAATGTTGCTGCTCTTCAGAACCTGTGTGCATTGCAGTAGACATAATAAATAGCTAGTAAACCATATTTATAAAGTTGTTAACATTTTTATTGTCATCATTTATGAATGCGTTCAGAATAAGAATAGAGCAAGATCATCGTTCCCTGGAACATAATTTGGATCTAAACAGATCAAATGTGTGGCTGCTGTTGGACATTGTAAGCACTCAACTACAGTCTGTGAATGGTATTGCCACATTCGACAAGGTTCCAGAGAAACTATAACTCTTAACAAAGTAAGAAAATGTTACGTAAATGTCTGTTAGAAGCTTTAATCGTCCATGTAGGAATTCCCATTGACAGGCTAATGAAATTAGTATGAAGTAAAATATTTCATGAAAAATGCCACTTTTAAAACAAAATAAAAAAAAAAATTCTGGATTAATCATGTCAAGTGTTAATGTGGAGCCCTGAAGTATCAGTTAGCAAGTGTTAGCATGTACTGCAAAGATTGTCCTACCAGACTTGTATTAATCTAGTTTTGTGTCTTAGGTTGCAGTATAAGATGAGCTCTCCGATAGAGCAACCTGGCAGCAGTTCCTCTCTGCCTGCCATGACTGATTACACACCAGTCACCATGGCGGTGAGGGTGGAGTCAGAAGACGTCAAACCGCCGCCTGATCTCCAGATGCATGTCTCGCATGGTTCGCCTGTTACAATAACAACCCCACACAGTCAAGACCACACCGGACCGACAGAGAACGAGGTAGAGGAGGAAGACGAAGAAGAAGAACTCGTCTCGCACGTCTACGCGGCCTCCCTTTCTCCCTGCCCGTCGTCTGTTCACCTCCCACCGTCACCTTCAGCAGCTGCCCCGAGGCGGAATCTCTATCAAAGGGCAGGAGTTTCGCTCAGAAACCCCGTTTTGGAAGCAGAGTCGTTGCAGATGATGCGTGAAGAACATGAGCTTCTCCTGGCCAATCACAGGAAGCTCGGGCTGTATCTGGAGGAGAAGAGGGAGGGACTAAAAAGAAAGCAACAGTTAGAGGAGGAGCTTCTGAGGTCAAAGGTCAAAGTGGAGAAACTGAGGGCAGCTCGACTGAGGCATGGACTGCCACTAATATGACGAACACACAAAACGTAGCGCAAAGGGAATGAATGCTGCGGACGCATGTCATGAAATGACACACAGTCTTGTGCTCCAGTTAACAGACTATTGCCACTGTACAGTTTTTCATACTGCTTTTTTCTTTTTACATGATGAACTTGTTTTTAGCAGAAATAAATTCATTCCTATGTGTCTAAGAATACAGATGGGGTTGAATTTGTTTTCACTTGTAATAAAATGGCCATTGTTTAAATGTAGGTGTTTGTGTATTTCATTTTGGCTTTGGGTCTGTCTTTGAAGCAAGTTCAACTGACCACTATTTTACCATCAACATTACATAAAAAAAAAAAAGTCACAAGACACATGTAGGTTAACTGGTTGTTTTGAATAGCCAATCAAATTTTTATACATTAACCACTGTAAAGAAATTAGAGTCTGTACGTTTCTTCACAGTTTACCATTTCTAAATGAGTTGTTTATGTTGGAACAATTGAATAATGCAGAAATTTTCGAAAGATTGGTGAAATTCCTCTTTTAACCAGGCTTAGATACACAAGCTATGATTAATCGTTTTGTGTAAAAGATGGGGAGCCAAGCAGCTTATTTTTTAAAGAAGTAGAAAGAAATATCTGTATAAATATGTTGAAAGTAAAGCATTTTTAACCGCGTGATTTGCGTCCTCTGCTGAAAAAGGGTTATTTTTCACATGATTGGTCAGAAGCTGGTCCTGGGGCCTGTCTCAAAAAGCAGTTTTAACTTAGATAGGGTTCTTGACTAAGTTCCAGCTTAGTAAAACATAACAAATGAAACAGCGTTTAGCCGTTTTATTTTGCTTATGTGTAAGTATGTCTAAAGTACCGCATTTGTAACGGTAAAAAGCAATGCTGTCACTTCATTAGCGCTAATAATTTCTTCATATTCTTAATACCTACGTAGTTGGATTTACTTCCTCTGTTAATAGAGCGATGTTCTTCATGTGAGTGACCCCAGAAGCACCATGAAGAAAAAAAAGTTACCAGAGGGGATTCCTGATTGGCCAGCTGTTTGGTTCAAGAGTTGATAGCCCAAACTTACTTGTCAGACAGAAGATCCGGATGATGCTAATTGTACATTGGAATTCCCATTGAAAGGCTAACGGAAATTAGCGTTATGCTAGCAGTAGAAATTTCTTTAAGAAATGGCACCGGTAAAACCAATTAACAACGGTTTCTGGATTAAACATGTCCTCTGACAAGTGGACTAGCATTAATGTCAAGCCATAAAGTATCAGTTAGCAAGTATTAACATGTAATGCAAGAATTGTCCTAGGATACTTGGATTAACTTAATTTTGTGTCTTAGCTTGCATTACAAGATAAGCTCTCCAATAGAGCAACTTGGCAGCAGTTCTTTTCTGCTTGTCATGGCAGACTACACACCAATTACGGTTCTATGGTGATGTAAAAAGTGATCCATTGTTGTGAGACAGAAAATCTAGGGTTAGATAGGACTAAGTTTAAAGTTGGCTGTCTAAGCAAGTAATCCCGCTTTGTGATAGAGGCCCCTGGTTGATTCATGTGTGTGGTATGTCTCTGACTCTGGACATGTAAAAGGCAAATAAACCCCAGGGCTGAAAGAATCCTTTTTGGTACCTCTTGAACACTTGATTCCATGGGCAGATACGGGTCATTCTGACAAGCTTGCCTGCAGGACTTGCCTGTTGCCTGTTGGGGATCTTGACAGTGACTGAAGTGGATGTTCTTAATTACTGTGAAGCACAGTATTATAAAGGTATTTGTTAGAATCTTAGCAAACACTCCAAGAAACTGAAGTCAAATGTGAATGTTATGTAAGTGTTCCTTAGAAACTTGAGCAACAGTAGTTTGACGTTCAGGGTCAGTTTCGTGGACAGGGATTAGGCCTAGTCCTGGGCTACAATTTCCTTTCAGTGGCGAAACTACAGATTTCTCCTTTGAAAGCAGTTGTGTTTGGAAAGACAGTTTCTGGTGGGTGTGTGTGTGTGTGTGTGTGTGTGTGTGTGTGTGTGTGTGTGTGTGTACACATGCCAAGAGAAAGTTTAAATCACTAAAGCTGTACAGCCTTGTTAAGTCGTGTAACATTTTTGTGAGTTCTGATTGACCAATTCATGCTTCGCCCACAAATACATTCTTTCATAGCAGCTGTTATGTGGTAGAGGAAGCTCTACAGAAGGTTTATAAAATCCCTCAACCTAAAGAGTAACCGTAGCACACAATTTCTCAAAGTACTTATGTTTAGAGTGTAATAATTTTCCTTAATATTTGTTTTGTATGAATGTGAAAATGCGATCGTGCTATTAGGATAAATCATTGTTTTTATTGTCTCGTGTGTAAGCTATGTTTAGAATGTTGAGTTGATCTGCGTTGTTTCAAACCTTCTAAAGCAATTTCACTTCCATTAACTAAGCTGAGTTTGAACTTGAGTGAGCCATGAGACTTTTTAACCTCAATTGCTGTGTCTTTGCAAGCTGCAGATTAGAGTGTAGATTAAACCATACATCTGCTACATGTCACTGAGTCTGAGGTTTAACTGAGTCATGTTCTAAACTAGTTAAAGACAGTGGGGTTTTTTTTTAAGGCAAGGTGATTGTAACTGAAGCACATTGACAGCTCTGATAATTTTAATATTCCATTCTTAGGCTTATATACTATCCACCACAATGTTTTGTGGGCTTCAGGCAAGTTGTTATTAAAGCAAATATTATTTAATTGAACACACAAATGATTTAAGAAATCTTAAATACAGACATGTCTTTAAATGATTGATGGATTTTATTTGAGGGGACACAGAACTACTTATACACTACTTACTAACAGAAATAAAAGAAACACCTTATGGTGTGCACAGGTGAGAGTAGGGATAGGGGGAAATAGGGAGATTTTAGGAATCATTTCCATTAGGCCAATGTAAAATTGGCCGTGTTATTACTGTGGACAGAATTTTAATGTTTATTAACGCTTTAAGGCAGACTCAAAAACTGGCTGTTTTTGCTCTTTGCCATATTTCTTCTCTGTTAATCACATCATGTCACAATACTCTATTTTTTATATGAAGAACACAGTCTAAAAAAGCCAAAAAAAAAGTGATTTTTTTATTTAGTTTGTGTAAGAAACTATAATTCTGAACAAAAAAACACTTGAAATACACTATATGGCAAAAAGAATGTGGACACGTGACCATCACACCCATGTAAGCTTAGACATCCTATTCCAAAACAGTGGACATTAATGTGGAGTTGCCTCCACTCTTTTGGGAAGACCTTCCACAATATTTTGGAGTGTGTCTGTGGAAATTTGTGCTCATTCAGTCAAAAGCACATTTGTGAGGTCAGACACTGATGTCATGTGTGAGAAGGCCTGGCTCACAATCTCTGGTCTACTTCATCTCAGAGGTGTTCAGTGGGTTTGAGGTCAGTGCTCTGTGCAGGCCACTGGAGTTCCTCCACACCAAACTCATCAAACCATGTCTTTGTGGACATCACTTTGTGCACAGGGGCACAGTCATGCTGGAACAGGAAAGGGATTTCCCCAGACTGTTGCCACAAAGATGTCTAGAATGTCTTTGTATGCTGTAGCATTAGCATTACCTTTCACTGGAAATAAGGGGCCAAACTCAAACTTCTAAAAAACAGCCCCAGACCTGTTGGCACTGTGCATTCCGGTAGGTAGTGCTCTTCTGGCATCGAACAAACCTATATTTGCCCCTCAGACTGCCAGGCAGAGAATCATCCTTCATTATTACAGAGAACAGTTTCCACTAGGGCTGGACCTGAATATCTGACTATTCGGACATTCGTTCATTGGGCAGGCATTCAGGTTTTAACCTCTTAAATGGTCAGGGCGCACTGGCAGGCCCAAAGTTTTGTTACACACCTCTACACAAGAATAGCTCAGAAGTCCCTGTAGTTACTGAATAATAAGCCTTAGTATGTAATAAGCCTAGGATTTAAGGGGTTAATTTTAGGATTCGGCGGTTCTTCATAGAAACTTAGATGACTCAACTTTACTGTGAGTCAGCTTTATTTTTAATTTACTGAAAACAGGGGCAAATATGGTGAGATGAAACACTGCCTCTCCATCACTAACAGCTAAAACAGCACAGCCCTCTGCTCTACTCCCACCATTCCACCCATATTCAGGCTCTTCAGCATAAAAGTCCTTGTATGGATGAACCTAAAAGAACTCAACATAAACATGTCTTGTCTTTAAAAAAAAACAAAAAACAACTGAACTACCTGCAATGTGGTGTGGCGACACCACAATACATTTTGTCAGCAAACTACATACTATAAATATAGTACAAACTTGTACTATATTTATACTTTTTAATTGTGCAATTAAAATGTGGAAATATATACCATCTCAGTTCGAGCACTTGACATCCCAATCACTCATAGCTTTGAATGTCACGCTAACATGGTGCTAGACAGCATGTATTCCCAGGAGTGGCTGCAAACAGTGTTGTGCTATACTGGACCCTTAATAGAGCCTCAGTGTATGCCCCTCATGCCTTGAGTTAGACCACTTTTATGAAGCAATGGTTAACCTGTGAAGCCATGCTGTGAGTGCTGCTGCACTTTGTGAGGAAAGCAGCTAGCCTTGAGATTCGGATTTTACAGTGGATGAGCAGATGTGCTTTCTGAACGACTTTCTCAGAAGCCGATTATCTGATAATTAGCACTTACCGTTCCAAATTGCGCTCTGAATGAGCTTGCATGCTCACTCTGAAAAAATCACACTACATCCGGCAATAAAGGAAGCCATGATCATCTTTTACACGGTGACAGAAAACATGATAGCACACAGAAACTCCAAATACCATTGAAAAATCACTGCAATGCACGTTTACAAGTGTGTCAAAACTGTGACATCATGCGGTTTTGTTAAATACTGAATAGTGTGCACTAAATAAAATGAAATTATTTGTTCATAGAAGGCGGTGTTTGCCAAACGATGTGAAGTATTTAATAACCTGAATTAAAGAAATGGCTTCAAATGTGACTCACCCAGTCTGATTTTAGAAACAAAACTGTTTGTTTTATTATTTATATTTGAAAATGTAGCACGAAATTTCAGAAGTCTCACAGCACAGTACAATATAATATAATATGATATAATATATAAAGATGACATATTGGTATTGCCCAGATATCAGCAGAAAATGCTGGTTTAGCGGATGAATCTAATCCAAATGTACAACAGACTTAGAAACAAGAAATAGCACACAGGCACGTTGTGTGATGTCACATTGGCGCTTGTTTCTTCCCATGAGATTGTAGAAAGTTTGAGTAGTTTGATCATTATTTTAGACTTAAGTTTAGATACTCATCTGTATAGTGCCTCAGGTAAAAGTTTTAAAGTTTAGTAGAAGAAATATTGGGCCGGTATCAGACTGTAGTTAAGGTTTCAATAATGGTATCGGAGTCAGTATCAGTATAAAACAATTTCTCATTAGGCTGAATTAGATTTTTGCCATTCTGTAAAGCTTGCCCAACCTAGCAACAGTTTCTAGGAAAGAATGCATTTGTGGGCAGAGCTTGTGTAGTTCAGTTGGACAGCTTGTTAGATATGCTGCCCATTTACCCTTATTTTCAGATTAATTCCAACATGTGACTGTAGTTACGTTTGTGTTTTAGCACAGTACTACAGTGTAATGTGGTGCAAAGCTTCGTCCAGGAAACATAAGCGTTGGGAAGGTGATGCTGTACTCGTGGCCAGGGGACGAAGTGTCATCCTCAAAGATATGGAGGGCCGAGATATTGGACGAGGTGAGTTCACCACAGCTGAGCACCCCCATCCCCACCACCGACTAAATAAAAAATTGTTAGGCGAGATGATTAGTGTCTCCTAGTGGGAATATAGGTGGATTTCTTAGATAAGTACCTTCTGTTCTTACACAAAATCAGGCAATTTGAAGCACTAGCCTGGCAAAATACTGTGTATATCCTTTGTATGCTTCTTTCTTTTGTTCACTGAGGCAGTGCCTTACCAGGAAAAGTCCAAGGGAGGCTTTTATTGTCACGGTCACCTAGAGTAGTTAGAGGTTGAGCTTAAAAGCAGTTTGTTATAGATTGATCATCACTTTCGAAACAGCGGTGCAATGATAAACCCCAGCACAAAGCTTTTGTTGATAATATACTAAGCTACAAGCCTTTCTCAGCTAAACATGCTGAGTTATCCATTTACGTTTCACATGACCCATTTCTGAGAACTTGACTTGTGTGAATGTGTGTTTGTCTAGGGTCAGGCTATAAGGCATCTGAGTTGGAGAGCCTATGTGAAGGCCAGACTCTGATGGTGGGAGGGAAGCAGATTGAAGTCATGGGGATCATATCAGATGAAGACTATGCCAAGGGGCGCTGTTTTCAGGATGCTGCTGGGGACATTCCCCCAGAAACAGTCATCAGGGCACCTGTGAGCCGTCCAGTGGCCAAACCTTTTGCCAGGCCAGGACTGAAAGGAGGATCCACCAGTGGTCCTGAACCTGAGGGGCGTGTCCCCAAGCCCAGACATGATCCTAGTGCCCCAGGTGCCCTACCACACAGCAAACAGCTTACAGGACTTACATAACTCACTTAAATAAAAGCAAAAATAATCTGTGATATATATTGCTTACCATTCAGAAATCCACTTCTAAACATGAAAACTAAAATATGTTTATAACCTGTTGTGTAATTGCAGTGTTTGATTGTAATTTTTGCTATGTTTGAATGGATGTGGGATATATTTCTATCTGTTAAAAAATCTAGTTACTCTTTAAAGTGATCTCTTATTTCATTTGTTTATTTATTATAATACGTCAATCAATTTTATTATTTTTCTTACTTCTTATTATTTTATTTTCCCTTTATTCAATCAGTTTAGTCATACTGAGCCCTGGCCAAAGAAACTACAATAACCAACAAATCAAATCAAAATCAAATTAAAAACAATAACAACCATCATCATAATGCAGCTCTTTAAGCGTTATCTTGAAATTGGTCAAGGAGATAAATTGCTCCAATTTCAACTGTTTCTGCAGATCATTCCACACCTATGGTTGAGTCGCCATATTTAGACCATACTCTCGGAACATCCAATTGAATATAACTATTACAATTTAAATTTTACTGACATATTCGTTAAAAAGTATGTATTAATGATTGTACTTAATGTAGTGGAATTCTTGTTTTCTTGTTATGTTCTCTTGGTATACCCCTGGAACTAAAACCTAGGAGCCCTAGTGATGCCCCGGCCCTCTGCCAATCATCAGTGGCTTTGTAATAAACAAAGCCTCCTAGTGGTGGATGTGGTTGTGGACCCCTACCTCACCAATCATCTGCGGCCACATCAAAAAGAGGGTGTGGTCTTTCTGTACGAATGTCTCATGGGAATGAGGTAAAGGGACTTGTTGTCTTGTTTTCTTGACACTGATGTTATATATGCAGTATGGAACAAAGTGCAATTATAATTTGGCCAAAAAAATATTTTTAAAATACATGCAAGGCAGAGAGTTATATGCAGGGCATTGAAAGGCAAAATATTACCCAAAGAGTATGTTTTTTTCAGATTTACCACTGTTTTGCCTTTATCAACATTACGTATCGATGCTGTCAGAACAAACCTGAAGACCTTAGCACATGGTGAATGGACCAAAACCATAGCATATGGTCAACATAATTTTCATACACACTAAACGATTCAGCCCTGTTTACTGATTATTTTTCCCATTGATCTGAAGGCAGATGTGATTTCAGTCACTGTTCCACAAGCAATTTGAGCAGTGTTTGTAACTGAAGCTCCTGCCATCCGTATCCCACTAACGAAGATCACAGGGTCACTTAGATTCTTTCCTCTTGCTATCTTAATCCAAAATTAGAGTCAGCTAGGTCTGCTCAGCATTTTATACACACTACAGAGCATGGTAGTAAACTGCTTAATTGTTTCATCAATCAACAGCCAATTTTCATCAAATTCAAATATAAGCAACATTGTTTAGCACCAATACTTTTGTTACCACTGGTTATTTGTTTAGGAACACAAAAATGGTCCCTTAATATGATCAAATTATTCCAAGTGTTTTTTGGCCATATGTGTATGCGAGTTGGTCGTGTGTATGTGCATTGCGTATGTCACGTGTAGAAGTGGATCAGATGGGCATGTGTTTTGCAGGTTTGCTGGACGCTATGGAGCGATTCTAGCAGATGAGATGGGCTTGGGGAAGACCCTGCAGTGTGTATGTGTGCTGTGGACACTGCTCAGACAAGGCCCATACGGTGGTCAGCCTGTGTTGAAGAGGGCACTTGTGGTGTGCCCCGGAAGCCTGGTGAAAAACTGGGCCGCAGAGTTCAACAAGTGGCTTGGCAGAGAGAGAATCCATGTTTACACTGTTGACCAGGTGTGTCTATGAATTCATGTTGTTTGCAGTTAGGACTGTGTTTGCATCTTGATGTCTTTTAGGCTTTTTTCTGCCTTGACTATTCACATTTGTGAGCCTTTTTTTTGCACTGTGCAACAACATTTAACATCAGAAAAGCAGAAATGCAAATGGGCCATTGACATGACGTGCATTTTTTGGGTCCACTATCCCCCCCCAAAATTATTCAGTAAATACATGACACATTTAAAATGATTCATTCATTATGGACATTATAATGTTGGATGGACATTTTTGTTTCTTTTTGCCTCCAAAAGTCTAGAAGTGTCAGGTGGTGCAACCATCCAACCTTATGTATTGATTGAGTAAACTCAAAAAAAATCACAAAAGCTGTGATATAAAATTCTAATTAAAATAGGTTGGTTCAGTTTTAGGTATGAAAACTTGCAAGCTGCAAAATAAGGCAACTTTAAGAGTACTCCACTCACTGAAAAACTTTTGTGTGCAAGTGCTTACTTCCTCAAATGTCAAGTGGCATAAGCAGAAACAGAGGACTTTTATTTTGACATGCTTTTACTAAAGAGGGACCAATGTATTGCTTTATAAAGAAGACCCCAAGCGACCTTCATCGTGTAATGCCGAGGTAAGTAACCCTTTCACAGATTTTGAAAAAAAAAAGTCTCATTTTTGAGTCATGGCTAGATGGTTCAGTTTACCATGTCAGGTGGTATGACCTCAGGAGAACCATGAACATGTGTAATTATTAATAATAATGATTATTTATTTGAAAAATTGTAAGTATAAACTCAGGTGCAAAGACAAAGGTTTCTATGGATGTCTAAGCAGATGCCTGTTTAATTTGAAATTAGTCTGTAAAGTCAGGTGGCACAACATGTAAGGCAAATGGTGCAACCAGACCAGTACAGAAACAGGCAATTAAAAGCTTTGATAACACTAACATGGATGCAGCAATGAACTGTGTTCACAGACAATGGTTTTCATAAGTGTTCCTGATCCAATGCAGTGATGTCCACTACAGAATCATGTCTGTTTTCAATGCAGTGCCGTCTGAGGGCCTGAAGATCAGGGCCAGCCAATATTGGTTTTCAGCCTTGTCCCTTGCATACAGAGATTTCTCCAGATTCTCTGAATCTTTTAATGATATTATGTACCATAGATGATGAAATCCCCAAATTCTTTGTGATTTTACTTTGAGAAATGTTATCCTTGAATTGTTGCACTATTTGCCTGCACAGTCTTTCACAGAGTGGTGAACCCCTCCTCATCTTTACTCTTTACTCTCTGGAACGCTCTTTTTATACCCACTGTTGTTCTTGACATGTTGTCAGTTAACCTTATCAGTTGTGAGACGTTCCACCAGTTGATTTTTTTGCCATTACACGTTTTTACCAGTCTTTTGCTGCCCCTGTCCCAACGTTTTTGAAACCTATGGCTGGCATCCAATTCAGAACAGACGTATATTTTTCAAAAAACAATAGCATTTTTCCACATTTGATATGTTTTCTTTGTAATATTTTCAGTTAAATATAGGCCTTAAATGATTTGCCATTGTCATTTTGAAAAATGTATTTGACATTGACCCAGATATATTGAACCTTGAAGCAGCAATATAAATATAATACAAAACAATAACGTACAACACAAAAAAACACAGACCTACAACACATGATGAAGTAGTAGGCATGCAGAATTATTTTATGTATCCCTCAGAACAAGTTAAATAATTCAGAGAACGGTCTCCTGCTGTCATTAAATGATCTAATTAACCTTGCCTTTTGTATTAAAAGAATACGGTCATTCACAGCGTCAGTCCTTTTGCTTAATGTCAGTTTTTCCTAGTGTTTCCAATTTAGAACCATTACCTTTCTCACCACTGCAAAATAAAAACATGAGAGCAGCCAAGACTCAAAAGGGGAACCCATCCTTTTTCTTGTCGACCGGATAGCAAAACAATAATACAAGAGCAATATCATTAACGAATAAGATTTGGCTGTTCATATAAAATAGGGAATATGGAAAAAAAATGCCTGTCATTGGACAGAAGTATTTAGAACAACCAATGAATACCAATGACTGCTGTTAGAGGCATATTGGAGTAACACGTAAAATGGATCAATGAAAACCACTGATTGCTGTTAGAAGCAATAAATAAAACCATAAAAAACAATTACTACTGTAAGAATCCTGCCCTTACTACACGTTAGTATGAGTATCATTATCATTATGAGTATCAATATCATTAGAAGGGTGAGTTGGGTATGCAAGTGGGGCTTTCTGCCCAGCAGGAGAGTGAATGGACGTGCAGAAGGCTGCATGGTGGTCTGGAGGGCAGGTGAGCAGGGGTGCCCAATAAAGACAAATCTTGCAACTGCATCAGACCGGAAAATATGGGCAGATGTTCAGCTCGGCAGAGAAACACACAGTTAGTTCTGTTTGGGCTGACTGGGCACAAAATATAGTGTTAATTGATCGTAAGCAGAGATTCTCGTAGATCTAGCTATTAGAAGCTAACTAGAAAGGGAGAGAGCCAGAAGGCAGCAAAGACATGATACTTTATGTCCATGAACCCCCAGATCTGCACCTTTTATCTAATCGGAAAACAAATTACCAAAGGCTCAGTGTCTTGAACATTGAGTGGTAGGTTATTTCAATGCTATTTAGTTTTGAATGAAAAAGCTCTCCTCCCTGCTGTAGCTTTATTAATTCTAGGACCTAATAGTGAGCCAGCAGATGGGCCATGGCTCATAATAAGAGAGTTCATTCAGGTACTGAGTTACAAGGCCATTTATGTGAGAATTCATATGTGAATTTCGTAATCAATGCAACATTTGCCTCGCAGCCAGTGTAGTGTTGATAAAGTTACAAACTACAACATAAAACAGCAAAACCATTAAACCTCGAGGAGCAATATTAAGATAAAATGAATTGTCTTATGTAACTGTCAGAACAAGTTGAATCATTCAGAAAATGATGTCAAGCTATCATTAAAAGACCTAATTTACCTCACCTAATGGACATTCTCTGTTCCAAAACAATAGTCACTGGCAGTAGGGATAGCCAGTATGACAATATTTTATCATTACCATAATCAGTTTTATTATTGTGATGAACAGTATGCATTTTTGAGCATATCGTGGATGTTGTCAGTGGTTAAAGAACAATGACCAGCTGCATGTTTCATTACACCGATCAGGCATAACATTATGACCACCTCCTAGTTTCTATGCTCATTGTCCATTTTATCAGCTCCACTTACTATGTAGGTGCACTTTGTAGTTCTACAGTTACAGACTGTAGTCCATCTGTTTCTCTGCATACTTTGTTAGCCCCCTTTTACCCTGTTCTTCAGTGGTCAGTACCCCCATGGACCCTCACAGAGCAGGTGCTATTTGGGTGGTGAATCTTTCTCAGCACTGCAGTAACACTGACGTGGTAGTGGTGTGTTAGTATGTGTTGTGCTGGTACGAGTGGATCAGACACAGCAGTGCTGCTGGAGTTTTTAAACACTGTGTCCACTCACTGTCCACTATATTAGACACTCCTGCCTTGTCAGTCCACCTTGTAGATGTAAAGTCAGAGACGATAGCTCATCTGCTGCTGCACAGTTTGTGTTGGTCCTCCTCTAGTCCTTCATCAGTGGCCACAAGATGCTGCCCACAGGACGCTGTTGGCTGGATATTTTTGGTTGGTGGACTATTCTCAGTCCAGCAGTGACATTGAGGTGTTTAAAAACTCCAGCAGCACTGCTGTGTCTGATCCACTCAGAGCAGCGCAACACACACTAACACACCACCATCACGTCAGTGTTACTGCAGTGCTGAGAATGATCCACCACCCAAATAGTACCTGCTCTGTGAGGGTCCATTAGGGTCCTGACCACTGAAGAACAGGGTAAAAGGGGGCTAATAGAGTATGCAGAGAAACAGATGGATTTCAGTCTGTAATTGTAGAACTATAAAGTGCACCTATATAGTAAGTGGAGCTGATAAAATGGACAATGAGCGTAGAAACAAGGAGGTGGTCATAATGTTATGCCTGATTGGTGTATATAGCTTATTTAGTCTTGTTTAATTGGACAGTGTGTGAAAGAACAGTACGTGAAACGATGTATAAAAATGATTCTATTTATATTTTGATGATAGTGTTCAAATGTGACATTACTAGCACATTTTGTCTGTGTCAAAATATCATGATATGTATCATGCATCCTGAAAATGTCTGTAAGAATCATTTTTTCCACATCGGCCATCCTTAATTGACAGTGTTCCTAGTGTTTCCAATTTAGAAAAACTACTTTTTTTCACCACTGCAAAACAACCAAGCAAAGGAACTGCATACATAATTGGAATATTCAGTAATAATGAATGACCTAAAATGTATAATAAAGGATATAATACAATCTAAACACAAACTTAACTAGTCTGCAGTCGATTTCCAAAGAGACTGAACTACATTCTGGTGGAATGAAGAATCATCTGTGACAGAAAGTACAGTGAATACAAATGTTAGAATTAACTGATCCCATTCTAAAAACTATATGTGGGGTCAAAAAGGATCTATAAACCACTTTATACTAAAAGACTTTAATTCTACAACATAAAAATACTTTTCCAAAATGAATAATTGGGAAAAGGAAGCATTTGTGATCCATATGTGTTGTTACTGTGAACAACTGCCCTGAAAGGGCGTGCATATGCAAATTAGATTTCTGTGTTCAGATAGCCTGAACAAACTGGATTTGTGCCATTTTGCAATATGACTTCTAGACTTGGTTTATTTTGAGCAAGATTTGTGTGTTTTTGTCTTTCCCCACACATTGTGTTGGCAAATGTTTTCCCCACACTTGTTCCTCAGCATGTTTTCTAATGTTGTGTGTTGTTTCCGCAGGACCACCGTGTGGAGGATTTTGTGTCCTCTCCCCTGTGTCCAGTGATGGTGATCAGTTACGAGATGCTGCTTCGCTCAATAGAGGTATTAAAGAAGCTGGATTTTGGTGTGGTCATTTGTGATGAGGGCCATCGGCTTAAAAACAGCAGCATCAAGACTGCCAGCGCCCTCACTGCTCTCGCCTGCGAACGTCGGGTGATCCTCACAGGTCAGTTAAGCAAGTACAACATTGTTGCCTGTTTTTCTTCTGCCTTGTTTCTTGCTATCATTGTGATATTATTCATGAGTTGTCATTTTTCCAGGTAAGTCATTCACTGTACACAGTGCTGTGAAAAAGTATTTGATTTATTTAAAAAGAGTTTGAGGTCTGAGTTCCTATATCTGCACATATCTGCCACACTACATTGTCAACAAATCATTCAGTCACAAAGGAGAAATTCCGAGCATGCACTGGCCATTTAAGATTTTGCCACAGCATCTCATCTCTTTCAACTCATCAGTCCACAGAACATTTTTCCAAAAGGCTTGGGGATTGATCAAGGTTTTCTTAGCTGGGAAATACAGATAGGAAGTATATACAGCACAAACTGTGGCAACTGGAGCAGTGGTTTACTACGATTATTAGAGCCTATGTAGAAGTGTAATATGAACACTGATATGACTGAAAGCACAGGAAATTTCTGTTTGGTTCAAAATTTTGCAGACGGAGAAAAATCCGATTTTGCCCCCAGAGCCTAACAGTAAAATGGGTAAATAATAATACTTGTAATAATTTATTGAATGTTTTTGTGTGTATGATCTTCTCCAGGCACTCCTGTCCAGAATGATCTGCAGGAGTTCTACTCCATTATTGAGTTTGTGAATCCAGGCATTTTGGGAACTTCAGCAGCCTACAGAAAGATTTATGAAGAACCAATCATCAGATCTCGACAGCCCACCTGTACTGAGGTAGCACTCTCAGACAAAATATCCATATTGATTTAATTTTATCATATTCATTTAGGACTGTCATGTTTACTTAATTGAACTGGATTAAAAAAAAACACTTAACGATTAAAATTTACCTTATTGATGAACTGGCAGTGATTATTGCCAATTTATATTAAAAATATAGATACATGTTTTACATTAATTGGCATATTTTGACACTGTGTGTGTGTGTGTGTGTGTGTGTGTAAAATACACACACAAGCACATGTACACGCACACAGTACTCTCCCCAAATATTGGCACCCCTGGTAAACATGAGCAAAACAGGCTGTAAAAATCATTCTATATTGCTTATCCTTTTGAACTTTCATTCAAAATATTAACAAAAATCAGTACAAAAAAGTACAATGATTAAAAAAAAAATATTATCAGGAATTTTTTTTTTCTCAAATCTGTGTGTGCGCCACAATTATTGGCACTACTTAATTAAATACTTTGCAAAGATAACAGCTCTGAGTCTTCTCCTATAATGCTTAATGAGACTGAAGAACACATGGCAAAGGATCTGAGGCTATTCCTTCATACAGTACCTCTCCAGGACCTTCCGATTCCAAGGTCCACACTGTGGACTTTCCTTTTCAGCTCATCCCACAGGTTTTCTGTGGGGTTCAGGTCAAGGCACTGGGGTGGTAAAACCTCAGTTCTGTGGTCAGTGAACCATTTGTGTGTTGATTTATGAGGCATGTTTTCATTGTCTTGCTGGAAGATCCAAAATGTGGCCCAGTTTAAGCTTCCTGGCTGAGGCAGTCAGGTTTTGATTTTATTTCTGTTGGTACTTGATAGAGTCTGTGATACCATGTATCCGAATAAAGTGTCCAGGGCCTTAACATTGCAGATTCTCCACCATACTTCACAGTGGGGATGGGGTACTTTTCTGCATCTTATCTGCATGTCCACAACAAATATAGCTCTGGTGGTTGTTGCCAAAAACCTTAACTTTCGTCTCATCTGACCATAGAACACATTCCCACTGAAAGTTACAGTAACGTTTGTCAAACTATAGGAGCTTGTTGGTCCTTGACTTCTTCTGGCCACCCCCAAAAAACTTGTGGTTATATAGATGGTGTTTGATTGTAGTTTGGGAGACCTAACTAATGTCTGCAATTACCATCTGTGATCCTTGGATATTCTTTGTTCACTCAAGCCATCTTTCTCACTGTGTGTGGGGTTAATATAGACATCTGTCCACTCCCCGGCAGATTATTAACATCTCAATTTGTTTTAAGCTTCTCAATTTTTGATCTAATAGCTATTTTCTTGTAGCCATTTCCTGATTTGTGCAGCTCAACAACAGTGTTTGATCGACTGGAAGCCTCGCTGACAGTGAAAATGTGAACAGGGCTGCAAATACATTTTAATTTTGGCAGAGCTGTAGCGCAACGAAGAGGAAATGCAGTTGCAAAAGGGCAATGGTTATTCTGTTTTTAACATGTCAGAGTCAGGCCATTAAGACAATGAAAATGAAATGTCAAAAGCACTTTGCTTTTCTATATTAACTTGTTCCAGCCATTATACACAGACATGCAAACGCACACACACATTTTGCATTTGAATTATATCTTAAATAATGCATTCATACACTGGAAAAGCAATTGTAAATACACTATTAGCATTTTTTAATTTGTATGGAATACGCTGCCATAGATTTGGTAATTTCAAAGAAATTCAGTATGTGATGAAGAGATTTATAAAAAAAATTCTGATCTGTTTCAGGAAGAGAGGGTAATGGGTGAGGAGCGGGCAGCAGAACTTGCAAGGCTGACCGGTGTATTCACTCTGCGTCGAACGCAAGAGATCATCAACCGCTTCTTACCGGAGCGGTTGGAGTGGACTGTCTTCTGCAGGCCAACAGAGCTCCAGGTGCGGCTGTATGACACACTTCTTTCCACGCGATCTGTCAGGGCCTGTCTGTCCGCGTACAACACGCACGCATTCACACACAGTCCTCATCTCATCTGCATCAACGCACTCAAGAAACTCTGCAACCACCCTGGGCTCCTCTACAATACCATTAAGGTAAATGATCATATTAAAATTGACATTAACTGTCTGGCAAAAAATCTAATTTACATAAATGCCTTGATCAGCCAAGACATGTTTGGTGTCCAGCTTTGCCTTAAAAATGCTTCATCATTTTCCTTGGCTAGCTTCCAACATTTTCACCTTCAAAATGTTCCCCATTATTTCCAGCTGGTGTATAAATCTTAAAAAAAAAAAGTTCACTGAGGCCAAGATTTTAATGTTTAGACTGTTTTATATGGCCTTGCTAAATCAAACTTATTCTAAACCTTCTTTCAAGGTTTTGCTAGACTAAACCTGTTTTGAACCTTTTCTCAAGGCCCCATAAAGCCAGGGCCTTCACAAGGCCATTGCTCTTAAATCTCCAAACAGCTCACCACTGTATCTTACAGACTCTGCTACAGAAACCTACTTCACAGAAACACATAGGATTTAAAGGAACTGTAGAAATCCTCTACACAGTGTGCCTAAATCGCATAAAATAAATATCCTCAAACCGCGTTGAGTTGTTATGTAATCTCAAAAAGACTTGCTTGTGCACTTTCTGACATTGTGTGACCCTGAGAATCTGAGACACATTTACCACTTTTATGAACCCACACATCTGTGCGTAAAGAAGCACATGTCTATCAAGCTAAATTCTAGCTTGTCATCAATAGTACAGTTATCAGTTCTGCACACCAGGCTCTTTGAATGATTTGGCGCTGCTTTCGCGACTCTGTCGGTTTTTGAGGAATAATTTTGCAAAACATAAAATTAAAACAATTTTCCACTTACCCCAAATGCAGCTGATTAGCTAAGATGTGTTTGGTGTCCACATTTTCAAACAAGCGCACTCAGAAAAGCAAAATAGTGTCCAATTATGAATTTGAGGGCCACATTTTCTGCACAACCTTGTCTTACCTGTATATGTTTGAAACTGAATATACACATGAAGAAAAGCATCAGTTGGATGCTGGAGCCACCAGTGACTCAAAAAGAAAACTTTCCTTGAGGTGTCATCTGTAAAAAAATTACTTGGTACAGCTGTAGCTTTTAGGATATCCCACTAGAGATTTTCCTTAAAAAATGTTAAGTTAATAATGAACTTGTCTCATGCTAGTTTTTGGTTTTGTGTGGCTGTTTATTATAAGGAATAAAATTAACATGAATGCTGGCTAATGCTTTGGGAAATGGAAACTGGGGAGCGCTGATGCTCTGTTAAACAGTATGGGGCACTATCACAATATTATAACTTTTCAGTTTACTGCACTTTAGTTTTGCTTGGACTCTTTTTATGCAGGTAACATGGATATCTAGCTAACAAACTTATATATTTAATATTATTTTGATTGTGTTGACATTTCAGCTGTGTGTGTAACGCTGATTCCCTAACTTTAAATAAGATGCTTTAAGAGAAGATAAATTTCCAAATTAAGAAAAGATTTGCTTGTGTATAAAATAAATTTGAGCTTGATGTTTATCCGCGCTCTCACTGCAATGCTTTATTTGTGCTGTTTAATTAGAGCTTTGTATGAATAGCAACCAGACAACGAACTGCCAGTTGAACATCACTGGTTGCTCTCAACAGACTCGCTTTGACTGGTTTACACTTTATATTATTCTCTTTATAAATGACTTTACTCTACCTTCAACAGAGTAGGCTGAACAGGTCAGAAAGCTAACCAGCTGACAGGCTAACTCTTCAATAATAAAAACTGAATTCACTCCAAGCTTTAAAGAAGGAGTTGCTTAAAAACTAAAAATACAAAGTAAGAATGCCACTTGCATGCCTGTTAAAAATGTCTGTATTTAAACTAAAGCTGACTTCAAAAGCTTTCTCTCATACAGGTTTAGGTATCTGTTGACAGTTTGATAACGTGTAATATGTTATTCATAGTTTTGTTTATTCCCACGTGTCTGTCATGTTAGGGTGTTATAAGTATTTAACATATTGTCTATTTACACTTCCCCGGACGTTCTGTCCATAAGTCACTCAAAACATCTTGGATTCAAGGCAATATTCAAAAGAATTTTCAAAACTGAAAATATTTTATAGTTGCAGCCCTACTCTTATGTATAAAACACACAATTAAGTGAATTAGATTTTTTTTTCTTTAACAGCACAGTACATTCCTAATGAGCACATGTTCCACATAGAGAGGTTTATTTATTTTTAATATTTATTTTCTTTACCACATCTTTCTGGTCTCTGTTTCAGGAGAACACTGATGAGTTGTATGAGGGCCTCTCAGTGGAGCTCTTCCCTGAGGCTTACTCCACTGGCAGCTTCTGCACTGCGGACTCTGGAAAACTGCTGGTGCTCGCAGACCTTCTGGATGCTATACAGCATGTCAACCGCACAGACAAGTACATTCATATACACGAACGCACTTCCTCAAAACACATGCATACAAATACACTCTACTTGGACAAAAGTATGAGGACACCGCTCTTAATTATGGAACTCAGGTGTTTTCAACCACACCCATTGCTAACAGGTATATAACATCAAGCACATAGCAGTGCAATCTCCATAGACAAACACTGGCAGTAGAAGTTGTCTACAAGCAACAACCACTCGGCCACAAAGCAGGAGAATGCACAAATTCGCAGGGTCACTGAGTGCTGAAGTGTGTAGCTTGTAAAATCACCTATCCTCTATTGCATCACTCACTACACAGTTCCAAACTGCGTCTGGAAGCAACATCAGCACAAGAACTGTGTGTCGGGAGCTTCATGGTCCTTTTCTGTGCCAGCATGACTGTGCCCCTGCACACAAAGTGAGCTCCATAGAGACATGGTTTGGCAAGTTTGGTGTGGGAGATCTCCAGTGGCCTGCACAAACACCCTGAGCTTATCCCCACTGAACACCTTTGGGATGAACTGAAATGTCATTTGTGAGCCAGGCCTTCTCATCTAACATCACTGCCTGATCTCACAAATGCTTTTTTGAATGGGCAGAAATTCCCACATACACACTCAAAAATCTTGTGAAGAGTGGAGGCCGGTATAGTTGCAAAAAGGGCCATCTCCATATGAATGCCTGTGGTTTTGGAAGAGGATGTCTAATGACCTCTTATGGGTATGATGGTCAGGTGTCCGCATACTTTTGACCGTATTGTGTATATCTCTGTGAAGCTTTTTGGGGTTTCATGATTTGTTTTATTGTCAGATCTGTTACAAAGCTGATTTACTAGATATTTTTGTCCCACTGCCCACTCCTTTTGCAGGGTTGTTTTGGTGTCCAACTACACACAGACTCTTGACCTATTGCAAGACCTTTGCGCTCACCTTGGCTACACCTGGTGCCGGCTTGATGGGCAGACCCCAGTTGCACAGCGACAGCGAATCGTTGAATCCTTCAATAGTCCATACTCCTCCCACTTCCTTTTCCTGCTGAGCTCTAAGGCTGGAGGTGTCGGGCTCAACCTTGTTGGTGCCTCCCATCTTGTTCTGTATGATATAGACTGGAATCCAGCTAATGACATCCAGGTTTGTTTAAGAAGAACAATGGTTAGTCCAGCACTGAACAACATGAAAAATTCAGCATAATTCTACACAATATTATTAAACGTAAAGTATTACAAAAGGATATCATCTCTACTTGCATAGGAACCCTGGCAGATTTCCCAGTTATTAATACATTCCTACACTGGAAAACAAATATTTATGGAATTGTTAAGTAGGCACTTTACTTTGGTAACTTGAGTTTTATCTAAAAATACAGCATGTGTAATACTGGCATTGGTCTGATAAGAGTATGCATCTCTAACATTGCCCACTAGAGGGTGCTGTGTGCATAAGAAAATGTCAGTCTGTGACCCTTGTGCTGTTCTGAGAGGCATAGCAAATATACTTTGGGTGTGTGGGGTAATATCATTTAAATGATTAACCAGGAATGTGATACTTAGACCCTGTTAGTGAAGAAATCATATAAAATCAATATATTTTGCATTTACACTGTACATGTTTCTCGTATTTTGTTTTGAGTCATTTGTGTGTTTTTATGTACCAAACAGGGTAACTCATTTTACATAACCATTTTCCAACCTTTGTTTATTCATCAGAATTAAAGGCTGGTTTTGTTACTGTGCCTTTGAAACTGATATGTGCAAACATTGTCTATTCTGATTGGCTGCCCTGTGTTCTGCCTTATTCAAAAAGCAGTTAAGGCTGAAACACTCCTTATAACTTCAGTGTGAATGGGTGGGGCTAATCTGCTGTAGGCTGAATAAGTGGATAATTGTCAATGCGCTGGTTTTCATGACATAAACAATGCCTGAAACAATGAATTGAAAATTGACTGTTTTTGCAGCTTAGTTTCCATATGTGGACTGCATGGACCTGGGAGTGAACAGCCTGCTTTGAAACTTTACCAGTGTTTACATACTACATTAAATTTGGCAGTAATGTTACCTTATATATGATAATTTGGTTAAACACTTTTCTTATGACAACCATTTAACTAGTTTAAGTCCTCACTGTCCTATGAAATTCTACCCTACATCTGTATTCAAATTTCCCTAACGCACCATTGATTGCCCAGATACAGTATTCACACCTCAGTAATAGAAACAAGAGGCTTTTGCTGTCAGAGATGGCTGAATAATGCTCAGGGAAAAAGAGTGCATCTTCTATACAGATTCCAAAAACTGAACGAACCTCTATTTTCTGCCATCTAAATGACTGAGTATATATGTGTTTGTTCTACATTTGTTTTCATGTCCAGGCTATGGCCAGAGTGTGGAGAGATGGACAGAAGAAAACAGTTCACATTTACAGATTTCTTACTACAGGTAAGATAAAGGCAAAACTACTCATACTGCTATAATCACATTGCTTTTATCTTTCCCAGACCAGTGCACCTTCTGCTAACCACAGCCCACTATTGTGATACCATTATCACTTCTTTATCTCTACCACTACAGTAACACCATTACCACTTATTGCCTCTGCGCTCTGTTATAACACCACCATCACTCTTTTTACAACACTAACACCACCATAAACTTTACCATACTATCTCTGTTTAGTCATGGTGTTTTCTGCAACCTTGCCTTGTCCAGTTTTGTCCCTGCTTGAACAATAATGACAATCCTGAAATTGAAGTAGTACTAATTAATTGCAATTTTCATTTTTTAAAGATTTGTGACATGCAAAGTGATGTCATATATTTTGGTTTATTACATTTGACTGCAAATTATACTGTTTCATCAGATGAAGCTTGTACAGTCTTTTATACTGAAGCTGAACATAAGTGTTAGAGAAAGCAACATTCAAATGATATGTTCAAAAATATATAGACGTCCGTCCTAATTTCTGAATTCAGTGTAAAGCCTTTCCAGAAGAGTAGAGGCTGTTACTGCAGCAAAAGGGGGGAAAATTCCCTATTAATATATAATATTATAATATTAATGATTTTGTAAGGTATCTGAAAACATTTGGACATACGGTGTAAATGCTTTTATACAGGATGATTTACAGTGGTATGTAGCATTAGTAGTTTTGCCCAAAGGATGATCTACAATGGTATGTAGGATTAGTAGCCTTGCCTCTGCACATGATTCCAGCATGTGCAGGGGATCCACTATGCTGTCCACAGAAGCAGAAGCTTTAGTCTCACCTGAAAGAAACAAACAAAAATTGCATTTGTTACTATCAATACTATTTTTAAACACAAAATAATGACAGTTTGTATTATTTACAGTACTGTGCAAGTATATTTCTAGTCAAAACAGCCATTAAACACAAGTTATTCAAATTGTCAGGAGATATTTCTGAGATTAGATATAAGAAAATCCACTTACAAAAGAAAGGGGAAAGTTAAAGGAAAATAAGTGGGGAAAAAAAACAGGAGTTTCCAAAACAGGAGTTACAAAAATTATTAAACCCTATAGAGGAAATGGAACTAACAACTGAGTAACAAGTAGACCACCAGTACTGTTACCATTAAATAAAAGTACATAAGGCTTTTGTTTTTGAGAGATAAAAAAATCAAGCTCCTCTTTTGTTTCAGATCTGAAAAATCCACAGGTTGTTCTATCCAACAGCACTGTGAGAAGACAGCTTAATGCTATGGGTCTGAAAGAATGTGTAGCTGTCAACAAGCCGTTACTTAGAAAAGAAATAGACTAAAAAGAATGCAACCTACTTCTAAGACTGAACTTTGGAGGAATGGAAAATATCCCTGCAGATACCTTTGAAAAACTGAAAGCAAGTCTCCAGAAAAGAATGGAAGCTGTAATAAAACCAAAGGGTGGACACTAAATATTGAAAATTAGATATTATATTAAGTTGTTGAGACTTCTGTGTATTATGTTAAATCTATGCTTTCTGCTTTTTTCCTGACACTGAAAAATGTTGTACTTCTTCTCAATGGCTGTTTTGACTGGAAATTGAATAAATGAGGATGGACATTTGGACATTGCTGTATTTGTTCCACCCCAGTTTGAAATCAGCCAAGTGAAAATAAGAGGTTTCCGTTTATGTACAGATTATTTTGAACATTCACTTTTTGTCAGGTACCATAGAAGAAAAAATCTACCAGAGACAGGTGAGTAAGCAGGGTCTTTCTGGGGCAGTGGTGGACCTGGGCAAAAAGGCAGAGCACATCAACTTCTCTGCCGAGGAGCTCCGTGATCTCTTCACTTTTGACCCTAATACCAGCTGCCTCACTCATGACCTGCTGGACTGCGACTGCTTGGGGGATGGAAGCACACCAGGTAACACAGAGATATAAATAAATATAAATTATCTTACAGTAATATGTGTCTTCCAGGGTGTATGTCTATTTTCTATTTTGCTTGTTTGAGTCTAGGTCATTAGTGTGTTGCTCTGTGTGATGGATGTATATTCTCTGTATGATTGACAGGTGTGGTTGAAGAGGCAACCTTGGCTGAAGGGAGGGCGTGTCAGTTGGGTCGTCGTGCCAACAGTGCCAGCGTCTCCTCAAAGGGTCAGCATGTCTGAGCTCATGCATTGGAGACATTTTTCTGGAGCCATTCAGTCATATGGTGATGTTTACTTGGACTACGCCCACCAACATATCACATATGCCTTTCAGAGCACCACTTCTAAAACTCAAAACACAGTTTAACAAAATCTCTCACACGAGCATAAAATGTACAAGCATTGAGTTTGATAGATGTAATGTACCGTCGTATGCCAAAGTTTCAACACCCCCATTCAAATTAATGTTTCATGATTTTCTAAGTGAAAATGTGTTAACACGGACTCCACAGAGAACACACTTAAACATGAAATTTTTCTGTAAATTTTATTCCACAATGTTGATTTATTTGCTCCTCTGCAGTAAAGTAACATAATTCTATCGATGTGATGTATGTATGCTGCGTGTGTGTTGTCTTGTTAATAAACTTTTTTTTATACTGTACTCACTGAATTAGGTCATATTTCCGAAGTCACAGTGATGGACATTGACCATTCACCATACCATCTGTACCCGACACCTCCAGACAAAACTGTTTGGTCTCCTTTCATTTCAGCCGTTTACACAGCTATATTTAGACCTGTGGCTAATTACTGGGTTTGTATTTTTAAATGTGTGCTTTTTCACAGGGATTGGGCACCAAATTTAGCAGTTCCCGTCTGGTAGAATGAATCAGAACAGCATGCAGAAATATTTGCAATGTAATCGCAAACATCAACAGTGCACAAAAACAATTGATTACCATGGAATAACACACAAACGCTTTACTGGGTAAGCATGTTCTTTACTATATGATCTGTTGCAGTTGGCTTAATGACTAACATTATAACATTACAACTGACCAACATGCTGCTATGGTGGTGGAATCTTGCTGATAGCCCAGATGGTCAGTATGATGCAACTGTCAGTCAAATTCAGCCTCAGTGAGCTCCACGAGTTACATAAATAACATCAGAATGCAAGATTGACGGTCAGTCTTATAGCCATAATAAAAAAAAAAAACAGGAAGTACATTGTTTTGTACTTTTCCCCAGCACGAAATATGCTCTCAGCTATACGAAATGACTGAGTAAGATACGAACTTGTGACTTTTCTCTATAAGCATTATTGTTAAGAGCATTGCTTTGCTATGAGAATGTTTTAAATGATTGTGGTGTGACATAACAGTAGTGAGTCATAGGCTTTTTGTCTTTTCTCTGTGTGCGTCTGTATGTCTGAAGGTGGTTGATAACTGTTTGAGGGGGTGTCAGGTGTGTTTGTGTGGCCTCTTCACTGTTTAAAACTATCCAGACCATAATAGTGAATCCATAGCAACTGTTTCTGCTCAGCAGCGCAAGTCTTTCTACTTTTTCATTCTGAACAGAGTTGATGTTCATCAGTTACCACATGACGCAGGTTACATAATGATTTTTTCATAAATATGCTTTAGAAGCGGAGTCTCACTGTTCAGACCTTGGCTGTCTTTGGGCATGCTTTTACCATTCTGAGACGTATGAACAGCAATTAGCTGTGTTGGTCATTAAGTTTGACGTGGACAAGGCTGGATGACGTTGCCTGTACAGCTGTGTCCTCTTTGTATTCTTCATAAAAAAACATTTTATAAAATCTTGAAACTTAAGCCAAAAGTCAATGTTCATATTAGATGATCCTCACTTTATTTGGTTTGCTTAGAAATCCTGCTTTTCTCCATGAGTAGTATGCGGCATAGATAAAAACAGTAGTAGTAGCCATCTTGAAGCTGAGGTTTGTCTTACACTGTCAGAAACCACATATCGTCACTGTCAGATCAAAACCTTTCAGTGTAGGTTAATGTAACAAGATTTTATTCTAAATAATTTTGGACAGTTTCTTTTGGTTCATTATGAAATTCTGATATGGTGTAAATGGCAGCTAGTATATTCCAACTATGTAAAAAAAAAAAAACATAACAAAAAACTAAAAACAGATGAAAGGCGTTCTTCCTGTCAACTCAGTGCCAAGGGAGTGCTTCTGCACACAAGTCACACTAGTGGTAACCTCTCATTTTTTTTTTTTATAAGCCCCAAGTTAAGTTGGGGGCGTGTCAGCAAAATAACAATGTTAGCCACTGATAGTTGTATTGAACACTGATTGTATTTCAGTTATTCAGCAGCCACACATGAACTCTGCAGACTAAAATCTTGCAAACGCAAAATACAAATATAAGTCCTCTAACTGGATAAAAACATTACTTATCTCAAGCATTCTCTGCTTGTCATTTTGTTGCAGTAATGCTACATAAACAGACCTTCTTTAATAAAAAAGAAAAGCAAACAGAAACAACAAAGCATTATTTCCAGTGTGTCTATCGTGTTTCCGACCAAAACCACTTGAACACAAACCAAGTCGTATTTACAGCTTCCGTAGACCTAAGTAGGAACTCCCGAGGAGGACTTAATGAAGGTAGCATATTGGCTTCATTAGCATCACAGCGAAACAAAATAATTAAGATTAAACATAAAGAAAGAAATTAGAGTGGTTTCACGTGAAACATAATTCTAGAGTTGTCTTGGGCGGAATAACAGTAATAAGGTAGACCGTAGTATTTCAGATATTTGTGATGGTATTTCAAGATTTTATCTTTTCAAGGATTTTTATTCCACATCTAAATGGAGAAATAAACATTCACTCACTGATTGGTGGGGCTCACGCTATATGGTGACCAAACTAACCTCTTCTCCCCTGCTGTAACCACAGTTAATCTTAGCTTGTTGGATGTACAGACTAGTTTGTTCACTTGGTATTTGTTTTTGCTAGAAAAAGCCCAAACAACATTAATGTTAATTGTTTTTACCCATAACATTAATGCACCATATAACATGAGCTCATTAATTGTTGGCCGTAAGACTGAGCATATAATAGCTAGTTTATGTTTGCTGGCTTATTTGGCATCAGTAAGCCAGGCTAACTAAGTATCATTTTGCTACTGTAAGCATTTTCCTTCCAGTTTCAGTTCTGAGCTTCAGTTTGTGAAATTTCCACCCTGCTAGATCTGCCCTGTAAGTGGTACTGTTGTGAAATGGAAGACTATAGTAGCAACAATAGCTCAGCCATGAAGCAATAGACCACGCAAGTTGGGGCTACCAAGTGTGTAGTGCATTAAAATCACATATCCCCTGTTGTATCCCTCACAATGGAGTTCCAAGCTGCCTCTAGAAGAAACATTAGCACAAGAACTGTATGTTGGGAGCCCTATGAAATGGGTTTTCATGGCTGAGCTGCTGCATGCAAGCCTAAGGTCACTATGTGCAATGCCAAACGTCGGCTGGAGTGGTGTAAAGAATGCCGCAACTGGACTCGAGAGCAGTGAAAACATTTTCTTGGAGTAATGAATCAAATTTACCATCTGGCAGTCGGATGAATCTGGTTTTGGCAGATGCAAGGAGAATGCTACCTACTGGAATGCATGGTGCCAACAGTACAGTTTAGTGGAGGAGGGATAAGGGCCTGGGGCTCTTTTTCAGGATTTGGCTCAGCCCCATAGTTCCCAGTGAAGGATAATGTCAGTGATACAGCATACAAAGACCTTTGAGACAGTTAAATGCTTACAACTTCATGGCAACATTTTGTGGACGGCTCGTTCCTGTTCCAGCATGACCATGCCTCTATGCACCAAGCAAGATATAAAAACATGGTTTGACGAGTTTGGTGTGGAGGAATTTGTGTGGCCTGCACAGAACCCTGACCTTAAACCCACTGAACACCTTTAGGATGAATTGGAACGTCGATTGTGGGCCAGGCTTTCTCGTCCAACGTCAGTGCCTGACTTCGCAAATGCTCTTTTAATGGAAAGGGCACAAATTCCCTCAGACACACTCCAAGATCTTGTGGAAAGCCTTCGTAGAAGAGTGGATCCATATAAATGCCAATGATTTTGGAATGGGATATCCAGCAAACTCATAGATGTGATGGTCAGATCTTGACATACTTTTGACCATGAAGTTTATTTTCATTGTACTGTATATATTAAGTACTAAAACAGGACAGAACAATAGAAGGTCATTTGAGTTCTGATCTGAGGGCGTACCAATAAATAGACATATTTATTTGTGGCGGTAACTATACATGCAGTTCGTTTTTTTAGCCAAAGGTATTTCCATTTAGAAGTAATAAATGAATTGCTGTAGCAACAGAGAGTAGAAGAGGTTGGAGAGGAGCTTAGACACAAAAGCAGCTGAGAGGGGACAGGAACTGATCCTACAAGCAATCGAAATTGCAGAACATTAGCAGCAGTAGTGTTTTGATCACATAAGTGAATCAACAGCTTCAGATGTATTTATTTTAATAACCTGGGAATTATATGTGCAGTTCATTTGTTCATTGTACATTTTTTTTTTTGTTTCAATTAACAAACTGTCTATAGTAGAGGACAGGCAACACAATTACAAATAAGATTAGTTTGTCATTAGTTTATTGTTAGTGATGTGTTTTGTAGATTTTTAGCATAAATAAAGTCTAGATTAAATAATAGGATAAAGAAGTATAGTCAGTTGAAACCATGCAACAGAATACGGAGGAGTCTCTCTAATGCAGGCTATAGCACAAGAGAAAGTCCATTGACTCCAGTCAAATAATTGGTATAATATAGTTTTTGGTTGAAACTAAGTATATAAAATTGTGTACCTCTGTGCTAAAAATGTTCTTCCATTTCTCTCTCTCTCTCTCTCTCTCTCTCTCTCTCTCTCTCTCTCTCTCTCTCTCTCTCTCTCTCTCTCTCTCTCTGTCTCTGTCTCTGTCTCTGTCTGTCTGTCTCTTTGTCTCTCTGTCTAATCCCACTATATACGATGCTTGTTGGTCAGGACTAAAGTAACTCATCCCCCTCTCATCCTTCACTTCCTGAGGCACGGCCCAGTTACTACAACAGAATTGTCCTGATTGCTCAGGTCACTGCGTCTGAGGATACACACACCTAACTCCCAGCAGCACCGTGTAACAAATGCAAATGTGTACCATCTCCCAAAATAAATGTAAATGGATTTTTATTCCTAGCAACCTCATTCCAAATATACTGATACAGATCTGACACCTAATCTCCTCCAGAAAAATCAATAACTTGTGCTTAATGGTCCTTTTAACTAGAAATTGAGTAACTTCTAGGGGGCGTTTGCACAATACTCTAGGTGCATGTTGTAGGTTTACAGACTGTAGACATACCCCCTTATCCCCCTACCCTGTCAGTCGTTGAAAAGGGACAACCATATTACCCTGCTGACTAAATAGTGGGGTTTCTCCACAGTAAGTAATTGTAAACCTACAAAGTGCACCTATATGGTAGGTGTATCCTGATAAAATGGCTAATGAGTGTAGATACACTGGCAAATAAACTTCAGTGTGTACAGTGGGGTTCAAAAGTCTGAGACCACATTGAAAATCGAGGATTTGTTTCTATTCAAAAATAAACAAAGTTTTTAAATTCTGAAAAACTATTAAACAAAGATAAGTTATGTGGGCACCATCCTGTGACCAATGATGAAGGACTAGAGGATGACCGGTACAAACTGTGGAGCTATCCTTTCTGATTTTACATCTACAATGTGGACAGTGAGTGGACACAGTGTTTAAAAACTCCAGTTTAATGCTTTTTGGTTTAATGCAGTGTTTAAACATACATTTCCAAACGTTCCGTTCACTCCCCAGTCCATACTGTCCATGTCTATGAATATGATGTCAACAAAACCAGCTAATCTACATTTATCCACCTACTAAACTTACAGTTTAGTCCCACCCATTCATGATGAAGGTATAAGGTGTATTTCAGTCCAGTCTGCTCATGGCAGCCAATTAGAACGGAAGTAATTTACATATATCAGTCTTAAAGGCACAGTAACAAAAAACAGTCTGTTAAATTCTGGAGATTGTACATCAGTGCACCGGAAACTATCACTCCTGACGTGTCAATAACAGGATCATTTAGTCAAACTTTAAAGCAAAAAGGGTGACATACCAAAAAGTAACAAATTCTGAAATTCATGTAAATATTTCAAAGACTCTACTTTTGACCCAAATTGTAATGCTAATGTTAATTTGTAATGAAAAGTGTTGTATTATATTAAAAGAGAGCGCAAAATAGAAGCATTTTCACTTGTGGTCTCCGGCTTTTGGACCCCACTGCAGCATCCATAACACACACATAAATCCCAACAGCGTACCATGAGTAGCACTACCTACAGCAGTCACATACGGTCAGTCTCATGGCAACACTCCAAAAACAAACACTCCCACACACACAGGCCAAAGCTTTAAATCTCCATACGGCATCAGACACACACTCACTCACTCAGCTTGCTAACTCCTAACTTGCTAAAATCCTAACGTATGGCTTCCAAGACCAGGTTCCCTTCAGTGTCATGTGCGCTGTAGTGCATGTGCACATCACTCTCCAAAATCTGCAGGCTTTGGGGTCTTTGTTAAAGCTATTTTAGGCAGATTCAATCCACCATTCGCACTCTATCCCTCGCTCCCCCTTATCTGCTTGGCCTTGTTTCTGACGTGCTCTGCAAGAAAGGGATGAATGAACGAGTGGGGAAGAGCTAATCCAGCACTCTGCGGCGATTTCACCCGTCCATCCCCATTTTTCTATCCCTATCAGTGCTGTATATAGAAACACAATCAGCATAATCTAGCAATTACATTAATAGCTCTGATTATAATCTGCGATTTCTTCTTCTTGGGCCAATCCACAGAATGAAGTTAATCTGCCTGGGTGTGTGCACACTTTTGAGATTGGTGGGTGCATGCGCGTGTGTGCACGTGCACGCTTTTTGGATTCAGTGTGAGTGAATGTACTTATATATTTGCCAGGCCCTATGTAGGAATATGTGAGTTGTACACAGGGATGGATAGAGACACCATGTATCAAGTATTTCAGTTGACTGATAAGTAAAAATAGAAAATATCAGAAAACAACTTTAGTGGGGTTAAAGAAAAAATCAGGTCCAAAAAAGTACTGAGCACCACATAGAACTGCAGTGGAACTTATAAATTCAGCATCTACCAGCATGAGAACTAAGGTCTTGTAGACGCTACAGTTGAAAACTACAAATCAGAATTCTAAAAATCTAAATTTGAGTAGAATTTTACTTAAAGGGACACTGGCCAAAATGAAAAATTGAACCAACGATACATCTGTTGTGAACATGCTTGCTTCTATACTTTCAGTTGACGCTAGAGTTAGATTTTCAAGTTTGAATACTAGGAAAACCTCCTTTTGTTGACATATCTTGAAGCTGGGAGGAACTACAAGTGTTTCGGGTGAATTTTTGTGGTGGGCTGTTTTGATTTGTTTTTTCCATTTTCTTTAGCTGGTGAATGTAGAAGGAAGGCAGACAAATATAAGGTAGGAAGCTGCAGCCATATCCCAGTGGTAACTGACTTCAAATTATCATTACATTGGAGCGAATAGATTACTCAAACCACAGAAATGTCTCGTGAGATGATGAAGGCAGCAAGCTAGAAAGTAAAGCTAGCCAGCTACTTGGATATAGAAAGATTATCTCAGCCTTTCTTCTTTTCTCTGGTTGAAAGTTTCTGGTGTCTTTCTTAAGCTGCATGTAAAGATAATCACTGTTTTCTTCATGATTTTATTCAGTGACTGAGGTACGAGAATGCTGGCAGACAGGAATGATTGACACCAGTGTGATTCCCAATGGTTGTATGATGTATTTACATAAGGCATGCTGGGTATTTTAGTGAGAAAACACTGATGAACAATACCATGAACATGATACAAAACTGTGAACTGTTTCAAACCAATGAAGCTGAGGGATGCAAAACAACGTTGTAGAATACTGCATAACACAGCAAACACCATATTAAACTGTAGTTTTTGAGTTGAATGCTCTTTGTACCCGAGTTAACATAATCTGGTAAATTAGTGCCTCCATAGTACTACTACTACTACTACTACTACTAATAATAATAATAATAATAATAATGATGGGTTATTCTATTATTATGATGTCAAGCTTTTTTGTGCTATATAAACCTTTTTAAAAAAAGCTGAGTCAGAAGAACCATTTCACCATGCAAAGAACCATTTACATATGCAAATGGTTCTATATATATATATATATATATATATATATATATATATATATACATATACATTTTTAAGGGTGTACTGCTTAAGAGCTCTTGACCCAGAAAGTTAATTTTACCCCGACTGATTAGTCTCTGGTAGCTTGTCTGTTACTGATAGTGTTAAGGTTCTCAGAATATACACTGGAACAAAGTGGTCTATAAATCAAATGAAATACTGAAATACAATGTTTTTGCTTCACCTGTATTAATATTTAGTGTGCCTGATTTTGCTAATGGAACTCAGCTCACTCTACCTGATGTGACAGGGTTGCTTTCACCTAGCCTCACCTACGGTTGCCATGGTAATCAGTGAATTAGCGCAGCCACCAATTATCTCTGGTGTCTCCCAATGCTCCTTGCCTCAGGAGAACAACCAATAGTGACTAACACTGAATAAGACGCTGTTTGTGTCTTTAGACACTTTTGTTTATTTATGGTGTGAAACAACTAGACTGTAGTTCAATACAGCTCACCTGTATGTCCTAGAGTTCAGTATTGAGTCTGTCATCAGATCCCTGTGGAACAGTCATGATGATCCTCAAGACTTCCAACCCCTGCATTACAATTCTGCTTTACAGTCATATCAAATTGCTTACCATCCCTGACCTCATATCGAACATCCTGTATCAGTTGGTCTTCCACAATAAATGGTTCATTAGACTTTTATCAGCTGATCTCACGGTTATGTTTGATTCAGACACCTCTGTTTAATTTCACTTGTAAAATTGTTCTAGGTGTGCATATTGCTAATCTCTCCCATACGGATATCTAATATATTTCAATATATGGATTTCAAATATGGCATATATTAGCATATATGGATTTATGGATTTCCTTTATATCCAACTTGTGGACATATATGTGACATACATATATGGCCAATTTGCCATTTTCATTTATTTTCAGATATATTTAACAATATATGACAGAAAACAGTGTTTATATATGGATGGTATACATTACTCATAATAAATAACTTGTTAGCTGACACATTTAAATTCATACAGACAACATAGTAACAATTCTAGCTGTGATGACTAATATTTGATACATATATATGCATAACATATATGTACATATGTTTATATATACCCGACTCTTTATGATATAAGTGCATACATTGCCATATATCATAATTTCAGTCTGTGGTGTTATAGATGCAGGGTGGTTCCCTATTCGAGTCTTGGTTCCTCTCGGTCTTTCTTTATGCTCTTTAGGGAGTTTTTTCCTGCTACCGGAATATCTGGAAAGCTGTTTCTATTGTAAAAAACACACTCTAAGAAAAGTGAAGTGACTGAATGTCGTGCCATTTATTTGCAAAAAAAAAAAGTTTCTAGTCAGGCGATGTGATCTTTGTTAACACCCCCTGCCGCTCACGCGGGAACGCCCATTAGTCAGCCTGCAAGCCGCGAAGTGACGTCAAGGAAACCGTGGTGTCTCCGAGCTTTTTATAACGACGCGCCGCTCCGCGAGCCAAATAGGCTCGGGAAGTCGTTCAGTCCGATTCAGTTAAACGAACCGGTTCTTTGGATAGGTCAATTTCAATTAACATCCAATTGAACGATTCGTCGGTTCACAAGTCACAACTTTATTCTATTCCTTTGGATTGGAGAGTGAATGTGAGGTGTGCTAGTTCTGGCAGTCCGACTTAAAGCGCAGTTGCTATAAAATCAATTACGTTTGTACTTGTGAATTAGTTCGAAGGATTCATTATAAAGAATCGATTCACAAGAACGGTTCGTTCACGACTCGGATGGTGCTATAAAGCTCGTTACGCCGCGGCTTAGTGACACAAAAAGGCTCGATCTGAGAATAGCGCTCAGGAGTCAGGTAGGTCAGGCGCTGACTGGCCGAAACGGGCAAAGCTTGGAAACTCCGGAACAGTTCTGCTTCTCCTCACATACCTCCGTCTGGAGTTCCTGCTGTTTCCAACCGCCATGCGGCACTTTTGGAACAACTTCGCCGAGTTTGAGGGTTCTTAGCTCGCCAAGTTGCAGCGCCGCTCGTTTGTTGTTTTTCCTCCTCAGCCTCGTCCACGGCGCGAGCAGAAACCGGAGGATGACTCTCCTCGCGAGCGTTCGGCGCCACAGCCTGCGCGTGCAGCAGCGCCTGCACCGCTGGAGCATCTGCGGGACGGACGGCGGTCAGCTGCTGAGTGATGGTCCCTCTGCCTCCGCCGCTGGACCACCGCGCTCGCGCTCCTGCTGCTCCGAGGAGCCCCCCGTCCTGTCCCCCAGCGCCAGCGGCCCGTTCACCGTCGTGCTGCTCGGGGACGACGGCGTTGGCAAGACCGCGCTCGCGAGCATCTTCGCCGGGGCTGCGGACAGCATGCAGTGCGACTATGAACCGGACGGAGGTGCGTTTACAGTACAACCTTTTTTTTCCAAACTTTGTTAATTTTTAATGCCATACACGCACAAGCAGCAAGTCTGCAGGATTACGTGTATTGTTAGATTGACTGTAAATCTACAAGTAGTAGGTTTTTGAGAGCATTTCAGCAAAAGCATGATTAGGAAGTTTGCAGAATTGCTTGCTATTTATTGAAAGAATCAGCAGGTTTTGTAGGAATAATGTAGTTTTAGTTATTATGGGCCATCTGATAATATGGGACACTTTAAGAAACTCGTTAAATCCGGTTTCAGCTGATTATTACTAGTGCATTTCTTTCTAAAAGAGAAAACACTGTAAGTAGGCTAAATAAATTACAAGTTATTTATAGTGTCGAATTGAACTGCTCCTCCGAATGAGTTGATGACCCATTATACCTAAATTAGAACTTCCATACAAGAGCACTAGTTGGTTAATTGGGGTCAGAGTGCACTGACCAGTTTTAAACATGCTCAAGCCATCCACTCTTTAGTGAACAGCTAATGAGATTTAGTTTAATGGCTTTAGTCTGCTGCTAATGAGTCTTTCTTTCCAGGTGAGGTTGTCGAGCAGCACATGCTGGTGGATGGTGAAAGTGCCACCGTTACCTTACTGGACACGTGGGATTCCCAGGTATCAGACATGCATTCTTCACATCTTACAGTGTAAAAACAGAACATTTTCACTAGTGTGTTCTGATAACTTCAAAATGAGTTTTTTTTGTTGTTAACTGGCTGTTTGAGTTTAAATGCACATAAAAGGCAACTCAGTTACTTTTTTGGGTTAAAACTACTCATTATCACAGTGCATATTTGATGCATTATCTTTGGAAGTGATGATTTTAAACAAGGTATCCTGAAGATGTAAAGATGCATCACGAAGGTAGTGATTACACTACAGTGATTTTGGAGTGTTATTATTGATTATAATAATATTTAATAAAAGCATGTACTTACATTTTGAACACAGTCGAATTCACAGGCTGTTTTTAAATTCATACCAAATAATAATTATACCAAAATAAAATAATAAAATCTGAGATTTCATGATGCATTGAATCATTTTGTGATGAAAAACAATCAAATTGTGTCTGTGTTCAGATGTGAACTTTATAGCCTACGTATTATAACAGAAATGTCTGTGTTGTTGTTTGTCCCCTGTACAGAATACAGACTGCTGCCCACAGGCTGGAGACGCATTCATCATTGTCTACTCCATTACAGACAGAGCAAGTTTCCTTCGGGCAGCTGAACTGCGTGTGCTGTTGCGGCGTGAACGTGAGCCTCATCACACTCCCATCATCCTCGTGGGCAACAAGTCTGACTTAGTCCGGAGGAGAGAGGTGTCAGTCAATGGTAAGTTCTGACCATGACGTTTTGTCAGCATTTGCTTGATTTTTATTGGAGGCAGTGAGAGAAATATATAGAGGTCAACCAAGTCAACCAACAGGGAGCATTTCCCCGGTTTCTCTACACTATATGCTATATATCCAAATGCATCCAGACACCTGCTTGTCACATATCTACCGAAATTAAGGGTATTGATATGAAGTCCACTGTTTTGATATGTGATCTACAGTTGCTGCAGTAACAGCCTCAAGTCTTCTGTGAAGACCTTACACTAGATGGTGAAATGTTACTGCTTAGCCTGGACTCCATTTAGACACTTTATTACTGATATAACTGATGTCAGCTGATAAGATCTGGTCTACACATGGTGCTCCAATTCAACCCAAAGCTTAATTTTCCATAGAGCTTCAATAGACCTTCATCACTTCAGCTTGTCCTAAAGATGTTCCATGGAGCTTCATCACTTTGATTAATTCCAGAGGACCTTCATCTCTCCAAAGAACATAATTCCACTACACCACAGTTCATGAAGCTTTACACTTCTCTAGCAACGCAGTTAGTAATTTCAAGCATGTTGGAGGTTCTCCAGAGTGTCCCATTCTGCTGACCCTGCTTTTCTTAGGAGATGACATGATGGCATCCAACACTTTTGATCATATAGTGTATAAGCATGTGATGTTTGAAGTTTTTGTGGTAGTTCCATATTGAGACCTCTTTTTTGTGCCTTTTTTTTTGCAGAGGGTCGCACGTGTGCTATGGTCTTTGACTGTAAGTTCATCGAAACCTCAGCAGCAATGCAGCACAATGTGTGGCCACTGTTCGAGGGCATCGTCCGCCAGCTCCGCCTGCGGAGAGACAGCGCTGAGGCCATCAACCGATGGCAGGCTCAGTACCAGCAGCCTGAGAGCGTTCCCAAGAAGGCCAAACGCTTCATTGATAAACTGGTGGCTAAAAAGAATAAGCATGCAGCGTTCAAGCTGAAGTCCAAATCCTGCCATGATCTATCAGTTCTGTGACCTCTTGGCCTCTCCCTGAAGTGTGTGTGTGTGTGTGTGTGAAAAGGTGATCGATACATCAGATGGCCAATATTCTGTGGATTTGTCAATCTTGACACAAATCCTGATAAAGCACGATATTTAGTGGCTTGTTTCATAAGCTAACAAACCGAACTGATGGTTTCATGGTCCTATAACATAACAAAAAAATTTCTAAGAAGAAAACTGATTAAAAAATAAGAACAAGGACACTAGACAGTGTTATTGATATGATGCACTGCTTTATGAAGCACCAAAATTTACTTGAGTGCGAATAGTGCCATCTTGTGGAGAGTCTTTAGCCTGCTTAACATGAGTGAGTAAATTACACGCCAGGTCCAAGTGTTTCACATCTAAAATTAAGTTAACAGAAACCAATCCTTAAAACACAAACCAGTGCTACAATAGTTATATTATGTAAGAGGGATTTTTCAGCATGTCTGCATAAATACATTATTACAATGTCAGCAAAGTCATTCAGAGTGATCTGATGTGAAATTTCCTGAAACTTACTGACTGTCAGAGTCTGTTCAGATACCAAATTGTACATATATGCGTCGTAGACATCATAATTCCTGGTTCCTTTCGCCTTTACTGTAAAAAAAGTTTGAGTTCACGTTTCACTACAGTGCACCATTTCACATCAAACCACTCTGAATGACTGTTTACATTTCAGTTGTTGAAATATGCAGGAATTTTGAAAAATTAGTGGAGTTCACAAAACTTATGAGTAACCTCTATTTTACTTACATTTTAGAAATTTGACTATGAACATATTTGACAGTTCACATATTGACAGACAACTGACAATCACATCAGCCAGTAAAGCATTGTTTAACTAAAACAATTTTTTTACATAATGAAAATATTGGCCGATATTATCAAGTATCTATTTTTAACTCCTTAAAACTGTTATTTGTATCGCAATTTTTGTTGTCAGGAGATGATCGGCCGGGCCCTAGTGTGGGGCATGTATCTCAGAGAAGTAGAAAGAGAAACAGAGGCTACGTTTGAAATTGTGCCCTATTCACTAATTTGGAAGTTTGGAGAAAATCCATTGCACTCTCACAGTCCAGTTCACCACAATAAGTAGTGTACAACAGTATGCCCTAGTAGACACAGAATGTCTGTAATACACTGTGTGATATGCAACAAAATGTGACTGCTGTCACAAAACAACAAGCAAACCTGGGTAACGTTAGTGTTTGAAACCCTGTAACAGAGTTCTGTATAATGCACCTGATTTTCCAGTATACAGAATAGTGATTAGGGGGACACGGCTAAAGAGTCTGTTGGCAGGTGAACACAGGGAGGACTTACAGTATCTGAGAAAGTGTGATAATTGAGAATGTATTTTCACAAGGTGTGGAGGAGATAGTGATACGCGGTCAGTCTGTATTAGCTGTACTGGTTTCAAGCTTTCAGCACCATCTGTGATGGACCGAAGTCAAACTTGCTACCCACATCCTCCTGCTGCTCAGAGTTCATTAGGAGTCCCTGTACAAGGCTTTTCATTCCCTAATGACAATTTCACATGCTTTTTTTAACATGCTTTTCCAAATGTATAATACAGTGTAGCAGTACTTACAGTTTGTGTACACTGAAAATGTGTTGTTGTACCTCAGTGTGTAAATGATATATTTTCCATGTTGATGTTTTTGCGCCAAATTTGTAATTTCATATCAAAATAAATGTCTATTTTCATATAGTAAACCTTCATTTCTTCTTGATTTACTTTTTAAAGCAATTTATATCTATTTATAAATATGATTTGGTGAGATTGAATTTATTTGACAATTTTACACTAGATTAGATGAAATTAGATGAAAAGGCTGGAATAAAGCGTGTTATACACAATTATTGTCTTTTTGTTGAATTACTTTTGGCAATAATTATGTTAATATGTTTCATTTATGTGAAACGCAATCACGTGAACTCTCTCCATGAAAGTGTTGCCATCAGAATCTGTGGTGCATTTCAGAAAGGCTACGGACTCTGTACATTAGAAGTTCACCTCCTTTCGGGAGAACCTGATATATTTTTGGATTGGCTGATAACAAGCTCATTTGTAATAGATCACAAATGTACATTACAAGTACCTTAAAATAGATCACTGCTTATTAGAGTGAGAGACAAAATCTAGCCTAAATTACGGACCTCAGGGACATGTTGAAAATATTTGGCAAATAATCAGAACTGCAAGAAATTTCAGAGGGCAATAAGAAAGTCTGTATGCTAATGCTGTTACCTAGGGCTCTGTTGCTGTGTCCTGTGGCTTAGGGGGCCCTAAGCAAATGCCTGCACTGCTTATAGCAAGAAACAGCCCTGTACAGTACTGTGCAAAAGTCAGAGACCACCTTTTCATTTATTCATTTTTCAGTGTCAGGAAAAAAGCAGAAAACGTAATAAATGGGAAATTACACAGAAGCCTCAACAAATAAATATATTATCAACTTTTTTCAATATTCACTGTAAAGGTGAAGGGTGGACAGAAACATCTTTTTGTGGAAGTCTTATATCTAATTTCCTCAGAAATAACTCCTTCTTCTTCTTCTTGATTGTTATTTTGACTAGAAAGTAAATAAATAAAGAGCGGCCTCTGACCTTCGCAAAGAACAGTACACAGTATAGTTTTTGGATAAAACAAGTATAGATTGGCTGTGAGCTTGTGGGCAAACCGTGATTTTTTGTAGACTGTACTTCCAGTGTGGTTCAAGAGCACTGTTAACTCTCTCTCTCTCAGGTATGTGTTTAATGGATGAAGTCTGCACACTATAGATCTAAAGCATCACACATTAACAGCGCCTCATCCATACATTAACCTCAACAAGAACCTACGACAGCTGTTCTTCTGAAAGACACGCACATTTGCACATACATATAAGAGTTAGCCATGAAAGCCTTTTTAGGAATCTGTTGCTCGGTGGATGTTTCAGTACAGTGACAAGTTCACAGACTTTTTGTGTGTGTTTTATGCAGTTTACTTTTGTTGGTAACAGGTGTTGTCAATATGTACCATTATTTCTTAGGTCATAGACATACTCAGAAGACCGCTATATTCAGCTATATTTTTAAGTATTTATAATATTTATTAACCCCTTTAAATTCTACTACTTCCAGCTCATTTGCACACATATAGACAGAGATCTGCACTTTACATACTTGTATTTATATCCTTATATTTCTACATTTTATATTCTTCTTCCCTTTTTTAGATTCTTTTCTTATATGTTTCAAATATATATTTTGTTTTTCATGGTAACGGACAGTCATATAAGCATTTCACTGCACGTTATACTGTGTTTGGCTGTGTGTATGACCACTTAAGCTTCATTTGATTTGATTTGAAGACCACAGTACATACCGTAATGTACGTGCACTACTACAGGGAGCAGATGTCTATTTGGCCATTCTGAGGTTTGCTCTTTAGCAGCTTGTATGCAAAATGCAGTGAGTCAGAGCCATGGCTGCTGTCCCGGCTGAAGGCCAGTCAGTCGACAACAAGCACTCGTGTCCCTGTCACTTGGATGCATAAGCAGTGTGACAATGACATAACAAATCCATCTACACTTGCAACGCAAATTAAATCAGGTTAAAATAATAATAAAGATCCTGAGGTGCCAGATAAGGAGCTACAGTGGAGAGAAAAGCTAGAAGAAGCTGCGAAAAAAACTCTGTCAAGCATTACAGCTCGACTTTACTTTAGTGGGACATTCCTAAAGCATATTTACAATGTTGATAACTCTGGTTCTGGTTTAAAATCTGATTGGCTGAGCCTTGTTCAAAGCCACGGTAAAATAAATCAAAAAGCCACAAGGCCATGTGTTACTTGATTTGATTACAAAGCAGAGTGCCCCCTTACTCGTGTTAAAATAACTGTAATGCACAGTTTCAAGTGGCTTCTTGCTTTTGTAAAAAATATAATAAAATACACTAAAATAGATTTTAATAGATTCTATTTAAGTTATACTTAACAATAATCACAGTAAACACTTCTTCTACCGATAAATGTACAGCATGCCAAGCAACCATAGAACGCTGAACTTTTCCATTAATGTATATTGTAGTGACTGTATGCACTTTTACAATTTTCTGTAATACAGTAATAAAAATATCACAATATCACCATGATTAATGCAGAAACCTTCACCTTATATGTAGTTTTTGCTCACCAAATAACCACCACAGTCATAATGCTAATTTCCACTAACACTTTAATATGATTTCCTTCGTTAGCATAAAGGTAACTGTGCCACACATTCAATTTCCCACTCTGGGTTTAATACTGCTGAGGCACATATAACCTAAAACACAGACATCTGAAGCATGTAAGACATTCAAGACAATCTTTCCATGCCCCACTATAATCACAGGGAAAGAACCTGTCCATTCTAAACTACACAACACAAACATTATAACTGGTGAGTTCACTTTAAACACTACATTTCCCATAGTGCCCCATCTTCTTTCCTTCAAATACTTTCAGTTTCCATTAAGTCCAGCTGCACTACGATGTTAGCAGTAGGTGGACATGGACATGTGCATATATTTGTATCTTGTGGGGAGGCAGCAGGCAGAGGAGGAGTGAGAAGGCCAGTCAGAAGAGAAGCAGAACAGAAAGACAACTTTTGCTGGTTGGAGTATTCAGTGAAAAGATATGCAATCTTCTGTTTTTCATGCACCCATGTACATGCGAGATGGTTAACTAGTAAATATGAGCGGTCTGTGAGTGTGCCCCTTCAGTTAAAAGAGCATGTGTGAGGTCAGGCACTAGTTTTGGATGAAAAGGCCTGGCGGCTCGCAATCGACTTTCCAGTTCATTCCAAAGGTGTTCAATGGGGTTGAGGTCAGCGCTCTATACAGGCCACTGGAGTTCGTCCAAACCATGTCTTTATGGACCTCGCCTTGTGCAGAGGGACACAGTCATGCTGGAACAGGCCGGACCTTCCCAAAACTGTTGCCACAAAGTTGAAAGCATATAATTGTCAAAAATGTCTCTGCATGCTGAAGCATTTACATTAACCTTCTTAAATAAGAGGCCTAGTCCAAACCCTGAAAAACAGCCCCAGACTATTATGCCTCCTCCACCAAACTTTACTTGTGTCATTATGTGCTTGATTTTATACACCCGTTTGTGAATGAGTGTGGCTGAAACACCTGATCTTAGTGATTAGGAGGGGTTTCCACATACCTTTGGCCATTTAGTGTACTTTCTGGACTACAACCTAGCAGTGACACTCACTTGTGAAAAAAAACATCCCACAGTTGTCCATATCTGGAAGTCCAAGAGCATAAAAAATGCCTGGTGGGATTGTGTGATAGAAACCCAGCTGGTGAGGAAACCAAGTAAAAAACAGATTCTATTTTGTTTAACTGAGAATCCAGAAATGGGATTTAGAAGAAGAACTTTTGACTAACCTAAGAAGGTTGAGTTAGGCAAACTCTAGTGTTTTCAAGAAAAGCAGTGTAATAAGTTACCATATAATTTTAAATTGAGCTGACTCATTTTTTACAGTGTTTTACAGTGTTCAACTTAGGGAGCATATAGAGGAAATAGATAGATCAGGACAGAGTTTCAAATATTTAATTTTTCATTGCCTTGGCTTTTGTACTGACAGTTCTAGCTGGCCCACTATCAGTGTGCCAGTGAAGAACACTCCTTGTGTCTCAATCAAGGAGAGAAAATGTACAGTTTTATGCAGCTGCTTGCCGATACTGAACCACTTATATGCATCAGCTTAATGTTTTTGCAATCTGCTGGCAATCACACAATTTCTTCACACAGCAGGGCACAGACAGCCTGCTTCTAATCAGTTTATTGCCATTTGTTTCATTTCATGCCAGACTCATTCTTTTTTTCTTCAAACTTTTATAGATATTTACTTACTATACCTTCACTACGGCTGCTGTATAACAGTACCACTTAGTGCAGTACTCTCTTTACTGACATCTAGTGATATGATGCACCATATATAGCCTCAACCATAACCTTTACGTACCCTCCATTAAGATGTACTTATATAGTTAATCCAGGAAGGAAACACACAATGTTCACATCTGCTCTTTAGTCATTAACTCACTTATACAACATTGTCATATGGGCCCCTTTTATCAGCATTAGATTCTACCCACTTTCCAGCAAGACAAAGAGATTAACATGGATTAAGATTATCCATTCTTTCAAACTCATCTTAGATCATGGTGATAAACTCTGTCTGTGTGCTTGGCTGTTATCAGACCACAATTTTATTTTGTATTTTTATTGGTTGGCTCTGCACTGCAGCACAATAGATTTGAAATGTAACAGTAACTATGAGGTTAAAGTGCATAATATGAGCTTGAAAGGGGAATTCCATAGATTTTTCAAACTGCGTAATCGTTAAGATGCAAACAGAATCATTTAGAGCGATTTAATATGAAATGCTCTTGCTTACTCGCTGTGGTGGTGATATTAACCACGTGTTGGAAGCATTTAGTGCCTTTAAAAGCTACATCACAGAAAGTAATTACATGAAATGGTAACGAATATGTTGCCTTATGCTTGAGACATTGCATTACGATAAGGCTTTGGCCTAAAACATGTTGTTTTGAATACATTCATAGCAGGGCGTGGCAACCAAAGAAAAGTTATTGTTATTTTACCATTATCATCATTGCATATAAAAAGACACATGCAGGTTCACCGGTTGTTTTGAATAGTAAATAAAATGGCTACATTTGCATTGTAGACTTTGCAACCCCTGGTTCATACTTAAATTTTAAAGAAATCTGAGTCAGTTTCTCAACATTGTACAATTTCCCATCAAAACCATTCTGAATAATTTTGTTAACATCTCATCCTGAGCATAGTTACAAATATGGGTTTATCATATATTTTTTCTAGAGGTATATTGCTTTTGTCTTCATCAAGGTCAAATACATGTTCAGTAGGTTTGCACTGGATGACTGACTTTGCAAGTCAAGAATATTCTGCTTCTAGACCCTTGAAAGACTCAGTAGTTGCTTTGGCATTGTCCTGCTACGAGATGAAGCTCCATCCATTTGGTTGGAAATGAGCACTTAAGATGAGTGGTGTTCCACTGGCAATCATATATAGCTATGGCACCACGGATGAGGTAGTATGCTTTAGATCATGCGCAGCTGGTTGTTTTGACCATTTTCTCCTTCCATCACTTGTGGTAAGAGCTATAAAGACCTGCTGGTGTTTTTTTTCATATGTAGGTGTTCTTGATATGTTTTACAGCTTTTTACAGCTTCATGATTGGAAAGTGTTCTTTCGCCATCCACTTTAGTGGTCTTCTGTAGACCAGGTCATTTACTGTTGGTGCATACCAAGCATTTCACACTTGATGTTGTAGCTCTAACTTGGATTTTTCTGACTTTTGGGCCTCATCGTGGCCTACTTTGCTGTTATTGACACTTTGTGGGTCTCCATGTTTTAAGACAGCAGCAGACTCTAAATGCAAATGCCACATTTAAGCTGTGTTCAAAAGCTAGGTTGCAGTCCAGGTGGTCTGCATATCAAGACCAATACATCATCTAAGGCTGTTCCAATTAGAAAGATTTCTTCAAATACAAGCAAAAAAATGCAGCCTACATTTTGACGACTTTTGAGGACACTACTGGAATATAATTCATGGTCTTGTTCAAATTGTTTTGCCTGCCACGTATTACCTAATTCACATCAACATTTTGCTTGCCAGCTTGTCATTCACATCAAGAGTATTATTTTACATTAAATTTTGTGCCCCAACTTCTTTCTGATGATGGGCCAAAACAGCCTTGGTGGACCATTCCATTTTGCATTATGTAATACAGACAAGAAGTTCCTAGGGCAGTCCTTCCAAGGACCCACCTTTCTGGGCTGTAGCCTAGCTTTTGAAACACCACTCTATAAACAATTCTGGACCTTCTCAGACACAGCTGGCCAGGAATCAACTACTTATGGTTTCTTGATATGAGAGAACTATTAACTCACCGGCCAGTTTTTGACCGTACACCTGCTTAGACCAGGCAATTATACAATCAGCCAATCTTGTGGCAGCAGCACAAAGCATAAAATCATACTGACGCAGGTCAAGAGCTTTAGTAAATTTTCACATAAACATCAGAATGGAGAAATATTTGTATCTTCATGACTTTGACTGTGGCATGGTTGTTGGTGCCACATGGAGTCGTTCGAGTATTTCAGAAAATGCTGATCTCTGAATTTTCACACAACAATCTAGAGTCTAGAGTGTAAAAAACAAAAGCATCCAGTGAGCTGCAGTGCTGCGGGCAGAAATGCCATGTAAATGAGGAAAGCTAGAAGAGAATGGCCACACTTGGAGCTGACAGCAAGACCACAGTAAGTCAGTAACCACTCTTTACAACAGAGGTGATCAGAAAAAACATCTCTAAATGCCCAGCATGTCAAACCTTGAGGTGGATGGGCTACAACAGCAAGAAGACTTTATCAGATTCCACTCCTGTCAGCCAAGAAGTACAATTTGAGGCTACAGTGGGCACAGGCTCATGGAAACTGGACAATTGAATATGTCTGGTCTGATGAATCTTGATTTTTGCAGATGGTAGGGTCAGAATTTGGCAAATCAGCATGAATCCATGGGCCTAGCCTAACTCATGTACTAACAGTGAAGCAGGTTGTGGTGTAGTGGTGTGAGAGGATGTTTCCTTGGTGCACTTGGGGCCTCTAATACCAGCTGAACATTGTTTATACAGCCTATCTGTGTATTGGTGCTGGTTCCAAATCCATGACAAGTTCAGGCCTTTGTCAACAGTTATCAGTCCTTTCTAAAAACAATCCCAAACACCTTTGGGATGTGGCAGAACATCCGAGTTGCAGTGTGAATTTGCAGCTGACATTTCTGCAGTAGGAATTCAGGCTGTTCTGAGAGCAAAGGACAGACAAGCCCAGTATCAGAATGCTGTTTCTAATAAGGCTGTGATTCCTGTATGGTAGATCTAAATACTTTTTAATTAAACCTGATGTTCTTTTATCTGCTGGAGTACAGAGCCAAAACTACAATAAATAGTGTTGTTGCCAGTTACTTGGCAGTGCAGTAAACTGCATTGTCTAGAAGAATGGAGAGATGCTGGAAGACAATGAGACAGATCAAAGAGCAAAGTCTGCAGCCCTTCAGTCTGGATTGCTCAACGCGCAGCCATACAAACCCTCTTAAGAAAGTCGGGTGTACTTTAAGTACATTCAGATCTCATCTATTGAACCTTGTTTTTAACCCTTTAAGCTCCTCTGTACATCTACATTCAGAGAGAACCAACAGAAACATCTGGTTGGTGTCCCAAACTTGTGTATGACTATTCATTGACTCTACAATGCTCTCACCAAATTCTCTCTGGTTCAGCTGGCTTGCCTTTTCTTTTTCTGGGCTTTCTCAAGATAACAGCAAACATTAGATTGTTTGTGTTTATTCCAAAATGTTCGGTTGGCGTGTCATGAGCCTAAACAAAAAACAATGCAAAACGATTTGGTGAAAGGAGTAAGTAATAGAAGTCTGGACCCATGAAGGATTGGTGGTTATTAACCCTTTGGTTCTGCATAAAGCTGAGGAATCAAAAGACCTGCACATGGATTATTTAGTGCTGTGTCATATTGTTCTGCACTGATGCATGGATGCTTCCTCAAACTTTGGTCAGATATTCCATTTGTCACCTTGTTTCATAAATGAAACACCTATGTTCACACACACACACACACACACACACACACACTTACACTTACAAAGAGTCCACTCCCCTGAGCTCTGGGACCATTAGATAATGATTAGGTTCAATAAAATGAGTTAAAGTTTCACTCTAGCAGGAAGCAGACCAGGCTTTGCAGGCTTCATTCTGTTAGTCCTGGGCCAGTCAAGGAGCTCTCCTGACAGGTAACTCATTATGGTCTCTCATTCTTTTAATCTGACTTTTATGCTTTCTGCTATATCAGCTCACTTTCTACCACTCCTCAAAGCATCTATCTTAACTGAATATGCATGGAGAAGTGGCATAATGTCAAGGTGTGAGTTTCTGAAGTGGCAGACATGTTGTGCTCTTGGTTTGACTTTGTTGAGGTTTTCGTCAAGGGTGTTGGCCGGCTCTGGCCATGTGCCGGGCATTTAACTCAAAGACAGGTGGTCCCAGGCAAAGTCAGTTGCTGCTTTTTAATGTAAATGTATTTGCAAAGGTGTGACTGTAACGAGTCATTTGTATTTTAGAGTCTTTAATTGAATGCTATGAGAATATCATCAGAGGTCATTGAGCGTGAATGATCATGGCCTGAGATTTTTTGCCTCTAGGCCTCAGCAGTGAAATGTTAATCATATGCTTCAAAATGAATTTGTAATTGTGAAATTACTTCAAAATGTGTTCTGTGCATTAAATCTGCTGTATTTACTCATTTTCTATTTTTACATCTTCTGTGGTCTGACTGTTGCACATTTACTTTCGGTGTGAAAGATATCAATTACAGTTGATAACTGTAAATAAATGTTTGCTGTCCTTGTAATTATTAATGTTATTGATTGTCATCTCTAATCTTGGCTCATTGATCATTGATTTAGCTCTGTGAAAGGCTCTCCACATTCTCGCTTTTACACATGTAACAGTCAGAACTAGACTGAGCTAAAGTGGCTGCAAGTAAAGACAGAAAAAGAGGATGAAAAAAAGTTATTTAGAGGTAAAGAAAGGAAGTGAAAGGAATGAAAGGTGACAGAATAGTTTCAAAGTCACCTTCCCACACTCTCGAGGCGTGTCACCTTCTCAGTACAGATCATTGACACCGGTCAAACAGCGTTTATTACTCACTTGGCCCATGTTCTGTACAGGCCTGGACTTAACAGGAACTTTCAGTTTAGCTCAAGATTTGGAAAGTCCTTGGAGAGTCCTAACTTATTAAAAAAGAGTAAAAGTATTTTATTTGAAAATTGAATACTCACAACAACCTCATGCCAGAATGACTACAGGGCTTAGATTTTACAATATAATCTACATATTAGGTGTGGTGGCACAGAAATAGGTTCTAGGTTAGTTTTACACATCTGACCTTAGAGGTGGGCAATATGAATGATTTTATGTGTGTGATAAATTGTATTATCATTATTAAAGCTTCCCTGAGGACATTAAGGATATTGTCTATTTATAGAATTCTGACCCATTGCATGATTTGTTTTTAAAAAAACATATTTAAGTGCAATTCATGTGGCAAATTATGTGAAATGTTGAATAAAAACCATGTCCGTTTCAAAATATTGTGAAGATATTTTTGCAATATTGCTCATCCCTACCTGACCCACACAGTTCTACTACAGTAATTTAACCTAACTCAGTTTAGTAACTTGTTACAACATATCGTTGCTGTCAGAACAAAACCTTGTGTCTCCCTTTTGGTTGTTTTTTTTATCTTTCTTATATAATTTTATTAGATTGCCTTTATATTGTGTGCAATTTCTTGAGGAAAGGACAAATAGAAATGGTTCAAAATTAGTTGGAATGTTCTTACATTCAGTTAAATTAATAGTTAGAAGTTTGTTGTAATCATTTTGGAGATATACGGTTTGGCCTTAAAATGATCATATATGAAAACCTATCATAGGTAAACCTTTTAACTCCATTTTGGGTTTTTTCTTGGATTATTTGAAAATGCTACATGCTGCATTTATGACAATGAATAAACGGAAGTTTTAAAAAACAAACCTCACATTAACAGACGTTGCATTAAAAATGCCTTTACCTTTTCTTATACAACATTCTAATAAAGTAATTTTAGTATCTTTAGTATTTAGTATTTATCTGTAGCTCATTATAGGGCACAAAAGCTGTTGTGTTACTGCAGCTTTCTTGTGATACCTGACTCGAACTATGATCAGTTTGATACGAACACTAAACTCGATTTTCAAAGTCAGTCATGTATGTAAGGTCACACAGACGCAAAGCTAGCTTCATCTGACATTAGAACCAGCTCAAGAATGGCCAAATAACCTTTCCGTGACCTTTTTCCAGGTGGTGACTCATAAAACCTGCGCACACATAAAACACAGCACAGTCGCATACAAAGAGAAGAATGCACAGACAATGGCGAATAGAGCCGAGTCACACAGTTCGTCATCAAATGTCTCTCGCCCACTATTTTGGTGCCCGTGCACTTTAATCTACAAAGGGAATACTGGAAAAGAGGGACCTGAAATACCCTCAGAGCTCCAATTACCAACCAAGATCACATGCCTGGTCACCCACCCACATGCACACTTGTTTTTATCCAATGTCAGGATGTAGGGTCAAACATGCCCTATGTGTGTGTATATATATAAGTGATCCCATATCATTGTTATTTAAAAACTCTTTTTTTTACTACATCATTTGAAAACACCTATTTCTTATATTTCGCACCAACATGTCATGATAAAAGGACCAATAGAAATGCTCCAAAATTACTTGGAGTCAGATCTTTACATTAACTTTTTGCCTTGTCTTGTAAAGTTACTATTTTTTTGTAAACTTTTTGGACAGTGATGGTATGCGTTAAATTAAGTACCTATATGTACTGCAAATTTTTCTAAGCTTAAAAAATAAACATGCAGCTTTTGTAAGCATTTTACAAAATGAGGACCATATTGTTGGTCCCCACTTTTCTCTAAATGGTCCTCTTTCTGGTTTTTCTCTGCTTTTCCTACAAAATCAGGCCAACATACACATTTGAGCTAATGTTTACAATATATGCAATGTGTAAAGGGATACATATTATTGCCTAAAGAAATCATTAAAATAATTAAATGTTATAATATAATTTAGCAGCTCAAAGCACAGACTAAGCTGTAATAGCACAATGACATACTATCTTTGAATTTGTTCTGTAATTATATTGTATTGGTTATGAAATCTTACTGTATGTATCATTTTCCTTCAATATTTCAGGATTTTTTTCTCATGATGGCAAATGCACATCTGCTGCTCTTGACCCTTCTAATCTGCTCTGTAAGTGCTGCATATGTGTGTGTGTGTGTGTGTGTGTGTGTGTGTGAGTAGGATGCAGAGATCAGCCTGGTTACTGACCGGCACAAACATCTTAACACCTTGCACTCTTGTGGCCTTGTTTTTCTATGAATCAGTAACTGTACTAAAGTCCACTCTCAGATTTTATTTCTTAATCACTGAAGACTGTATTGCACCTCAGTGTCAAGCAAAAGGGGACAATGCCACTAACACTGTCTACTGCTTTGCCCATGTCTAGAAGATGAAAGATTTAAAGAAAGTTAAATAATTCTAAAGTTTATTAAAGCACATCATGGAAAATTCAAAATTAAATACATGCCATTCAACTCCAGTCCATAGGAATTAAGCTGTATAAGCAGCTATTTTTAATTCATTGTCATTGTGATGGCACGAAAAATAAATTTACTTATAACAGCCTGTTTAAATGGAAAAAAGAATGGTTGGAGAATAGATTGTGACTGTTTTGGTACATAAACCCACAGACATGTAATAAGTGGACCTAAAAAAAAATCAAGATATGGGCCCTTTAATGAATTGAGTGTCAATGTTAATGGACTGAGTGTTAATGAATTTTGTCAAAAGGCTCAATCATTCTCACTAGTTGTTTCTCGCACAGGCTTATGGAGCTGGTCTGGAGGACAAGAAAGGGCCACTGGACCATAAAGTTTTAGATGTGCCAGAGGCCACACCAGTGCCATTTGCTATTTTTCAGGTAAGCCATGTCTATGAGTTTACGTTATGATTTTTAACCATGCGTTGTCAACATAAAAAATCCTTCAATGTGATGATTGCATGTGTCTATTGTGTACAGTTTACATCCACAGTAGAAAGTGTGTCATCATACCGTGTGAGTGGCGAGACAGAGGGAAAGATCAGCATATCTTCAGATGGCTGGTTGTACCTTGAAGAACCGCTGGAATGGAGCCCTGAGAAACGTCATGCTCTAAATGTAATATATACATTAAATAAAAAAACACACCTTTCATTAAAGTAAATGAATGAATGAATAAACAAATAAATTAATAAATACATAAATGTTTTGTAAGTATAAAGTAGGGATGTACATTTCGATCAAATTTGGTATTTGAGTAGCCGTCCACGTGATAACTCTGATGTTAATACATTAAAAAGATCAGTCCTGCAAAAGTTTAAAGCAAGCAGAAGAATACATGTTGAATATGTTTTATTATTCAAAAAAGTCAAGGGAAATCAGTAGTTTTGTATTTTGCTGGTAACGCAGGATGCCTCTTCGGATGTGAGTTAAAACCACAGCTAGCTGGTACAATACTGGATGGTGATGATGTCTTTTCTCCTCAGAGGACGATGTGCTAGCGTCAACATGTTTGTTTGTAAAAGAAATATATTGACACCATTTCTGGACCTATCTCACATCAGCTAGTTAGCCTAGCTAGCGACAGAGCCACGCTACATCTGCCTTCATAATCACGTTATTGACAATTCGCCCTTACTAAAGAGTCCCTGGCAACGTGTTCACACTAAGGCACTTGTGTTTCGGAATGGAAGTCATGTCAAGCTGCATTATGTGATCGTTCCATCATACTGGCAGGGTTCATTCTTTGTTTACAGGCTGCAAACAGGCAGAAATTGCTGTTTTATTGTGTTCAAACTTCTCATGCTTAAAAAGTGAATCAAATGAAAAAGGAGTGTATCTTTACCAACTTCTGAGAGACGCCAAACAACAATACACTGATGGAATTAGCCTTACTAAAATAGCTGGTGTGTTTCATTGTCCTTCTAAGTAATTCAGAATTTTCAAGTCACTTGAAGCCTATGTACAGTTGACTGATGATTATTCTGCTCAGGCACTGCATATTTATCTCAGTTACTGCCATATTTCACTCGGTTACTGCAGATTTAACCACAGAGGATTCATATGATTTTTAATTGAACCCAGTTACTAGCACAATTCCTTCAGCTTTGGCATATTTCACCCCATTAATGACAGATTCTACTGCAGGCAGCCTTTTAGTTAGTTTTAGCTAGTTAGCAAACTAATGACAATATTGCTGTCCTGTATATATTAATATATGTATTAATGTGCAAATATACATGTGTATATACTGTAGTATACATATTAAACCACAAAAATCCATATTAGATCATGTGACATGTTTACACTGAGGTCAATCTAACGTCTTTAAAATAAACAAACAAATGCTAATCATCTGACACCAGTAGCTAATGTTACTAGCCTAGTCACAGTAAAATTCACTGTGAATTCTGGCACCTCAAACAGTCAGCCGAGTACTCAAGTACCCGTGCACATAGTTAATATCAAGAGTATTTGGATTAAATTTACTACGTTTCATAAAAAAATAAATGAATAGACAAATGAATAATTAGCTGGACCAATCCGACGTTCTGTCATATAAACGTTGCGTAATTAATGTACAGTTGTGTACAGTATGTAATGTAATGTACAGTTTTATGTTTATTTTTTATTAATGTAAGGTACAGTTTTATGTTTTATTTTTTCCAGTATGTTAAGCTCTAATATACAGAATAAATAAATAGATAATTGTGCACTACAATTGAGAGCAATCAGAGCAATCCCATATTTAAGTTTGTTCCCTGTTGATTTTCACTTAGAAAACATCTAATACAACTGAGAGGGTTCAAACTTATGCACATGACTGTATCATCATTTAGAATAACTGAAATTGAATCTAAACGTGATATTGAGATGATGTATGACATTTTTTACAAGACTTTTTATAAGATCACTTTTCCTGTTCCAGCCATTGAATGTGTTTATATTATTTCAGATAGAGGCACTGTCAGCTGATGATAACACCCTTGATGGACCTTACACAGTTGTTCTCCAAGTTGTGGACGTCAACAACAATCCTCCTGTCTTTACTCAAAGCCAGTATAGTGGAAGTATCAGAGAGCATTCGCCCGCAGGTGAGACACACACAAACAAACCACTTGTGATGAAAAACAAAAGAACTCAGTGCTGAGCCTTGAGGAACCCCCAACTATTTGTGATTGTATTCCTGTCTTCACATGGGGATGCAGGGGTGCCATTTGTGCAAGTGCTTGCCACTGATGATGATGATGCAAACACACCTAATGCTCAGCTGAGCTACAGCATAGAGAACCAGATCCCCAACCCCTCTGGCCAATTCTTCTTTACCATCAACCCAAACAATGGAGAAATTTCCACCACAGAAGAGGGTAAGTGACCCAAATGGACATGAGTATGTTATTGAGAATGATGCTGTGTGCCTGATGTATGCAAAATTGTAATACCATAAGGCAGGCTTTTTCAATTCCAGGTCCTGAAGCTTGGATTGCAGTTGGGTGATTTACCTGCTTAAACATACTTCATTTAACTCACCTGTTAATTGCTAGGTTTAATAGGTACGTTTGAGCAGGGATATCACCAAACTGTGCTGGACATTGGCTTTCCAGAACTGGAGTTGAACCCACTTGTATATGATGCATTAATCCTAATGATGATTTTTGCAGAGTAGCACACAAAATTATAACAATAAAAATGGTTTATGGCCATGTAAAAAGAATTATGACTGTTTTTGATACATAAAGCCACAATAAAGGTTATACATTGACTTACTGGGGGAAAAAGTAGTTTACAAGAGAAAAGTGGAATGTGGATCAAGGTAAAATCAAAATTTTAATAACAAAACCTTTTTTACTTTGAAAGTTCATGTCCCTGGTCACATTAGGTATGATTCATTATATAATTTAAAAGACAAAATTTTAGTTTTTCCATAATCTTATTGAACTATAGTGACTTTTGCCCACCTCTAAAACATCTTCCTAGTTTAGGGCAGGGAAAAATAATACAGTACTAACCAAAAAGATCATGTTTCACCTCCCCCTCCCTTCACCCCCACCTTTCATTGAGTAAAAACGTTTAGCTAGCTTAGAGACCCTCGGTGGTACTTTGTTTCATTTGGAAATACAACATGGTACAGAAGGAATCCGATCCACATTGACTTTCAAGCTAGGAGGACTGCGTCTGATTAGACTGTCCTCATCCACCATGCCCTAAGACTGTATGTTTTTGTATGTGTTCTTGTTGCTATCTGTGGTGTACGTGTTTTGTTTTTACAGGAAATGATATAATGATGTTGCTATGGCAATGGACATCATATCAAGCTGCTGTCTTGTAGGCTACTTTTGTAGGCAGTGTGATGTTTCATCAGCAGGATTGGCTATTAACACAATTCACTGTAGCGCTTAGAGAAGAAACAGCCATAAACCTCAGCAGGATCTAACAAATGCACACGTTTACAGTAACAACTTTCAAAATAAAAGATAAAAATATGAAATTCCCAAAAGATATGCAGTTACTCAGTATTATTTATATGATTTTCATTAAAGCAGTTAAGCATGTAAGTTAAAGACCATTTAGAACGCAGCTGCAACAGACCATGTTTGAGAGTTTCACTGTTGATTTGCTGTAGCTCAAACTGTTTAAATGCATCTGCGCTGACCAGTGCAGGAGAGCGAAGAAAACAACCAGCTTTTCTAATCAGCATTTCTCATTTTCACTATCATTCAGATTCATTGTTAAATGTTAGACTTTAGCACTTCAAATTCAATCTTTTCCTTTTTTCAGCCAAAAGCTTTCAGCCCTTTTTCTCTTTTGGTGGTCGAAATTTCGATACATTAATATACTACACACTATACACTTAAAAACAGTTAGAGTTAGTGTTCAATATAAAACTGTGGCACAGCATAAATATACATGTTTATGAGCATATGTGTCTTTAACCCTCTAAATGTTGTGGCATTTTAGGAGCAGCATTTCTGAGAGCCAAAACTGGAGTGATATACAGTCGTGGTGAGACCCGGGGAAGTGTTGACGTTCTGAAGAAAAAGTTTGATGAATTCTGCTCTCCAAAGACTGAAGTGCCCCTAGAGAATAATCCCTTCTTCACATGTGTCCAGCATGCTGGTGTGAACTTATTCTCATTCATACACACACACACACATCATATGCTGATCAATGATCACACATTATAGACACTTTTACTAATCTGTGTGATTTATGAATAGGCGTTTTTACCTGGATCTACGTCTTGGCAGTTTGTCTAAGTTCAGTGCTGTGTCTGCTGCTTTGTATTAGTGTAATAGTGAGGTTCCCCACCATACATGATGCTGAAAAAGAGGACTGCTGGCTTCAAGGCTCTCTATCATGGAAGACAGAATGTTTCTTGCTTTTGGGTTAGAGTTAGGGTTAGGGTTAGAAAGTTTACCACCTGAAAACTTTACCAGTTAGAAACTTTACAGATTTGAAACTTTACAAATTGTACCTTTTACTCCGCAACATATGTAAACTAAGGTGCAAAAAGGTTCTGTTTTGAATTCACCAAAGTAGGGATGAAACTGAATTTTCAAATGTAGCTCAAATGGTCATGAAATTTTGGCAAGTTCATTAGGACTTTTGATATGCCAGTTACCTTTTCTGTTATATATTTATATGTTCGACATTGTCATATTAAAAAGCATGAATGGTCTAAGCTCTATACTCTACCAGAGGGCAGTGTAGATCCCATGTCTTACGTTTTAGTCAGAGAGAGTTTCTTATCTGGTTATTCCCAAAAAAGAAATGTAGAAAGACTAATGTGGCCATCTAAAGGCTATGCTCTTAAAAAAGATGGTTCTTCAAGGGTTCTTTAGTAAAGGCAGTGGTTTTATTTATAGGCATGGGTTCTATGTAGAACCATTTCATGTATAAATGGTTCTTTGCATAGTGAAATAGTTCTTCAGATTGATGGAGAATGTGTTGTATATGGTTCTATATAGAACCTTTTTGAAAACGGTTCTAAACAGCAAGATTCTTTCTATTGTTACAATGTCAAGCTTGAAACAATATAAGACCGTTGAGCAACTGAAGTGTTATATCAAGCAAGAATGAGAAAGTTCCACTTTCAAAACTACAGTTGATGTCCTCAGTTCCCAAATTATTACTGAACTTTGTTAAAAAGAAAGGTGTAAAAGTAAAGGAACTCACACCCCTCATGTGGTAAACATGCCCCTGTTCTAACTTTTTTAGGAAGAGTAATAATAAAAGGAATAGTTAATTTGTTGAAAATTTATATATCTTGCCTTAGTAGTAGGGTTTTCAGTTGAATGAAGTGTTTACAATTAAATATAGGTCAAAAAAGATTTGCAAATTATTGTTGTCTGTTTTTTTCTTTTTCTTACTGTCCCAATGTTTTGGAATTGGGTTTGTAAGAAAGGTTGGAAATTGGTCAGACATTATAAATTATTATTGGTTATTGACTATAAAACCACACAAATATTATAAGTGGACTTCAGGAGAGAAAATTGTAGAATATGAATCCTTTAAGGCCAGCATGCTTAAGCCATTCTCATCCACCACACCCTTAGATTGCATGTGTGTTTGTGCACATACTTTTGCACATACTCATATTTCTTTTGTCTGTCTGTAATGTACATATGTGTGCATACACATACATTATGTGTTTTAGTTTGTGTGTGCCTGCCATTTGTGTTTCTATTCATTTTACAAGTGCTTGTGAGCTGTGATTAAGGGCATTGAGTTGGAGCAGTAGCATCTGAATTTTCATCAGGGCAGATTACAGCAGTCTCCCAGATTAGGCTAGACTTCAACCAGATTAGAACCTGAAACTTTCTCCATTCACGCTTCAGTCTGGACATGTCTGAGCAGAATAAAAAAAGTGGTGCCGTGTTCGCCTATGATGAGAGAAAATATTTTCTCAGAGATGCAGTACACTTGGGATTGCACTCACTGTCCACTTTATTAGAAACAGCTTACTATAGGGGTGCACAATTACAGACTGTAGCCCGTCTGTTATTATGTACAATTTATCAGCTGCTTTTCTACCCCATTAATCATTGGACAGTTACTGACTACAGGACTGCAGGAACAGTGACAGTGTACCAGTGATATCAGATGTCGATATCACTGCTACAGTGCCATGAAAAAGTAATCACATATTTAGTTAATTTTATTTTTGCACACTTGTCACATATTGAAACATGAAATACAGTTTTAAATGATAATATTATATGTAAAATCCATTAACCCTATTTAGTTGATAACTGGGATCAATTAAATCTGACAGACAAAGACTTGATTACTGCCAGCCCTGCTAAATCGAAACATCACTTAAAACATTTCCAGCAGTGTAACGTCGGCTTAAACATCTCAACAAGCGGCACACTATGCACTATGCTGCAATCAAGAGAAATTCCAGGAGAGATCTGAAACAGAAGAGCAAGTCCACCTCTGAAATGATTTGCTCTGCCAAAAGACCTCCCACTGTGTGAAATAAAGCAATTCTGTAAAGAGTGGGCCAGAGTTCCTCCCAGTGATGGGAAAGACTGACCTTCAGGTATAGGAAGCGTTTAGTTAACGTTTTTGCTTCTAACGGTGGGGCAATTTGTTATTAAGTTTGGGGCAATTACTTTTTCACATGGGTGATACAGGTGTTGCAAACCTTTTTTTCCCCTCAATAAATTAAGTGATCATTTAAAACTTGTTTGATGTTTCCTCACATTTGCCTTTTCTTATATTATATGCAAAAACAGAAGAAATAAATGAGGATGGCAAATTCTTTTTCATGGCACTATATGTTGAGAGTGGTCAGCACCCAAAAATATTCAGTCAAGAGCTGTTCTGTGAGAAACTGATCATTGATGCTGGCTAGAGGATGGCTAACAAAAAACTTGCATTAACAGATGGGCTACAGTCTCTAACTGTTTCCAATAAAATGGCCAGCAAGTGCATGTCCAGCATTCCAAGTAGGAAATTCCAGCTCAACAGTTAAAGTACACATAGTAATAGTTTCATATTATTACAGGTAAACACTGATCATTCCACATGGTCCATATCTAAAGTTCATATATTGTCCTTTTAAAATACATTGTATCATTGTAAACCATAAATACTTTAATCTCTTTTTTGTGTGCACACAGAAAGCAGGAGATTTAACGCTATCCAGGACCCAGACTACACTTTGATTGTGCGAGCAGAGGATTTAGGTGGTGGAACCCCCAATGCTCTCAGCAGCACCACTCGGGTCAACGTAGCCATCATTCAAAACCTCTGGGTCCGCCCAGAGCCAATCACCATCAAGGAAAATGTGTTAAATGAATATCCCATGCTGATTGCTTCGGTAGGTTCTGCTTTTTTATGGAGAAAAATATAATTTCATGAACAAGATGAAATGAGTTGCAGGCTCATTTCAGGCTGAATTAGTAGTGAATGCAACTCAGATATGTTACTATAATTACTATAATTTACCAATATCTTCCTAAATTTTTTTTTCTTAAATTTGTTCTTGAGAAAGGTCCTAAGAAAAAGTCTACATCATGACATATTTTAAGAAGAAAATTCTTCTTTAGAATGGTTGGAGAATGAGGCCCATTGAGCTTAGTTACTGAATATTTACACCTTCTCTTAAGATGAAGTGCTGGAGAAACCAACAGAAATTCATCACCATACCTGTGTGCACTATAATTAATACTTCATGTACAATACTCTGTGTGCAATGTTCCATGTGCAATATGTGTAAAATATCCATATAGTGTAAAGATTTTTTGCTTTTTTACTTATAATGTTTATGTTGTTAATTTTGTGAAGGATAGAGTTTATGTTTTCATCTTTAGTATTATATATATTGTCTATACAGTAATAAGTCACAAACTGTTAACTTGTTAAGTAATTAACAAGGTTAATACTTTATTTGTTAATTCTCTCCTTGATAATTCCTTTTGAGTGTCTTGCTATCCCTTTGCTGCTGTAGCACTGTGAACTTCCTCAGTTGTGGAATAAAGGATTATCTTATCTTATCTTATCTTAAACCACACAGAAAGCGCAAAGAGAATCAAAAACATGACCTTTTGGTTAAATAAGCTACTAAACACTAAATGCTATATGCTGTGATTTTACTCGTTTTTTCAGTTTTATTCAATTAAACTTGTACACATTGTTTTCTGTGAAATCTATACTGGATTTCTTTCTATGCAAGTGGGTTAATAGATTTGTTCTAAACATGTTATCATCATTTTAAAGTAACGTATGCAGTTACTAGTTAAGACATGACTTAAGGATTTGTGGTGCACCTGAATTCAGAAAAACGAAGGTTTGAAACTATCTATTGTTAACTAAGGGCTTAGTAAAGGCTTTAAACTTAAGTATAAACTTATGCAAAACTGGTGCAACCCAGTCCAGAACCACAGTACTTAAAATTTTAATGTTAATTATAATGTGGACCTGACAAATAACAAAGAACAGTGGCTATTAGAATCGGGCCTTCAGTTCAGGCCAAATGTGTTAAAACTCGGTCAAAAAAGGAACAAAACACTTCTAAGACAATATTAAGTTTTTGCTAGCGCCCCTTGTGGAATTCTAGCAGTATGCTAGCACTAACCTAATGCCGATTCATGTTAACATTTTTCCACATAAAACATGGTCATTTGTAAGCTTGTAAAAGACTGTGTTTTGTTTGATGCTTATAACAGAAATATTAGCTTATGTTTTACCTTGTAGCAGTTTTACAGGGAAACCAGGTTAGAATACTGTTCGTATCCACACTCAGTGATGTATCTAGGACTTCCAGAGGGCCTAGAATGACATTTTTCCTTCACAAAATTGGTCCCACCCGTTGTAAAACAAAATATGATTGGACTGTCACTTCATAATTATATTAGCAGTGAATCTGACAAGTAAGCCCTTCAGTTCAGCTCCTGAAGTACTAACCAATGAAAGATCTACCTGGATACCACAAAAAATAATTTTCCCTTATTTTAATTTATTATATTTTTTGTTTCCAACAAAAACTTTTCAAAAAAAAATACTTTTATAATACTTGAAGTGTTTACATACAACAAACACATTTTTTCTAAATATGATTCTTTTAATGATGATACTAAATAACAAAAAATTGCAAACGTATTTTTAATTTTACTGAAATCGTTAGACTTTCTCAGAAGGGCCTAAGTATTCCCCAATGGAGAAAAAAAAATTCAGAAAAAAAGGTTCTTAACTTTAATTTACATTAATGTAATACAGTTGCCTTCAAAAATTTTGAACCATTTTTGTTCATGAAATACACAACATGTAGATGACCGCTGACATTTTCAAGTGGTGTAAAACAAATAATAAATAAAAAATTATGATGTTTTGATATATGTGTGTGTTTTGTAGGTGCGCTCCAATGACCCCAATGCACTATACAGGCTGGTGCAAAAGGAGAAAGAGATTCCTTTTCCATTCACTATCAATGAAGATGGAGCCATCTTTGTTACTGAGCCTTTGGACAGAGAGCAGAAGGACATGGTAAAGCATAGCTGCATACGCACATACGCATCTCCTGTTCAAATAGGCAGTTTCTGTGTGAAGGAAAATCATTGGCATTGAACTGATTGAACTCAGTACTAAAGACGGCAGAACGATACTTTTTCTTTTCCATCACAGATACTGAAACCTTGAGTATCGGCCAGTAACCATAGCAATGTAATATTTTTAAGCTTTAATACTTAACTCTTTTTGCAGACCTACTGGTGGGCATTCTGTTGGCAGCATGTTTTTTTTTTAATCAATATAATCATATAAAATATACTTTCTCACAACTGTTATCCAATTAACTAGGACAATGTTGGCTCTCTGTGTGAGAAATGTTCTGACGCTGTGCTGGGCAATAAAGGGTGAAAGGGGGGAGTGTGAGAACCCCCTGCTGTAAAAACAGTCCACACTTCTCCAAAAGATGACCATTCTAAGATAAAATGGACAGCACAACTGCAGCTTTCCTTATATAAAAAAAATCTCAAGAAAAGACTTGCTTGCTCGCCTACAAAAATGAAAATTAAGTTTGGGTCTGCCCAGACTCATCTACTTATTTACATTACACTGCTCAGTGTTATTAACCGATACAGCCATCTCACATTTTACCAGAGTAACAGTGTACATATGCAATGGAAAATTCCCCTGAATGCAGCGTTATGTTTGATACATCATGCATTATTACATTCTAATGCATGTGCATTTTGTAAAATGGCATGCTGTAAAAATGACTGTGTCACAGGACTTGTGGGTGTTTGACATTACAAAAATTGTTTTAATGCAAGCTGCACTCTCATACAACACAGCATTTGAGATTATTATTGAGTTCCATGATCAATATTTGTTTTATCTTACAAATAATAATATATATATGAAATACTGGCAGACATATTTTTAAAAAGGGCCTAAATGTGTTTGTGTGAGGGGGTTCATATTTCTATAAGGATTAAGTTGACAGGTATGAATAGAAAGATTTGCATTGTTAGTTCTAATTTCCAGTTGATCTCTAGTACAAGATATACCTTTATCTAGTTGATATCTAGTGCTGTACACACTTTATAATATAGATTTTTTGCAAATGTAAAATAATGTCTGACTAGTACTGAAGCAAGTGAGTGGTGTAAAGTCATCTGTATCTTGTAACTTTGGATGTGTATGTTTGTGCATTAGTATATACTGGTGGTGTTGGCGGAGGATGATCAAGGTGTTGAACTGGAGACTCCCATGGAGATCCAAGTGAAGGTGGGGGATGAGAACGACAGCCCTCCTGTGTGTGCAGAAGCTCAAAGTATATTTGAGGTGCAGGAGAACGAGAAAGTGGGTAAGACCTCATGAATGCCTACACACTCCACATACAAACTTAAGTATCCATAGCACTGGTTTGTTATGAAAATGCACCTATTCAAAATAAAAGTGGCATGTGTCAAGCCATTGACTAGTAGGCCATTTACTAGTAAAAAAAATAACTGAAAATATCTGTAATGCAATGTTTACTAATAAAAAGTCCAGATATTAGATAAAGGCTAATGATATTTTTAATTATAAAATCAGGTCTACATAACTAAAAAGTCAGTACACGCATACCATGTTTTAGTGTGTGTTCCTTTTCTCCTGGCTCAGTGATGCTGCTTCTTTCAATTTACCAAAAGCATCTTACACAGGAAAGCTTAACATGCTATATAAAATAGAATCTGTTTTACTTTCTGTAAACATATTTTTTGAAGTTTATTTAAATCAAAAATGTAAGTCAGCCTGGTAACTAACTTTTTAAGTTACCACCAATATGTATTCAAGATAATATACATTTTTTTTTGTATACTTTATATTTTTTTTATGTATCTTCTAGCATTACATCCATAGCAATGTTGTTTGTGTTGTGTGTTACTTAGGTAACCATATTGGTGATCTGTTGGTTCTTGATGCGGATGAGGAGAACACACTCAACTCACTGCTGAGCTACAAACTTTTGAGCCAGAACCCTGCCAACCCTTCTGAAGGAATGTTCTCCATTGATGAAGCACGAGGCAGGATCCAGGTGGCCAAACACAACTTCCGTAGAAAGGATGTGCCAGAATATCAGCTCAAGGTTGGAGTAACTGATGGAGGTGAGGTCACACTCATAGACAGTACCAACTCATAAACATGAACCATCTCCAGTGGTATTCCAAGCATTCCATATGCTGTTATGGTTCACCGTATTTATGTATTCACTGTTAAAACTCTAAACAACACTCTCCAGCTAGTTTATTAGAAACACTCACCTTTCTGGTGTACAGTTACAGACTAGCCATCCTTTACCTCAAGGGTCATCAATTCCTATCTATTGTAATCATTCACCTAAACAGTGACCTATAAGGTAGGTAGACTTCATTAGGTGGCCATTGAGTGATATTTTATAAATGTTTATATACTTTACATCAGAAATCTTCAAATCTGGACTTTGAGTCTAGTTTTCAGTTCTAGATTTTGCAGTCATCGGTAGGTCTGCCAATTGGCAGGAAATCAGCTACATTTAGCAGGTCAGCTACCTACCAGTGACTATAAAATACAGGATCGGCAGCTGGATTCGATGTTGGAATTTGAAGACTGCAGGGTTTATAATGGTGGTAGGTCTCTGGGTTATCATCAAAGGAGACAGACAGACCCCAACACAAATAAAAGCTAGCTGCTCAGAAACCCACTTTTAAGGGGTGAATGCCATTCACATGTTTGTCCTTCAGCAAAATCTGAGTAACTTCAGTGTATACCAGAGATGCAGAAGTATAAAAAACCCTGTTTGTTCACTGTATTTCTTGCTTCTTTCCAGTTCACAGTACAGAGTGTAATGTTGTCATCAAAATCATCGACATCAACAATGAGATCCCCATCTTTGAGAAGAATGATGTAAGTATTTTCAACTTCCTTGTTGTTTTTGCTTCACTGTAGTTTATCAAATGGGTCTGTCTTGACTGGCTGTGCATTCTGACCCTGGTGCAGTATGGCACATACAGTATTCCAGAGCTAGCAGACGTGGGCACTACTCTCCTGACCATTAAAGCTACAGACGCTGATGATCCTGGCACAGGTAGCTCCAGGGTAGAGTACCACATCACTAAAGGAGACCCAGACAAATTATTCGCCATAGAGGTTGACGACACCACTGGGGAGGGCAGAGTCTACGTTGCACAGGTAGGGAAACTACTCGCAAAACTAACCCAACTCAGGGTAATAGATAGCAACGTCCTATGAAAATATACTGATAATTAGTGCTGGGCAGTACTGAAAAATTCAATATTATGATATTTTTTGAATACATCATGGTATGACGGTAGCAGATGATGTAAAAGTTTGCAGTAGTCAAGTTAATGACCCATGCTGCTTCAGAACCATTCAAAACAGAACAAAATAGTGAATCATATCAAGCTATGTCATATTCATAAGACCGTCTTTTAGCATAGAGGGAACATTACTTTGGCCAAAATGGAATATTTACCCATTGCTACATCATGCTTACTTACTGTTTTGAATGCTGGTATGCTGGTAAGCAGCAATGCAAATAATAGTTCATATGCTAATCACCAGCAAAACCAAATATGTTGTGTTTTAGATGCTGGTATGATGGTCAACCAGCATGATCTGGGTGCTGGGTGCACAGCTAAACCAGCACCAGACCAGCACTAGACCACCATAAACCAGCTTAGACCAGCATGGTTGTCTTTGTTTTTTTAGTTTTTTCAGCAGGGAATGCTGCAGGCTAGAGTGAGACCGCAAAACCCCCCTTCAGAAAGATTTGACAAATCTTCAAGATAGGAGGAACTTTTTAAAAAGACTAGTTTTAGGCTAAAGTTAGCAAAGTTGCTTACCTCATTTTAGCTAGGAAAAATGGTAAAAAAAAATTAAGAGACCAGAATATACCTTTCACTGAATAGAAAGCACATTTCCAGAAAGGAAACTTGCTATTCATTTATTTTTCATGTATTTTGAACCATTCATGTATTTTGAACCATAACTAAGATGGCAGTTATACATTGTTATTGGAATTATTTGATTCAGTTTAAAACTGTATGATTTTCAGTGGGTTTTATGCTGAGATGTATCATTGAAAACAATATTCATCCCATCTGTTATACGCTGTAGTTTATCTTTACAAATTTTGCATAGTGATAAAAGTTCCATACAGCCTCGGCACTAGCTGTAACTGACTTTCCATGTTCTTTGTCTCTTTTGCCATTTCTCTATTTCCTTCTTAGCCTTTGGATTATGAGGTTCAGTCTACCTACCAGCTTCAGATTGACGCCCGTAATCCCGAGCCCCTGATCAAAGGAGTGGAGTACGACGAACATTCCACTACAGTCGTGGTCATTGAGCTGGTGGACGTGGATGAGCCTCCAGTGTTTACTGTGGACATACTGAACATCAACGTCCCAGAAAATCTCACTGTAGGAACCACCCTCTTGACAGCTGATGCCAAGGACCCAGATGGACAGAAAATCATGTAATAATAATACGCTCATTTGATTACTGTTGAAAAAAAATCAAACAGCTTTTTATTCACTAGTGTCTGCCATTAGAGCACATTTGGTTGCTTTGATTCTTTCAATATTAAAAACCCATTGAAGAGCTAGCTCTTATGTGTTTATGGGTACTTTGTGTCAGGTTCAAGCTGGAGGGTGATGAGCAGGGCTGGTTCGAAGTGGATCCTGACTCTGGAGAGCTGAAGACTAAAGCAGAGATGGACAGGGAAGTGGTAGACCAGCTCAAGGTCCGGATCATCGCTTATGAGACAGGTAGGAACAGCGTTAATGAAGCTAACGAAAAGGCCACAGCATGTTATTAAGGGATGCTTCTAATAGATGAAAGGTCATTGTCTCCTGCACTGCACTGTTCTTGTGGTCTTTGAAAAATTAGTGTTATCCTGAAAGGGAATTCCACCATAATCTTTAAAAATGTCTGAATAATTTAATTGTTGAGTAAACAAAGTAATTTGGAGTGGTTTCATTTGAAATAGTGCACTGTGGAAAAACTTACCAACTTCCTTTACAGTGGTGATAATATGGACCAATGATTGCAATGTCAATAATGCCAATATAGCCATTTTATTTACCATACAAGACGAACAGTGAACCTACACGTCTTTTAAGATTTATATACAATGTTGATTATAGGTTAAATAGGTAATAATGAAAAAAAAAAGCTTTAAGCTATAATCAACATTTCAAGTAAATCTCAGAAGACATGTGTTGGTTCACTGGTTATTTTGGATAGTGAACTACACTATCCACCTACTTTATTAGAAACGCATATCTTGTAGGTCCACCTTGCTGGTTTAGCATTACAGACTAGCCATCCTTTACCCAAAGGATCATCAGTACCTATCTATTGTAGTTGCACACCTATGCAGGGACCTCTACTTTTCTGCCATGAATGTATTTAAGAACACATTTTAGGCCAAAGCCTTATATCAAAACTATCCTAAAAACTGTCTCATGCATTATTAAGCATATTAATTAACCATTTCGTATAAGAGCCTTTAGAGGCAATAAATGCTCCAGGTGTCTGATTCCAATCACATCTGCTGTGGACAATTCTGACTCGGTGAGTTTCCCTAGAATGGAGCATTTCACATCAAACCACTCTGAATTGCATTGTTTGCATCTTAACAATTTAATTATGCAGAAATGTTGAAGCAACGTTTCATCCAAAAATGGTAATGTTGCGGCTAGCAGGACATGCTGACCAACACTTTGCATAACTATCCACTAAGCATTTTAGGCTAAACTATTGTGTTAATCTGACTTATTTGATTGAACTTTAATGGACAGGTGTGCTTCATAAAATTCTCATTTGATTTCTTATTGTATATATTTTATCTATGTCATGTTTCTTATTTTACATTTATTTTAAATTATATGACAGATCAATAATCTGCTTGTCTAAATTGAATTTGAATGTTATTGGCTTTGTGCCCTATCAGAGGGTCAGAAGCAGGAAACTGAGAAAGAGGTGTCGATCCAGCTGTTGGATGTGAATGATAACTTTCCTAAGCTGCAAAAGACTCAGGGGTTCATGTGTGTGAAGAACCCAACCCCCTTGGTGCTGACCGCTGTGGACGCTGATGCACCACCCTTTGGAGAGCCCTTTACCTTTGCGTTGCAAATGGCCCGCAAGTCACCCAACTGGGAGATCACGCCAGTAGACGGTGAGCAGGCTGTAAGCATAGCTAGCTAACTATGCTGTGCTATTGCTAATGTTGCCAGGGATAAAAAGCAGAATGAGCAGCTCAGTCAGTGATACTAGACTTGCTCAAATGAAGAAAGCTGCTGTTTTGTGTTTTGTAGGAACCTCAGCTAAACTGGTTCTAAAGAAGAAGCCGCCTGCTGACCAGACTTTCAGCATCCCCGTCAATGTCAAAGACAATGCAGGCATGGGTGTTACTCAGAAGTTTGAGGGTAAAAAAAGCTTTGTTTCTTTCTTTCATGTTTTGAATTGCTCTCTCCGTCTTTCATGAACACCATTGCTCTCACAAACAAAATGTTATATATGTGTGTCATATCTACTGAAGCCCTGAAAGGCCAGGGATTCACACATTTTCTTTACACAGTTTTTTGTGATAATGAGTTAATTTTATTATAATGTCATTTTAAGTTATTTATGTCTTCATTATTATCTGTGTTATCTGTGCCTGTTATGTTATCTGTGCATAATTGTCCATAAACCAGATGTGTAGTCTGAGAGTCTAATCATGCTATTATGAAACTGGTGGGTTAGATCAACTCACACTAACTATTCATATTTAATCAGTATAACAGGCTGTGTCTTGTTCAGTGCAAAGGTAGAAATAATGCCAGGGCTTTTAATTAAGGTTTACTTGTGATTTGCTGTTTTTAACCTAAAAATTATTTTGAAAGAACTGTACAGTTTGTGCAAATTTTAGAATGTAAACTAGAAGTAAAGGTGTGAGTAGTGAGATTATGTTGTTCCAGGAAGTTGTAAGTAAAGTTACATTGCCGTTATGGTTTGAGGGAAGTAATTAGTAACTTGTAATGGATTTAACTTTTTAAATATTCCTTAACACTGGTTATCATTTGAAAAATAGAATAAATAAGATGTGTGAATCCACTTTTAAGGCTTCCATACATACTGTACCTGTACTCATGTTTGTTTTATCCCCTGCTCTCTTTCTCAGTGCGAGTGTGTAACTGCACTGAGTTGGGCTACTGTTACATGGAACCGGGAACTCATGCCTGGAAGTTCAGTGTATCGACCACAGTTGCCATTCTGGGAGGAGTTTTTGGATTTATCAGTAAGATAACAGACATACACTAGATATGTACTGCATATGTATGTGTGCAGACTGCCTTGGCAAAACTTATATGAACAAAACTTGATATTATTGATATTATTTGTAAGGTAGACATTGCAATTAACATTTCTATTGTTTTGCAGTCCTGTTCCTGATTATTGTAATTTACCGCATCAAGAAGAAGGACAAGAAAACGAAGAAAGCCGTGGCTGATGGGGAAACCAACGCCATGCTCTAGAAGCCGTGTTCAGTTGAGCTCTCCCACATGCGCACATGGTGGTTTATTCAGTTCAGATGCAGACCGTTCAGCCTCCATTCCAATTTCTGAAATTCATGAAACAGACTGTGCCTTTTGACCTTGGAGGATTTTTTATTTTTGAATTGGCAGGTAATGTTGTTATGCAGTGTTGTTGCAATTTGGAGGTACTACTTGTAACTTATTATCTGTGAGCATGGCCATGTTCCAGCATAACTGTCCCAGCACAAAATCTTCAAAGATTGTCTTGACCCCATTTGTAATTGCCAAGCCAGAATAACTCTTATATAACAACTGTTTTGTTAAATAATAAAAGAAATTTTGATTTAATTTAATAAATTAAATCTTATAGGCCAAAATGCAAGTATATATATATATATACAGCATCACGTCCACTATGACTATGACTTCGTACCATCTCAACCAAATTACACCATTACTCACCATTGACCACACACTAAATGACGACCCCGTGCTCTGCACATTTTTGTATTTCTCCTACTCTAACACACCTAACCCAGCAAATAAGGACCACGTTATAAGTTATTGAGTTCAGTCTGGTGAGCTAGATGTGGGCAAGCACAATAATGTGCATAAAGTGGGGTCTCTTGGACTGGGATTGGGAACCCCTGCTCTAAATGTTTTGGCAGCTCTTAGAATAAATACTTCGAAAATAAAGTACAAGTGGGGCCTGTCTTATAGAGGATGTTCAACTAAATCAGGGTTCCTGAGTATGTTTTCACTTAACCTAATAAAAACAGCAGTTAACAACTTTTTCTGTTATCCCCAAGTTTTAGAGACTCGCCAAAGACTCACCCTTGCACAAATCCCTTTTGAATGCATAAATCCCTGTACGCATACACAAATCTTACAGCAAACAGCCAATTAGTTAAAATATTTCAATGTCAAGCAGGTACTTTTTAGAAACAAGAAATCATTCTTCATAAACATGTAGGAATCCAATACAATAATTGCTTTATATTTTTCGTATTTCCTTTGTTAAAAAGCGATATTATTTTTTGATTGGCTGTTCAGCCTAAACATCAGGTATTTAAGAGGCTGCTGTGGCAATATTTTTGTAAGTGTGTTAATTCATGTGTACCATAAAATTCAATTACTTATTCTGCAGCAATTAGCAAAAAAGTGACCTGAAAAAAGAAGGTTGGCCCTAATTGGTCCAGGAACTGTTTATGATCTATAATCCTGAACATAATGTGCCCTGGAGCAGGTTAGAAGTGCAGTTTAGAGTTATTTGGCTAAACAAGCAACCCTGCTTTGTGAGACAGGCCCTTGATTTAGCTCTATCTCTGTAACACTCCATCAGCTTAACAAATACTATCTCTCCATCCATATTTCCCCAGCTAAGAAACCTGCACTGTTAGCTACTGATGATTTGGTTGTTGATTTTCTGAGTATGAGTGTTTCAGTGCAGGTGTGTGCTGCTACATGCTCAATTAGTCTGTATGTGATGAGCGCTTTGCTGTAATGCTAGAGAAACTCATATTTATTCTTATGATCTACAATCAGTACAAAGGTACATTTGATTTTGTAGCTTGTCTTTTTGCCCAAAGATCTCTTATTCAGCTCATAGTTGTTTATTTTAGAATGGAAAGAAAAGTAAAGCTTTAATACATAAAGTCCTAGTTTTTCATTCTGTTAATAAACATCTCATTTAAATTGAAATGTATAAATTGTTACAGTGTTATTTATATGAAGGTAATCATGGTTCAATGGCAAAAAAAAAAAATTGTAACACTACCTCCTAAAAATAAAGGGTTCTTAAGAACTAAGCAACAGAAGAACCACTTTTGGTTCCCTAAAGCATCTTTCAGTCTATGGTCCTTTAAAGGCCATTTTTTTCAAATGAGATATGTGAGTGTGAAGAATGTTTTCAGAGGTTAAAGAATATCTGCATAGTGTAAAGGTTCTATACCAATTAGACATTTCTCCTGGAACTGTATGTCCTAGCCAAGAACCCTTTAGAAACCTTTATTTTTAAGAGTGCTGAAATAGTATTACTATTATAATATCACTTTTGTGTTATATTAATTGATCTATTTACTGTCGCTTTGCATTGTTAATAGCATGATGAAATGAATGTAGATACAGGAGGAAAATTGGATGTTCTTATATAGTGTGTTTATATTCATGTCTGTCTGACATAGCAATGATGCACTTCAATCCAAGTTGCTCCAGACACATGGAATCCCTGTTTCTCCAACCATGACACCCAGGGGGTCTGTCCTAGGTTACAATAAAGGCTGAAAAAGTGATTTATGGTCTAGTGCTATTATTAGTGGAAACTGATATGTGTTATCACATAGGTTACCAGTTTGAAAAATGATTAAGAAATTCTAGCAATAAAGCAGAGAGGTCCAAGAGCCATTAACTTTATCACTGGCCCTCTATCTTCTCCATGGTTTACATCTTCACTTGTTTCTCAGCAACACATTCCAAAACACAAACTCACATAAGCATTTATACAGGGATGGAGAAAGGTGGTGATTATAAGGAAGGCATTAGCACCAAGTGTCAGAGAATGTCCTACTACAGTATTGTAGGACATAGACATGTATACCCCCACACAACCTCTAATAAAGATATATTTGTTAATAATAATAATTTAGGTTATATATCAATTATTATTATTAACATACAAATCAGAATAACTATATTCATAAAGCCCAAGATATTCACACAAGATTATTTGCAATAGTAATAATGTAGGGTTAATAGTTAATATTGAATACCAATTGTAGTAATGCTAAAGATAATAGTGGTGATTGACAGTCTGTCAGTGTTACATTCACAAAAGAAGAAGAGATATACACATAAAAAGGAAATGAAATAAAGGACCATAATATGATAGAATTTTCACACACTCATCAGTTTATAGAGGCCATTAATCTCTCATTATTGCAAACAATTTGTGTCCAGTATTTGTTCAAGATACAATTGTTCTTGTTTTGGCCTTATTCATCCTAGCTGTAGTACATTCCAGAAGAACAATGTTTCAAAATGAGCAGAAGGTTCGAATCATAATTTAAATGGGTTTTTTTTTGGCTGTTGTATGGCTAATCTGACAATTTCTTGAAGGGAAAAAAGTCTTTTATTGGTGGTGTTTCCAGCACAGTAGAGAAGAGTAAGCTATAGGTAATGTTCACATCAACTCTCAGAATGAAGGAAAATGTGATCTCAGTGATTTTTACCTTAGCATGATTGTCTGTGCCAGACAGCCTGGTCTAAGTATTACTGTAACTGCTCATCTCCTGAGATTTTTACACAACAGTCTCTAGAGTTCACTCAAAATGGTGCAATGAAGAAACACCTTGTTGATGAGAGAGGTCAACTGAGAATGGCCAGACTTGAACTAATAAAACTAATAGAAAGGCTACGATAACTCAGATAACCACTCTATACAACTGTGGTGAGCAGAAAAGCATCTCAGAATGTATAACACGTCGAACACGTCAGCTACAAAAGCAGAAGACTACCTCGGGCCACACCTCTGTCCTGACACTTCAGCCAAGAACAGAAAGCTGAGGATGCAGTGGGCACAGGCTCACCAAAATTAGATAGTTGAAGACTGGAAAAACATAGATCTGATGAATCTCTATTTCTGCTGAGGCACATAGATGGTATGGTCAGAATTTGGCACCAACAGCATGAATACATGGACCCAACCTGCCTTGTGTCAACAGTCCAGGCTGGAGGTGGTGAAATGGTGTGGGGAATGTTTTCTTGGCACACTTTGGGCCCGTTAATACCAATCAATCATTGCTTCAATGCTACAGCTTAGTTGTGTATTGTTACTGACCATGTGCACCTTCATGGACACAATTTACCCATCTTCTAATGGCTACTTCCAGAATGATCATGCACAATGTCACAAAGTAAAAGTCATCTGAAACTGGTTTACATGACAATGAATTCATGACAACTTTCTTCTTTAGCCTTCCCTGCAACTGTTTATTAATTTATCTTTTCATTTTGCTTATAATCTATACGGAACCACTGAGCAAATTAAGTTGATTAGCAGCAGTTTGCAAAATGTGAACTGGAAATGACCCGAGGGGGTCCCTTTTTGAAAGAAGGTTGGCCCTAAAAGGTTCAAGCTCCATAATCCCAAACTTAACCTGGACTGGAGCAGGTCAGGCATGCCACATATGTTGCCGTAGCACTGTAATCCTCAGAGATCTACAGTCCTGACACTGGGTCAGATTGTGAGATAGGTCCCTGATTCAGTTCATCAAGGCTTCATAATTAAAACTGCAATAAAACTGCAGGAGAATCAAAACAAACTACAGAATCAGTTGCGTACTACTGCTGCCATCTGTTATCTCAAAAACATAAAACTTTTTACAAAGTAATGACTTCCATTTTTTGGACTATAGTGTATATTTAACAATAATACATAATTCTAAAAATTCTCTGCATTAAACAAAGTTTTTGAGAAAGATGATGTTTTGGAGTCTCAGACAGACGTGCTTCAGCTGCAAGCAAAGTTCTATTTCTTATGAGTTTTATTCTATTACAGAATTTATTACTGAAGTTCACTGTGTATTTTGACTGGTGAAGATGGGTCAGAGCTGTCTCACTCTTCTGTCTGGAGAGCATCTGGTTTACGAGCAAAACAGCACTAAAAGCACAAATAATCTGTCCCATCAGTAATCTGCAGCATCAATCTGCCGTAATCTATAGTTATAATCCCCAGTAATCTAGAGCTATCCTAAATCTTAGGGTCTTCATTCATAAACACGTGCCCAGACACTGAGTTACACTGTAGGATTAAGACTAATGCCGAACTAACTGACTCTGTGCCATCTAGGAGTGAGAGAGCACACGGGTGACGATGGATTGGATGTTATTTTAGGAGCTCTGCAGGTACATGGCAGTCCGTTCCCTTCAAAATTAGCGACCAAAATCAGGTTACCTCCTCTGAAAAGGCTGAATGTTTTACTGTGTCCACTGAGCACCAATTTATTAACCAAAACAACAATTTAGCTAAGTGGCTAATGGATCAGTATTTTT